TACGACATTGATAGATCTATTCACAGCAAAGCAATTTGGCAATAAAATTGAAACAAATTCGCTTATTAGTTTTATTGGCAGTAATTCATAAGTTCCTGGCCGAGAACCTGTCCAATTTTATATTGCGATTCAGACTTAATACGAGTATCTCCGAGATTTGAATATAATCACGTAGGTATGCACAATCACAAAAGAATTTAAAAAACATATTCAATTCGCCCGTAATTTCCAGAAAGTTTGCAGCAGGTTTTATGAAAATTTATGTAAAAAGTTAGCTTTGAGTACTAACGATTAAAACTTTGTTTTTTTTTCTCTACAGTCATAATTTTGAATTACACGCAAATTGTGGTTGTCTAGGAACATATCACGGCTCTACTGTCATAAATTTAATTACTTAGAGCACGAATGGTGGAAATTTCGAAACATTTCAGGTGTCTCTCTCTCCAATTGTACCATAAATTATAAGCTTTGAGACGAATTTCCTTTGTTATTTACAGACTAAATTGGACCGTTCCTTTGAAACTCAAAATAGATCATTTTACGTATCAAGTACTTCGCTTTACCGACATGTTTTAAGTTTATACCCTTTTTCATTGGCCTTTTATGGCAATTACTTTGGCTTGCTTTTAAAGCAACCCCTTAAAGTCCTCAAATGACATATGGCGTTCAGTCAAGAAAAATTATAATATGAAAAACGCACCAGAGTAGTTGGCTGGTAGCTAAGCCATAACTGTGTCCTTCCTGTAAGTATGTAAAAGGAATTGAAAAGCAGTAAATGTAAAAACCAATAAATGACTATAGCGTTATTTATACAGGGTGTGCCAGAACTCGCGCCCCAGAGAAAAATGCCAAATACCAGGAACATGGAAAATGGAAAAAATGTTAAAAAAAAATATATATAACTTTGACTCTGTTTATTTCTGTTGTAAAAATAATTTTCCAAGTTTTTTGGTATAAGCTATTAAAAAAGGAAACAAGGAAGCTGTATCCTAAATTGTAACTCCGTTCAATGTATTTGTCAAATGTCAAAAATTAAATGTCAAAATTTTTTGACAAATAGAATTTTTAAACATTTTTTTCATGTTCCTGGTATGTTACCTTACTTATAAATTTTCTCTGGGGCGCGAGTTTGGCGCACCCTGTATAAACAGAAAAAGAACTGTAAACAATATCTTATAGTTTAATATAACAATGAAAATTCCGGGGAAAATTCACTGCAACTGCTTTTCATTATCGCCGTCGAAAGAAATATTGATGATGTAACTATGACGGGGCAAACGCGATCAGCTCAATCTTCTTTGAAACAAAATTTTCGATTTAATTGTTTTCAACTATCAGCTCAATCGACAGAATCCGATAAAATCTTGAGTGTATCGTGGATGCAATCAATGTCATAACAGCCTTAGGTGACCTTAGATAGCCTCGCAAGCTCGCTCAGATTTCAACTGCGATCTTATGACATTGCTTAAATCCTGTATATGTTAATACCTATTTGTTAAAAGTTCTGTTTGTTTAGTAACAAAAATTTGATAAAATTTAACAGGAATTTATTTATCAACAGTTTCACTTGGAACTACTTGTAATTTTTGTGTTTTCAACCTAAACGGAATACCTTTTGTCAGCGCGTTTCTCTCCGACCTCAACCGTCTTAGCAAATAGACAAATTCCGTAAATGTGTCAAGAATCTGGACGTAACCAGTCAATAGTAACGGTTCAATAAAGCGTGAAGACTGTGTTTCCGACAAAACTTTTTCGCATGTTTAGGTGCAAGACGATACGATTTTTATTACTTCCCGAAAACCTCCTCGTCCACTTAAATGGCCATATTAACCCGGACAAATTATACCAAAGTCGGATACTTTTATTGCTAATAGCGGCCATAAAACGCATTTTTCATAACCGACATAAAAACTCGACTTCATGTCTATCGCATCTGGGCCCTTCCAGCACCGCGAAAAACACGCCCAAATAGATCACCTGCAATAACGCGCATCCTAAACGAATGGGTACAAGAGGTCGTTTGCGTCTTTGATATGCAGTTGGCGTGACGAAAGCACCCCGAAATGTAAATTTAGTGTGGACAAGAATGAACTCAGACAAGGCATCGATTTCGAGGGAACAAGGAGTTCAATGAAAAATTGTTCAATTCAGAGTTTTGTATTGTTGGCGATAGATCTCACAATGAACAGAAATTTACTGAAAGTGGTGATATTTTGGTTTTTATATGAGTCGAGGTGCGAGATGTTTGTTTTCTTTTCTGAAAATTCTCAATCTCTTTGTACACTCAACTCTGAGCTTAGGGAATATCTCTCCGAGCGTTTGTTTACATTAATTAAGGAAACTCTAAACACACAAAACGAGATAACTTTCTAATCGATTTTTTATATTGCAAAGTCGGGTCCGCTTTCTTGCAAATTGTGTAAGCTAGTCTATCACAGAAAACAATTCTTTGTTTAGTGTGAATTCATTCATGTGTCAAATCAGCAGGGACGTAATGAGCTTCCGCTCCAGCAACAAGAAAATCGTTTTTCCAACATCATAATCAATTTACCTGATTAAAATTACCCCAGCAGGGGATCCTTCCACACAAAGGAAAATTTTTATGTCGGAAATACCCAACTTATAATTGTGCTAATAGTACGGCAGGTTCATTCAGGAAATCTAATTCTAGAAAAACAAAGCATCGGAAGAGTTTTCCTCCGGATAGCGATTTATGAGTGCTCGGAACCATCTAATGAAAAATTCCACGTGGTTTCATGGTCGCTTGCATAATTAACAAGGAAACACCCTTGCGAATTCAGGGTCAGAAGCAAAAATTTGTTAAATTTATTGTACCACCTTTGACGAAAATACAGCGTTCGTAAAAAACGACCGGAATCTTAGTTGATTAAATTTAATGACGACACGAACAAATTGAATATATCGGAGAAAATTGCTAAGTAAGGGGATCATTTTGCATTATGCAAACGTGGATGTCGTTAGGGGAACCCCGTGTGAACGTTAGCTGGTAATAGAGGTTGCAAAAATTTACGTTTATTGACGGCGTTTTTTGAATACAGTCGGTAGGAGAGTTTTATTAAAACGAGCGACAATTCATCGTGATCGTGCGCTACTTTAATAAACGTAGGTTTTCCTTTGATGATCAATTTACATTTTCATCGAGTACATGCAATACACTTGTTATAATAGTAAAAATCCCAAATGCATCTCATTTTGTCAGCAAGAAACAGTTTTTAAAATTTGCACATTTATAATATTCAGAAACTAAATAAAAAAGAATTAAGGATCAATTGTTGAAATTGTCATTTTGACAGTGATTATAATTTTTTATCGTATCATCACCTATTATGTTCACTTAATACGTTGGATACGAGACATTATACGTTAGATACCAATTCAAAATATACTAGGTACAAAATCATAGTAAACATTCCATTGATCTTTTTGTTTTTGACACCGAATTTGACACATTGCCTCTCCTATTCACTCGAATATTTTGCAAATCTAAAATGTTTCCACCGGCATTTAACGGTAAGTAGATGATACGATAAAACTTTGAATATAACTCGAATATTAGCAATTTAAACCATCTCGGACGATGCACAGGTGACTCGGCTAGCGTCGTCACCTAGCATCGTCCTCGATTACTATAAATCGCTTAATTATTCTAGTTATACAGGGTGCGCCAGAACTCGAGCCCCAGAGTAAAATGCCATATAAGGTAAGATACCAGGAACCTGAAAAAAATGTTGAAAAAATTCTATGTATAAAAATTTCGTAGTTATGAGAGTTTAAATTTTGCACTTTGACATTATTTATTTCTGTTGGAAAAATAATTTTCCAAGTTTTTTTGCTACAGGCTATTAGAAGCAGATACAAGGAAGCTGTATGCTAAATTGTAACTCTGTTTAATGTTGTTTGTGGCTTTTATTGGCAAATTTTTTGTACTTTTACTAAATAATTATAAATGAACATATACAAGATCATCAGTATCATTAAATAGACATAAAAAAATGTCAAATGTCAAAAAATTACATGTCAAAATTTTTTGACAAATAGAATTTTTTAAACATTTTTTTCATGTTCCTGGTATCTTATCTTACTTGAAAATTTTCTCTGGGGCGCGAGTTCTGGCGCACCCTTATTAAAGGCTATTATTATGTTGCCTTATATCTATTTACTACTTATATTTTTGTTATTCAGAATTTATAGCAAATAATTATTTTTAACATTGGATGATTGCTAATAAAATGGTATACATATCTCGATGGAAGGCTTCATTTCAGCTTCATATTTTTTTAGCATCGCTATCGATCAATTAATCAACACTCAGCTGTAATAAAGCTTTTTCTTAATCGGTATGTAATATACTATTTTCCAAAAAAATTACGATTATTTACACCAGTAATACTTCATTAGTAATCATTAGTAAAAAATTAATAAAATAAACTTACAATTTAAAAAAATGTTTTGTGTTCACACATTTTTTAAAGGTTTTTCAGAAAAAAAATCAGTTAACTTCCTGCTTGTTAAAAACATTTTTAAAAAGATGAATGCAAACAAAGTCCTTATGTATTTTATTTCTTCTCGATGAAATTGTTTTCAAATATTTGTTCGCCACTGTCTAAATCTTGCAACAGAGAAAATTACTTTTAAAGTCACTTACGGGTTAATCAACTCTTGAAACACCACCAGTCTCAATTCAATCCATAATCGATTTTTTGTAGGAAAAAAAAAACAGAATTTTCGAGTAGCGGTTTGAGAAAGCACAAGATTAGTTCCAACTCCCTCGACAATAACAAAAGGAAGATTATTTTATTCTGGAAAAAATGTTTGCGTTTCAAGATGGTAAAATCAATATGGCGGTGTATTTACTTTAGACTGGGGTTATCTAATCGGATTTCATAAAACGTTGAATAATTCAAATTAGAGCAAAAATTTCATTACTCCCCATTATACAATTTCCGCAAATGATTCTAATCCGTTTTGTTTCCTTGCAGACCTTCTGTGTGGTTTCCAAGAGGTTTCGTAAGAATTACATCCACCGTTTCACCGCCACCAATTCGTTCTTCTTCTTCAGTCCGTTTAGTTCAGTTAGGAAAGCGTGTATATACCTGTCCACCAACCAGTACTTCGATTATTTAGTTATGGCTACTATTTTGCTCAACTGCGTCTTCCTTGCCATGGCGGAAACTATTGAAGAAGCCGAGTAAGTATTAAGTGCAATCGTAATCATTTCTTGAGAAAAGTTCAACAATTACCTTTCGACCCTTTTCGCGCACCTTTGAAATTCTCACCGCGTGCTCCGCCTTTGCCCGGAATTCAAATGAATCAATCCAATTCATTTGCACCTCTCATTTTTATTTCAAACACACGTCCGTTCCGGACAATTCTGGCCCAATGTCAGTAAATATTATAAAAAATCTTCCCTTCATCCGGGTAAAAGTTTCAATAAAAACCTAACCGGAGTCTGCAGCTTCCGGATTATGACAAGAGACAAAAGATCCAAAATGACCGGAGTAAACCTTGGAAGGGCGTTTTTACGGGACACAATGCCTCTGTTTGTTCAGGTTAGTTTGATAAGTAAACAATGGAAGGCGATCGTTTGTTCCAACGTTGAAATGCTGGATCTACCCAACTGACGCTGCAATAAAAGAGATTTCTTGAGAAAGTAACATGCAAGCAAACGCAACCAGAATATCGCAAATTGTATTAAGTAGCTCCACTTTTATGGATATTTCTCACAAAAACTAACGGTTAAATGACTTGCAGAGAAAGAAATAACACATAATAACAAAATATTTAATACAAAGAAATGTTAGTTGAATTTAGCTTTATATTACAACAAAGAACAAATAAATGCAATAATAACCACAAAAAATACAAGTTGTTTTCTAAATAATGTATACGAAAAAAAATTATTCATAAAGTATGCAAAAATCATTCTTTAATAATTAATAACGAGCGTTTTTTTTTTAATTTGGCGTCAAAGATATCCATCAAAGTTCGATTGTGAAAAAACCATCGTACTGAACGCTAAGTGAAAATAGTAAATGCTACGTGACACGTGACGCATTGCTTACATTATGGTGGAGGCGCCGGGTTAAAAAAAAAAGCATTTCAATAGTGTTTTTTTGTTATCCAAACACAACCAATATCAAATGTAATTGCTTTAATACAAATAACAAACACAAATAAATGCGTATAAATAAAACATCATTACATAATCTAATAATTTGTAGAAACACGATTCAGTTATTTCCATCTTATCTCTTTGTTTTCTCCAACACCCTTTGTACATTTAAATGTATTCAGTATGTGTTCATACATATGTTACACTTTGTGAGCAAAATGACTCATTATATATAATTACGTTGTAGTATTAAATTAACTATTCATACATAAGTTCCTAATGTCTTTCCAGGCTCTCCAAAGCTTTTGCATGACCCAGAAATCTGCGAATAATTACATACAATCACTTCTGTAAAAACAAAGTTTATGAGAAACAAATTTCCAAGATGTTATTTTTAAATAAATACGCAGAATTTTGAAAATGTTCTTATATGCCTCAATTATTTAACTATTTAATTTAATTAATTAGATTTTTTAAGCTAAATGCATTTTCGACAGCTAATATCGCTTTTCAGAATTGTATGCAAAACCAGTTAATACTCTAGACTGTCAATTACATGGAATAATTGATTTGTTAACTTTCAGGCCTATAAAATAAGGAAGCACTACATACCCAATGAGGCATAAATCTAATACAAATATACATTCAAAATTCCACGCTTTTTGATTATTATACATACAGAATTTGCGTCAAGATTAATAAAAATTTTCATTTATTTAGCTTTAAAAAAGCAAAGTGTATAAATTTCTTGAAATTGCTATTTTATAAATGGCAGCACCCATTTGGTAGACTGCTGTTTAATTCTGTAAAAAAAAAACAGACTTTTAAGAGTTTAAAAGGAAGATGTTCTCCGTCTCATACAAAGTTTGTGTTACAAAAAGCTGAAAACAGTGGCGCGAACTGAGATAAGATGGAAAAATATAATGAGATTCTCTCTCCTCGGTCGTAATCCGCAACTACCTTGTTGTTCAGTTGATGACACTTTGTTCATATCCGAGTCTAAGATCCAGATGAGTGCACTTTCTATTTAATTAAGCTGACGTTGTTGTTAATTATTATGGAAACGACGCACTGTCACACTTGGCCAGAATCAACATTGTTACAAAGACAGGACTCATTATCATTTGTTGTGGAAGCAATAAAATCAAGTTAGACAACGTCCTTGACTAGTTTAATTGTTAAATCGATAGAAAGTGTCGATAAAAGTCCATTGTTAACTTTGTGGGATTATAGAGAGTTGAAATACGAGCGCTCGTTACTCATTCACAGGGTAATTACTGGTATGTGGAGATTAAGGGCCAACCCTTCCAGCTTTAATTTGACCGGAGCCATAAATAATTACAAGTCGCATATAGCTCGCCACCAGTTGAAATCGAGCTTTAACCCCGAGAACATACTCCTCCAGAACAATATTAACAAATCAATAAACTTCAGAGACATTTTTTCAAAGCATAGCATATTTTTTTAAATTTTAAACGCTCGCGACGGAAAAATATCAGTTACAATAATTTCGGTTTTTTACTCGTATATGGTGTAGGTACATACCTACTTGGAAAACAGCAGTGAAGAGGTCGGTAAACAACGATGTAAAAACACTTTCCATCCATCCGTTGTTCGTCTATCCCTTGTAATCTGCTTTTCTAAAGATTGTCGTTTTTGCTGATTTTTTGCTGAAAATATTTATTTTGTTCCAAATTGTAACACACGCATTTGTCATTACAATTCTCTTTTCTTGCTTTCCATAAAATAAAACTTCTTGCTTCACTTTATTATTATTTCAAGTTCAAATCAGCAAAAGTCAACTGCATACAAATTAAAAAAACGCATTTTGCCAACTTATTCAATTCGTTATAAAATTTAGATGTTCTTTATAAAAAAAGCGTTGTCTTTTTATATTCTACTTGAAAAAAGTCTTTATCTACGACTGTTAAATAAAAAACTGTTATTGTTTAAAGAAACCACGATGGGAGTGAAAACTTTTTTCGGATCAATACACTCATCAAAACACACAAATACCGCGGAGCACTTGCACGAATGAGTAAGAATATAAATTCTACACGGTCAGCTGATGCGAGCCATGGGCCATATTGGCCTTGGCTGCTCTGCCGAGCGCCTTTCACTTTACCCCTACTCGGGGGCCGGCTGTAATGCGACATGCGATATATGGACGAAAATGTTTGAGGCGATGGAATAAAAGTTTCACTTTAATAATGTTATTATAGGCGTATCCGTAGACACATGATTCAGTTCATATTACACTCCGTGGATTATACCTACTCGTGAATTCATATTCCACGATTGTTCATATTCCACGAGCTACTGTTTGAACGCAATTTCACATTTTTATTAATTAAATTAAAAGACAACTTCCAAACGTTAACTTTGTCAATACCAAAACTAGAAATTTCAAGTCCCGCATATACAGGGTGTCAATTTCAAAACTTGTTATCGGCAATATCTCTAGAATTAAAAAAGTTATTGAGAATCACTCAAAACCGTTTTAATGGTTCCTAGGGGGAATCAAAATGACATAGTAAGTGAGGCTTGAAGCCACAGCCACCCCAAATTGAAAATTTTAAATGGTACAACCCTATTTGTGATACATCGTTGGAAAGTTCATCACAAGCGCTTTTCAAAAATGTCATACAACACACTCATGTCATACTCGCTATGCTCGTATTGGTAACATCATGCTTTCGTTTCGGAATCACCATCTTTTCTCTTTTCATTTCTTATGAAAACAAGTTATTTAAAAACGAAGACTTTAAATTTTAATTTTTTTATATTATATTCAAAGGTGAGTGAAGGTTGGTCACTTACCAAGTCATTTTGATTCCCTCTATTAACCACCGAAACGATTTTGAGTGATTCTCAATAATTTTTTCACTTTTAGAGATATTGCCAATTACAACTTTTAAAATTGACACACTGTATAATGGCTATTATTCTCTTAGGCGATTAAAAAACTTCACCTTTGTGCATAATAGACATCTTTATATGCTCGTTGAATAATTGAATAAATATTTGGAATATTGCTCATTCTTCACCACTAATTATCCTCACTACAATAACTTAAAACTCTTAAAATACCTACTCCCTATGGAGAAATTCCAAGTATAATCGAGAAATTATTGTTCAATCTGTATTGGGCAATTAGATTAATTATAGTTATTTCTTTAATGTCGATAAATTTTGCTAACAAATTTTCATATTTCGTTCCATTAGGCGTTCTAGAAAATAGATTTTACTACTCCAGTAAAATTGTAATAAAGTGCGTTCTTCCTTTCCTTATTTCTGCAAAAATTTAAAAATATAAATAAAATAGTATCTACTATTGTATTTTCTTTGTTTCAGGTATATTTTTTTAGCCATATATACGGCTGAAATGATAATAAAGAGCATCGCTAAAGGTTTTATATTAAATAAGTACACATATCTAAGGAATCCATGGAATTGGTTGGATTTCGTCGTCATCACCAGCGGCTACGCCACCATCGGCATGGAGGTGGGGAATCTCGCCGGTTTGCGAACGTTTCGCGTCTTACGAGCCCTCAAGACCATCTCGATTCTCCCAGGTTAGCCCCACTTGCCTTTTTAACTTGACGAGGAAAATGGTAGCAATAAAATTAATTTATCGCAAAAACACGTCAGTGTCGATAATAGCAAGCTATCCCGTGGTCACTTTTATGTACTATCATAATGGGTAATTATGTGATTGAGATAGTGATTTTATAGCTTCTAAAGTTTTTATGCTTTACGATAAAAAATTAAGTACCAAAGCTACAGGTGTACCGATAGCTTATAAAACCTAAACAATAAACAAAACTTTATTTTTAATAAATGGAATTTTGCGACATTGATGCTCGTGTGCGCACCAGCGATATGCAAAAGTGAATTTTGTTTTATGTTTTATAGGTCGTTTAAAAGTTGGCAAAGCAGTACTTAAAGTGTCATTATTTACAAATGATAGGTCTCGGATAAGTCTAACCACGACGCAATTTGATGTTATTTTGTAGTTAATTCATATCAACGATCAAAAAGATCTGATTTATGGTAATTAATAAATCATAATGTTATTATTATACTCGTAAAATCAGTAAAAGTATTGTTAATTAAAATTTGTCTTATTTACAAATGTCATGTAGGACATAATTATTTAAATAAGTAAATTTATCAATTTGGTGCTTTAGAAAACTCGTGAAAAAAATCTTGTATGCTTCACGTACGCAAATATTTTAAAGGGACTTCTTCCTCTTTCTCCCAAAACAAATTTTTGGTAAATAACTCCAAATGTTTTATTAAGATTTGCAAGAGGGTTGTAATTAAAAAAAAAGTTCGTTTTTTAATACCGTATCAAATAATAAAAAATATAAAATAAAAAACTTCTTTCAAGTTTGAAGGTAAATAATTGTGCACACTCTATAGTCATTGGTATCATTAACAAAATTATTAGATTTTGCTTAAAGTAAGTACCTACAATTTTTGGTTTTACGTTTTTTACAGAAATCCCTGAACCAATTTGAAAAAACATGTTGGGGATATAGATAGTACAACCTAAAAAGGCATCCTAATGGGCACAAAAATAATAGCATGCCATTTTTGTGGGACATTCTGTACTATAATCAAAAATATTTTTACAAAATATCAAAATTCCAACTTAAGTACTTAATAACAAAAGACAGTAGCTGAGATGGCGGATCCTGAATATGATGTAGACAATCACTCGATGCTTGTTTTCTTTCTTCTTCTTTGTAATAGGTACGTACGAAAAATGTATGTCTGCTTAAGATTTTATAGGAGAATCAGTTCCACTTCCGGGCCAGCTCTATTTTTCACAGTCAATACTGCACGTTTCAATCCACAACGAATCAATTTTTAAACAATCCATCCATTTTCTAGGTTAAAACCATCAATCACTTCCATCATTCAAAATTTGCATTAACATTAAGTGACTTGCAACTACGATCTACACGGTTTTTAATAATAAACATGTTATTGTTCTCGCTATCTGTGGAGAATAAATTACAGCTACATTTTTTTTAAATGTGAAACAAACTATTTGAATTCTAAATAATCTTTCGATGCGTTTAATTCGGAGATATTGCACTCAGATTTGCTCCACAATTTTACCTCAGATGCAATGAAAATATATTCATAAACTAAAGAGATAATAAAAATTAAAACAATATTTTTTTCCATTTATTAATTTACTGCATTGATGAGAATTATCAAAACAAAGTTGTTATTGACTGCAACCACGACCTCTTTCAGACTGTTCTCATGCGAGAGTTTTACATCGTACTTTTCATGTGCAACAAGCAGTGTGTCCTAACTTTAACAGTGATTTTATTTATTAAACTGACCACCTCATCAGATTGCGATTCCTTCCAGAATGTTAAAATAAAAGTACACCTCCATCGGGACAATCCGTACAACACCACCATAATTGTGCATTAAACGAATAGTCTTCGAAAACGTCATAACTCATCACTCAAACCTACGAAACAGCAGAAAATACCAAAATCACAGGGAGACTCTGTAGGAAACATCAAACACCTCCGTACAACCACACTCGGCAACTATGATCCTGTGGCTTTCTGAAACGTTCCCAACCTCAAAACAATCGAAATCCTAAATGGAAACCTAAATGTGTCTGCAGAAGTGTTTTTGTTGGCCCCGAAATTAGAAACATTAAATTTAAGTCACAACAAATTGAAGATGGTATTTTCGATGGAGTAAACAACTTAAAACAACTTTCTTGTGACACCTACAACAATTAGGGATTATGGCGGTCACAGTGGTTCGCAAATGGTTCAAATTTGCAAATTATAAATTTTCAATGTAACAGAATCAAATTTTTGCTTAGGCGAGCATTCTTCGAGCTCCGAAAATTGAAAAAGATTTATTTTAACTACAACGAATTGGAAGTTATCCAACAGAAAGCTTTTAAAGGCATCGCCCATTTGTAATATTTGGGCTTGAGGTATAACAGACTCAAATTTATAGATCCTAGAATCTTCGCGAATAAAATAATGATTGAACCTTTGACTATCGACGTGAATTACTTGAATACTGTGTCCGCAGAAGTGTAAAAGTCAAAAAAGTGTCTTTAAATGGGAATCCCTGGAAATGTCCCTAAGGACATTTCAAGTTCTACATCAGCTGTACAAAATGAATGCAACTACCTACTCATATTCAAACGTTAGATAGTTGTGTCACTGGAGACATCCCAGTCTGTTTTTTTTCTGCTGTTCACTTAAAAACTTGCAATGAAACGGTTGACAACCATGCGACGAAGACATAAAGATAAACCCTTCCTTAGATAAGTATTGAGTGAGAATATAGATTAATTTGATAAAATGCAATTTAAAATTATTCAAAAAATTATACTTGTTTTATTATGATTACCTAAATCAAATAAAAAGTTAATAAGAAGTTACTTATTATTCACCAGATTCGCACATTTTTGTAACCTGTTCCTGATGAGGGATAACTGAAATTTGTTTTAGATATTATCTCTTTTATATTAGCTAAAACAAGAGTCTCCAAAAGACTTATTTATCTAGTCGAGCATAATGTTTATTCAGTGATCAATTTCAATTTTCCTAGATAATTTCCTGTAATCTCATCATCGATCCTTTTAATTACAGGGATAACTAAACAGGTAATAGAAAATCGAAATATCCTTTTTCCTTAAAAGAAATAAATCTAATCTAAACACAAGCAATTCGGAGTGGTGTTAATGCGCGATATTTCTCAGTCATCACTAAAATTTGATAATAAAAATATAAAATAAAAAAAACAAAAATCAATTCCTCCCAAAATAAGCAACTTTGCACTAAAAATTCCAAGTATAATATCTTACATTGTATTTTTTTCAGTACTCTGGGGGACTACCCAATTACTCCCTTTCAAGGAAGTGCGCGATTTTTTGAACATCCTGTATACGTAGTTTCACATGGGTTTTTGTGTCTGCGGTTAAAAAGCAAAATGTGGTGCCGCTAGCCCGTTTTCGATTTGAGCCTCAGATTAGTGCCCTTGAAAGAACAGCCATATATGGGTTGACTCACACGCGAGCAAATTATCGCAAGTGCGATAAAACGGTGCATGTTAGTAAAGCGACAGTGCACGACTGACAGGACCGGATTTGCAACTCGGATAGCGGTCACGTTATTTATTTTCATGAGAATTAGTAGCCTTGTTGGAACGCATGGAAAGTGGCAAACTCGTAGACAGTTTTGTCAACAATCCCAGATTAAGATCGTCGGACACACGGACACGAGTGTGTACACTTTCCATTACAAATAGAACAAACATGAGCTGTAAATTACGTTTTTATCATAGTTCTGTTATTAAAATTATTTTACTGATTTTAATCCTCGACAGACCAATGCAGACTTATGAATCGCGACTGATTTCTCACTCTTGTTCCAGGTTTGAAAACCATCATCAATGCGCTTCTCCATTCGTTCAAGCAGCTCGCGGAAGTCATGACGTTAACCATTTTCTGTTTGATGGTGTTCGCATTATTCGCCTTGCAAGTTTACAAGGGTGAATTACGCAACAAGTGCGTTCTCAAAATGGACGATCACAACGCCACCTACGAAACTTGGTTCAAGTATGTTGTTTAAAATTTCGACTTTTCTGCATGATGTAATAAAAGCTTTTACAACGAAGCTTTGGATTTGGAATCGGAGACTCAAACACCTGTTTGCCTCCAGGGGCGCTTTTCACTAAAACGACTTTGATTCATTGGAAACCGAATTGGCCTCATTTATCTACTGAAAATTTCGTATTTCAGAATAAAAGCGGGTGAATGATGATGATGTCCAATGTAGCATCTCGCTTGTGACAAATGGCACCGATTCAAATCAACAAAAGATTCGAATAAACGATTTTTCTCTTTACTTCAAAAAAAATTTCACTTGTTCTTTTTATTAGTTACGAGTAAATAGATTAAACGTTTCAGTTATGATGACGATTAGCGTTACCGAATAGTTGGGTAAGGTTTCATGTATGCCTGTTTTTTCCCGAAAACATTTTTAACTTTGAAATATTCCAAAATTTTTTCAGTACCCATTTTAAATTATTTCTCAGTGTTGCATCTTTTAATCGTTTCGTTTGTAAATTAATCATTTTCCAATTGTCTGTTAATCGATCCTCTTTTGATCAGATTTTTGCAACCAGAAAACATTCGATGTTTTGATTTGTTATTAAATTTCCATTAATCTTTCAATTCAGCGGTAAAAGTTTCACCAGTTTCGGTAAATTACTTTTCAATTACATGTCCACACCAGCTTCCTGCTGCGGTTTCGATGGTTTATCCAGCAAGAGTTGAGCATATATTACTTTTTGCTTGTTTCAATTAACAGCATTTCGCTTCTCTGAATTTGTTTTTCTTGTAGTTGGACGAGCGACCCTAACAACTGGATAGTACGCAACGAAACGGGCGAACCCTTGCTCTGTGGTAACGTGACGGGCTCTCGACACTGCCCCTCGACACATACGTGCATCTGTGTTGGTGAAAATCCCAACCATGGATACACAAGTTTCGATAACTTCCTTTGGTCGATGCTCACCACCTTTCAGCTCATCACGCTCGACTATTGGGAGAACGTTTACAATATGGTGCTGTCATCGTGTGGTCCAATAAGTGTTTCGTTTTTTACAGTGGTAGTTTTTTTCGGTTCGTTTTACCTAATTAATCTAATGTTGGCTGTGGTAGCGCTAAGTTACGAAGAGGAAGCAGAAATAACGCAAGAGGTAAGGAGGAGTTTTCCGTCTGCTGTAACAATAACAAAATGTGACGGTTGCAGGAACGCAAAAAAGAACTCGTGGATCACCGCGAAGATTCCACGTTCAGCTTTGACCCCTCGAGTCTAAACGTAAAAAAACTGTCGAAGCACAAAATCAAAAAAATCGACGCGAGGAAAGGCGTCCTTCTGTCGTCATACACGCGAAAAAAGACTAGACGAAGAAAGCGAAATCGAAGCACCAACAATCCCAACAAATCCCCAAGCAGCTCCGCTGCCGTCGAAGCTGCCAATGCTAAAGAAGACTCGGCAAAAACTTCGCCCAAGCCTAATAGGTCCGTCACGCCGAGTCCCAGTCCCAGCCCACGTCATAGCAGGAGCTCCTCGCGTCCGCAGATGCTGCCTCTGCCACTGCCCCCTCCCCGCCACGTGCAGCTCTCCGACCCCAGGTGTCCAGACACCTTGCACCCTTCCAACACGCTCGGTAAGATCCGCTAATTGCACTATTGCCGTCATTACTCTTTCCTTGAGTAGCGCCCACACGAACGGGGCTCAGCAGTAGGCAAGCGAGCAGCAATAGTGGCGAGGGTAACAACCGGGAGTCCTCGCTGGATGATTCCGGCGTGGTGGACGACCACGAAACCGAAGGGGACGCCACGTCGGAGGATGTGGCTTCACACTTACCGCAGCAGCCGCCACGGGTACGTTTTTATTCGTGATATACGAGTTCAGCGCTTTATCGATTCGACTAATCTGTTGCAGCAAAGGATAGAGGTGACACCTGTTACGGTGGCTCTTAGCCCCAAAGAGATCAAAGTAATCAAGTGCAACGGAGTAGGAAGTTGCAAGAAAAAGAAGCAGATGTACGCCCTTCCGCCGGATTATCTATCACACATTGTCGTTATCGGTAAGTGTGGAATTAAAAAATATACAGGTGTCCGGAAACACGCGCACTTCCTTGAAAGGGAGTAACTGGGTAGGCCCCAGAGGACTAAAAAATGTTTAAAAAATTCTATCTGTCAAAAAATTTTGACATTTATTTTTTGACGTGACATTTTTTTAATGTTTTTTTTTATGATAGTGATAATTTTGGATATGTTTTTTATAATTGTTTAGTAAAGGTACAAAAATTTTGCCAATAAAAGCCACAAATGACACTAAACAGAGTTACACTTTAGGATACAGCTTCCTTGTTTCCTCTTCTAACAACCTGTACTTGGAAAATTTTGAAAATTATTTTTCTAACAGAAATAAATAGTCAAAGTGCAAACCTCAAAATTTTTATAGATAGATTGTTGTAAACATTTTTCTTGTAGTCTAGGGCACCGCTCGATGATACAGTGTCACAGAGATGCGCGACTTTCCGGACACTCTGTATATTAAACAGAATTTAATTAACTTTGTGTTGTGTATTTAAACAAAGCTGACTTAACCACCTTCACTAAAAGTTTTCATTTTAAGTTTACCTGTTTGATATATGAGGGTTGTTTGAAATGCCTGGTAAAAAGCTATGACCACGTGCGTCAATTAATTTGGCGAACCGCAAGTGAGATATGTCATCTTTCAGAGTAAGTCTGTTAAAGTTTCAACAAAAATTGACGCCTGGTTGAAAAGTTAGGGAATTTTAAAAATACTCGTAAGTTGTTTGAAGAAATTTCGAGAATGAAAAAAAAACGAATTTAGCGCTGTGATAAAACATTTTTATTTAAAAAAAATGGCCATCCGATCAGGTAAAAAAGAACTAGAGGAAGTACGTGGAGATTCTGCACCTTCGTTGAACACTATCTATTTCTGGATAAACGAATTTAAACGGGGTCAAACATCCACCCAAGATGAAGCGCGCTATGGGCGCTCTGTCGACGTCACGACTTCACAAATTGTGGGAAAAATCCACAAAATTGTCTTGGAAGATCGCCGGGTGAAAGTTAGGGAAGTTGCTGAAATTGTAGGCATCTCTACTAAACGGGTACACTTTGTATGAAAAAAAATTGTGCAAGATGAATGCCGCAATTGTTGACTGGGCACCAAATGCGTACCCTAAGGGAGATTGCAGCACTCGCTGAATTATTATTTGAATTAGTTCGAATTCACCCTATTCACCAGATTTAGCATCGTGTGACTTCTACCTACATTCAAATCTAAAAATTTAGCTTGGTGAAGAGAGATTTCATTCAAACAAAGAAACCATAGCCGTGGTGAATGAATATTTTGCAGCACTCGAAAAATCTTTTTTTTTTCCGATGGGTTAAAAAAATTAGAAAGTTGTTGGATGAAGTGCATAGATCTTAATGAAGATTATATTGAAAAATAAAAATCATTGTTACCAAAAAAAATTTCTTTTACTAGGAATTTTAGCACATTTATCAAACAACCCTCGTATTTTTCACTCGTTTTACAGTTAATTCGTAAAAACACGAGAGAATTAATCCTAGAGATAACGCTCTGGAATTTTCGCCTCAGAGAAGCGGAATTGTAATTTCGTTGTTTCACCTTTCTCGTCTCGTCCAATTTCGGCAATTCCAACTATGTCTAAACCACGAAAAACTTAATTGTCCCCGACTAACCCTTCTGAACTTTACGACCACAAATTCGGACATTTAAGCGCCAGTGTCCCAATTGAATCCCTTTCGTTAATTGAAAAATACATTTTAGACGACCAGATTCCGGATCGAAACTGTTCCGGTTGTGAACAGTGCTGTGTGGACTACGATGGATGGTTGCAGTTTCAGCAAGCCCTCTATCGAATAGTCCGGGACCCACTCTTCGAGCTTGCTATTACAGTCTGCATTGTGCTCAATACCATGTTCCTAGCCATGGAGCACCACGGCATGAGCGACGACGTGCTCAAGGCTCTAGACATAGGCAATAAAGTGAGTCGACCCTATTATCCATTTTCACTCGGTTAGCAATTCAATCAACTCAATTGTGCGACCAAAACTCATTCAATTAAAGTCGCTTAATTATACCTACATTGCTAACAAAAACGCAAACGCTGAAATCCATATTTATTTTTAGGTTTTTACTTCCATTTTTACGTTCGAATGTTGCCTGAAGCTGATGGCGCTCAGCAAAGAATTTTTCTACTGCGGCTGGAACATCTTTGATTTAATTATAGTTTCGGCGAGCGTTCTAGATCTGATATTCGAACTTGTCGATGGGTTATCGGTACTGCGAGGATTGCGATTGGTGAGTCAAAAAACTGACTAGACGTTTCCTAACTTTTATCTTCTCCGTAGTTGAGAGTTCTAAAGCTGGCTCAATCGTGGATAACTATGAAAGTGTTGCTCAGCATCATAATTAGCACGATAGGAGCTTTGGGGAATCTTACCTTTGTTCTTGTTATCGTCATTTATATTTTTGCCGTAATAGGAATGCAACTTTTCGCCAAAGACTACACTCCCGAGAAGTTCTATCCCGACCCCGTTCCTAGGTAAGTCTGGAATTCAAGGGTTGTTTCATATTTAATTCGGCGACAAAATGACAAGTACAAGGGTTTTACGAGGGTGATATTTTTTACGACCCATGAAACGGTTCTGTTGGGATAATTAAAAACAGAACAACCAACACTTAAGAGACGCAATTTCCTTGAATTCCTTAAATGTAAACATTTCAGTTGTAACAATTTTGTGTTTTCCGTTTTAGATGGAATTTCACTGATTTTTTTCATTCGTTCATGATGATTTTTCGGATCCTTTGCGGCGAATGGATCGAACCTTTGTGGGATTGCATGCGCGCGGAGAGTACCGAGGTGAGAATCGCCCCCAATACAACACCGAGTAATTTTCGTAATCGCAGGGACCTGGCACGTGCCTCGCTGTTTTCCTTCCTACTCTAGTAATGGGAAACTTCATGGTCTTGAACTTGTTCTTGGCTTTGTTACTCAACAGTTTCAATTCCGAAGAGCTCAAAACGCGAAAAGAGGTACCGAATCGATTCACACCCTACCTGCATGGCTGTTTATGTTACTTTATGTTTTTTCTTCTTCACAGGTTTATTATTTTTTCCCACACAAAATTTATGTAGACCCGAACCAAATTTATGTTATCCAGTAGAAGACCAGGAGCGGGTTTGTGACTGTTTTTTTGTTTGACTAATTCTTACCTCTTTTGTTGTTTTATTTGTGTGCATGCACTCTTCTAACAAGGATAATCTAGCACAAATTCTAAATCCCTGTGATATTGTCGTTTGCAAGCGAAATGTACATAAATATGTGTGTTAATGCATTAGGTAAGTAACTAATTCCTGTTTAATTGCTTTGCTTATTGGACAATGCTGAAAAAAACAGTGCTAAGCACAACACCAAACGCAATCGCTATAAACATAGCGCAAAATCAAATTACCAGTTTTTCAACCTAAACTGGTGGTTTAGCATTTAGTTTAGAAGTTAGAAAAAAAACACGAAAACATGCATTTTCACTGTATCAAAAGTTACCCACTTAACACATTGGACCGAGTTGGAAAAACACAAAATAATGATAGAACTTTTGAGGAACTTGCCAGAATGCATGTATCTAGAAAATCCTCCTGTCGGAAAGTAATTTACAAAACAAACAAAAATGTTGTACAGGAAGTTGGAGATGAGTCGAAATTAGCTCAGAGCTTTGAACGGATCCGGGACTTGATCAGGAAGCGGCGACAGCAACGAATGCAAGAACAAAAACAAAACGAAAACAATTCACGACTGGAGCAGATTGTCCGGGAAGTCATGCAAAGGCGAGCTGAGGAAGAAGCGTTCAAAACAGGTATTTATCCATTATGCGTTTGCTAAGCTACAGCCATTTCGTGACAAATTAGGCGTCTTAGAGAGAACAAAGAGAAAAATTACCATTTCCATGATCAAAACCAGAGGGAATCTTTCATAAAAATTAATTCAGCAACGCCAACTGTAGAATTTCAGGTCCAGGATTCATAATTATTTATTAAACATTACGCTCAGTGGATTGATGCGTAAATCATTTCCGGTAAACCTTTACAGCTCTCTAACAAGCTTCATTTGCATTATTTCGTTATCCTTTTGACGGTTCCAACGGCTAGATATCGATTTCTCTTTTGTTTATTCTCCTTCGTATCACGTCCTAGTTTGATAAAGCCCACAAAATGATGGTAACTGCAACAGCCGCGACTCATATTATGTATCTATTTTAACGTTCAACTTAATGCTTTTCTAATTTCGGCAATTTATACACGATGTCGCTCAATAACCTGTTGACAAGATTTATTGTCTTTGGTCGATCTAACGTGACCCTTCTTCCTCCAGGAATAACAACTAAAGCTATACAGGAAACTGTGGTTGGATTTCCTAGGGACAAACGCAGTTACCAAGAAGCGATGAATAGGCCGATCTCAATCATAAGTTATGATCATCCACCGGACTATCAGGTAAACCTAATTACTCACAAATGGAATGGAAACAATAACTCGGTTCTAGACAATACAAGAAGGAGAGAATGAGGAAAAGTATGCGAGGAGATATTCGACATTGATTAACGGTAACTCAGAAGAGAGTGATAATGCGGAGAAGGCACGACTTATCGAAAACAAAAAGACTGACGTTAGATTACTCCAGAACATGTCTTCGGGCAGAGGAACCACGAATGATAGTAAAGGTAAGAATTTACTTTCGCAATAGCTCCAAACGATTCACGGATTTGTGGGTTTTCCAGAAGAAAATACCGAAAGTGTAGAGATGAAAAACATCGACAGGGGAACATCCGTCGACACGGAACACGACGAAGAGTCCGCTTTATGTCCGGATTCCCATAAAAATTGCAACAAGAGGGGCGAGCACGAAGATGACAGTCAGAAGCCGTGGCAAACTTTAGTGTCCTACGTAGACGAGTTAACCGTTGGTGGCCGAAGAAACTCCAAAGGGCAATACATTGACGGAATGGGAAACTTTCCCGGTTTCGGTAACAAGAAACCGCCTAAAGTACCACCAAACTGTTTTCCCCATCATTGTTACCAACAGTAACTCTCCAACGAACGTGACTGGATCAACACTAATGTTTGTATTGCAGGTGCGCTTGTTTCAATTACTGCTTGAACACTAGTGTTGGTAAAAAGTGGACAAAGATAAGGACAATGGTTTTACGAGTTGTTGACACTCCCGGATTCGAGTGGTTTATTTTGGTGTTGATTTTCGCGTCTAGTGTGACACTGTGCTTTGAGGATATTCATTTGGATGAAAGTCCGGACTTGAAAAGCGTTCTCTATTGGACGAACTTAGCGTTTTCGATTATTTTTATTATCGAGATGTTGTTAAAATGGATCGCGCTGGGGTTCCACAAGTATTTTACCAGCTTTTGGACTTTGTTAGACTTTTTAATAGTTTTCGTAAGTAAACAGACAAACTAAAAAATGGCAAAGACGAAAATTTGTTAGGTTACTTGTCATTGTGACAAAAAACTTAGTTTAAAAAAATATATAATAGAAAAATGTCACAACTGGATATAGAATCTGCGACCTCGACACCACCAGACTCTAACACCAGTCTCCGCAGTATTTTGGATTTTTTGAAACGAAATCTCAACCATTTCAAAACCACTAAAGGAGTACTAAAACTAGCAGAATTTCTGTTAGGTGTTCTTTGTGGATTTCTGGCTTCTCCCATCTACCCTACAGGAACTCTTTTCCGTTTTATAGTTTTTACCGCGTTAGTAGGTACAACAATTTGGATAATTCTGTATATTGCGATAGGTAGTGATATTCTCACATCGGTGATGTGTTGGGTGATCGCTGAACGTATCTTTACTGGTATTGCTTGTATAGATTACGCCCTAGCTTCCCTGATTCAGACCCTAGACTCAACCAACGAATCAAGAGTTCTTGATATGATTGCAGGCCTTTTCGGCTTTATCAATACCTTTCTATACGGAATTGGTGTTTTCCTTGTGAACAGTGCACATTTCGATCTCATGTATTCACTCTCATAAGTTCTCCATGTACATACTGATAAGAATAAATCGTAACCACAAATTTTCGTCTTTATAGGCCCTGATAAGGCGTCGCCTGGCATGTTCTTTCATTATTGTATTCCAGGTCTCCCTCTTCAGTTTACTGATTGAGGAAAACGAAAACTTGCGAGTTTTACGTTCATTACGAACATTAAGAGCCTTACGACCGTTACGTGCCATTAGCCGGTGGCAAGGGATGAGAATCGTGGTCAACGCTTTAATGTACGCAATCCCTAGCATCTTCAACGTGTTGTTAGTGTGTCTAGTATTTTGGTTGATTTTTTCCATCATGGGTGTACAGTTTTTCCGTGGAAAATTCTACAAATGTCTTGACGAAAACGACGAATTAGTGCCCATAGAAGTAAGAACTAATCAATAGATATTCACGATTTAGAAATATTTTTGTAGATTGTTAACACTCGCCAGGATTGTTTAACTCTCAACTACACTTGGATCAATTCCAAGATATCTTTCGATCACGTTGGAATCGCCTATCTTGCACTGTTCCAAGTGGTAAGTTTGTCTTAGAGTATTACCAAATAGGTTTAGTGTTGTGATTTAAGGCTACGTTTGAGGGTTGGATGGAAGTAATGGCCGACGCGGTAGACGCCCGAGGGGTTGATTTGCAACCCCAACGGGAGGCTAACCTTTACGCTTACATTTACTTCGTTATTTTTATAGTCTGTGGTTCTTTTTTTACTTTAAATTTGTTTATCGGAGTCATCATCGATAATTTCAACATGTTGAAAAAAAAGGTAAGCAGGAATTGAAGCTTTGTGAGCAAATCTTGAAAAATTGTTCCAGTACGAAGGTGGTGTGCTAGAGATGTTCCTCACCGAAAGCCAAAAGCACTATTACACCGCCATGAAAAAGCTCGGGAGGAAAAAACCCCAAAAGGTCATTAAAAGACCAATGAACCAATTTCTGGCAATGTTTTATGACCTGTCGAACTCGCGCAGATTCGAAATAGCAATATTCGTGTTGATTTTTCTTAATATGTTATCGATGGGGATCGAACATTACAATCAGCCCCATGCTGTGTTCTTCATTTTAGAAGTTAGTAACGCGTTTTTCACTACAGTATTCGGTTTAGGTAACTAAACGTTTTTAAAAGAAAATCAAAATTTAATTTCGGTTGTGGTTGCAGAGGCTATCGTCAAGATAATAGGACTAAGGTATCACTACTTCACGGTTCCGTGGAATGTGTTCGACTTTTTACTAGTATTGGCTTCCATTCTCGGCATTTTAATGGAAGACATCATGATTGATTTTCCCGTGTCGCCGACTTTACTACGGGTGGTCAGGGTGTTTAGGATAGGACGCATTTTGCGCTTAATAAAAGTAAATTTATGTTATAATTGTAGTGTTTGTGTTGAATGTGGTTTTCTAGGCGGCCAAAGGCATCCGAAAGTTGCTTTTTGCCCTCATTGTGTCTTTGCCTGCCCTTTTCAACATAGGGGCTCTTCTAGCCTTAATCACCTTCATTTATGCTATAATCGGAATGTTCCTCTTCGGTCACGTAAAGCAACAAGGTGCTCTCGACGACATGGTCAACTTCCAAACTTTCGGAAGATCGATGCATTTGCTCTTCAGACTGATAACTTCAGCTGGATGGAACGACGTTTTAGAATCGTTAATGATCGAACCTCCAGAATGCGATCCACATTATAAGAATCAGTCAAACGGCGACTGCGGATATCCTCTTCTATCTATCATCTACTTTACCAGTTTCATCATAATAAATTACATGATAGTGATAAATATGTATATAGCTATCATTTTGGAGAACTTCAATCAGGCTCATCAGGAAGAAGAGATCGGGATCGTCGAGGATGATCTCGAAATGTTCTATATCCGGTGGAGCAAGTACGTTTTTGTTGCAAGAGGAATTTGTGTTAAAATTCAAGTTTGATTTCAGATACGATCCTCATGCCACTCAGTTTATTCGATTCTCTCAACTTTCCGATTTCATCGCTTCTTTAGATCCTCCTTTAGGCATCTCGAAACCTAATACCGTTGCTTTAGTGAGCTTCAATCTGCCCATCGCTAAGGGCAATAAAATCCATTGTTTAGATATTCTACACGCGTTAGTTAAACACGTGCTCGGTCACGTGGAAGAGACTGATAACTTTAGACAGGTGAGTACAAAAGGAAGTAGAAACTGGATTAATATTATCTCTTCCAGTTACAAGAACAAATGGATATCAAATTCAAGAAACAGTTTCCGACGCGAAAAGAGCTGGAAATTGTTTCCTCGACTCGGATTTGGAAACGGCAAGATAAGGCCGCTAGGTTGATCCAGAAAACCTTCCGAGACTACGTAAAGTGAGTCGATTTCCATTTGGAAAATAATCTATAGTTTTTTTTTGTGTACGTGATATTAATTCGTGTCTGTTAAGGCGCAAGAAAGAGCGCGAACGTGTGCAGGAAGAGGTGGACGAGATGACGCAGACTTCGTCCCCTGGAGGCGGGTGGCAGGGGCGTCTGTCCGCTTTCCTGCATGTGCATCGAGGGAGTCGCGCCTCTTCTCGCAAGTCCTCTAGGGCCTCTGACGCGAGCGACCTCAGCGAGCTAGGCGGACCGTGGCTGAATTTGCCGCTGCTGTTGCTCTCAAGCGCCACCAACATGGACCCAGAGGAGCTGGATTTGACGCGCGACGCCGCCGATGTAAACATAAAGGTAAGCGAGGCCACCCCCGAGGCCACGACGCCGGTGACCGCGGTGCCACCGGCGCGCCGCCGAAGCATCTACAATTTCCCGTTCTTCCTACGTCATCAAGACGCGGTGGAAAAGTCGGACGACTCGGCCTCGCCGCCAACGTCTAAGCGCTCGACGCAGTCACTTCACCCGGCGATGGCCGAGGACCCTAAGCCAAAGCGGGGCAGCATCATTCGAAGAAAACGGGTAGGTTCGGTCAAGGCCAGACCGACGGGGGGCGGCATCACGCCCGCCCACAGGGCCGAATCCGAACCACTTAACAGTGCGGACGTTAGTATTTTAGTGACGGAAGCCTCGCCAGAAGCACCCATCCTTAAGCCTCCTCTGCAACGACAACAGAGCGAGGCCACCGTTGTTCAAGTGTTAGTTCATAGGGAAAGTGAGGAGTACAATCAGGACGATGACGAAGCCACACCCACAATTAAAGTCACTAACGAGGACGTTTGTGATACCGACTTGACACAGGTGACGGACACTGACGCGAATAACCAAAACGGTAACACCACAGATAGCTGATCTGAACCCGCACACACCGAACTATTGCAATAATTATTAATTGTAGATTAGGAAGTGTAGGAACAGGCGTCGTTTCGACCAAATACATCCCTGGTTTGTGAAAACCAACATTTCACAAGTAGTACGAACACAATTTATTTTCGGCAAAATAATCTGCTTAGGGCAGTTGTAATTTTTACAACGGAACACCAGCATGATTTTTTAGAAGCTAGTAGTAGCTTTGGCATATTTATAAATTTCTAGATCATGCAATGCCTGCAATTGTCCCAAAACCAAAAGAACTCATATTTTTGGCACTCTGATCTCTGATTGTTGTAAAATAATAATCACCACAAGTTTAACAAAACTTATCATAATAAGTATGCAATAAGAACTCATTTCAAGCAGATAAATACTTATGCTAATATAAAATAGTATAAAAATAAAGTTATTAAAAGGTGGTGGTCAACTTTCAACTACAGATGTATATCACTAGAAAAAAAAAAAGAATGAAAACCTCACTAATAACCAATTATATCACAAATGAAGTTCTTTTGATTTCTGGACTCTAAATGGTAGATTATCAAAATTGTTTTTTTATTCATTAAATTACAGGTTTGCTTAGTGCTTTTCTTCAATTTTAAAATAAATTATCACATTTCAAAATAACTACGACGCCTGGTCCTGTCCACAATTTTTTTATTTTGTATAATTAGGAATTACTTTTTTAAGGTTATTGTAAAAAGAAAAATGATAAAGCGAATTAATTCTAATTCAGATGCTTTGGGCATATTGTACATAAAACATGAAAACAAGAAAAAATATGAATTTTTGAAACATGTAGATATAGATCATTATGAAATGAGTGAGTTTATAATCTTTTGAATCTGAAGTTTGTATAGTTAAGAGAATTAATCAATAACTTAACGTACAGGTTATTATTAAGTCAATTAAACTCTAAACTATGACTATATCTCTACAAAAAGAGACATCGTACAATCAGTAGCAAAAATAATATGTAGCGTTTAAGGATAATAAATAATTTAGCATGACATATTTTTGTTGGCGTTATTTTAATAGTCATAAAAGATGTGTAAATATATGTTGACAATATAACTGTACATTACTCAAAGGCCTACACAAAAAGACTACAGTTTTTGTACGCTTTTTCGTCCTCCATTTAACCTCTGTTCGTTTTCTCTCTCACCATCATCGTAACATATCACTTATCAACTATTTTTCTGTACATAGCAGCTTAAATGGAGGTACGAAAATGCAACCAACACGATTGTTACCACATTTAAAATAAGATATTTATTGCGCTATTATCAGTTGATTAGAAACACTCAGAGCCAAAATTTTCAGATCCTGTACTTTTAGTTGGAAATGAAACTTGTTCTTCCTAACATTCTTCTTTAACATATGTCCAAAATTTAGTTTTTGTTCGCTTGTTGACAAAATTAAAGCTAATCAGGGGGCCAGACGTGTGCATTGAAACAGTAGTGTACATAAAACTGATCATGTAGAGAACAACTTTACTTTATTGCTTGAAAATAAAATTATAACTTGTTTATATGAAAAATTTCTTCTTCCTTACTACATGCTAAAAAAGGTTTTATTCATTGTGATATTGTGTATCAAAGACGGGTCCCAACGGAAGGATCAACCTCCTCCCGTCAGGACTTTCATAAATTGTTACAAACGTATTGTTGCATTTTATGAGGCAGGTTTGAATAAAGTTTATTGCCAAAATATTTAATAAATGTATATAATCGCCAAAGTTATGGGGCCGCGTGCCTGAAACTGCGTTTCGACACGCAGCTTTTGCTGTTTTGTTAGCTATTTATATTGCTAGTGATAACGTTTACCTAGATTGCCTTCATCAGATATTTTAAATATCATTGTTAATTTTAATATAGTAGCAGAAACACTAGAGTAGACTTGTGTACAAATCTTTAAATTGTCAAAGTTATAGCTTTTAAATTAAAAATAAAACCAAATTAATCAATCTCTTTTTAATTCAAACTACTTGGTAGACACTCGAGTACGTTTGTTCCATGAAAAATTAATGCCATAAGACTTTGGCTTAAATGGTCTCTCAAACGAACTCTCCTGGACGTACCACTGCCAGCCATTTTTCTCACAGAATTGAATTGCGTCCTCTTTGCTTGAAAACTGTATTTTCATGTTGGACAATGGGTCCCCGCTATGACAGTTTTTTTCAATAACAATAATTCTAAAATTACAAAAACTTACGTCGAACACCACCCCATCAAAGGGTTTTCCCATCGCTCGCGAGTATCAAAATCCATTTCCCAATGTCCAGTATTGTCAGTCCCACTTTGCATTGCATTTTTAGCAGGTTCATAGATACGCACCAAACGTTCCTTGACGTGCTCCTCAGGAACCCCCGTCACACAAGAAATATCAGTCTAAAATCCTAATTATTACTACCGTACACCAATAAATATAAAAACCTACAGTTGCGTCCACTGTTATGTAACCTTGTAAACGTTTACGTTGTTCGACTTCCTCAGGATTAAGAAGGGCCAAATCGTTAATTTGTGGAGCTTCTTTTTGATTAATAGCTTTAGATATATCATCACTTTGACGACTTGAAGTTGTTGAAATACTAGCAAGAGACCTAACTTTGAGGTTAGATTACCAAACAAATTTAAAAACTCACCACTTTAAACTAGGGCACTTTTGAAGTGCCCTTGAACGCAAAATTATAGAAGCCATTTGAAAATAGTCCAATTAGTGAACTGCTGACGATTTTTTTTTACTTTTTTATAAACACGGACAATCGATGTTACGTCAATTGTCAAAATTCAGGGTAGCCACCAGCCGCAACCAGCCTAATAAAGAATTTTCTGCTAAATTCAAATTTTTTTATGGTAAAAATCGATAAAACATTGATAAAGTTTTATTTTATTTAAATTTATACACTGTGTCAATTTTAAAACTTGCAATCGGCAATTTCTCTCAACTGAAAAAGTTATTAATATTCACTCAAAACCGTTTTGGTGGTTCCTAGGGGGAATTAAAATTACATGATAAGTGACACACCTCCACCCACTCTTGAATATAATAAAAAAATGAAAATTTAACGTCTTCGTTTTTGAATAATTGGAAAAATGGCTTTGCCAAATAGGCTGTTGTATAACATTTTTGAAAAGCGCTTGTTATGGGCTTTCCAACGATGTATCGCAAGTAGGGTCGTGCTATTTAAAATTTTCAACTTAAGGTAGCTGTGGCTTGAAGGGTGGGTGGAGGAGCGTCACTTACCATGCCATTTTGATTCCCTCTAAAAACCACCGAAACGGTTTTGAGTGATTCTCAATAACTTTTTTAGTTCTACAGATATTGCCGATTGCAAATTTTAAAATTGTAAAGAATCAAGTGGCTTCAACATATTTTTAAGTCAGTGATTCCCTTGGATTTAGGACATAAATAAAACACTAATAATAATTTGACTGTTTTATTGTTCAAAAACACACTCCTGGTCCGTTTGGAGGCTGTGCGGCAATTCCCCTTTTGTTCATCCGACACGCATGTTCTTCAAGCCTGATTTGAGCATCAGAAATATCATTGACACTTTCATCAGACCAAAGTCTTTCAGCAATAGCACTAGCTCGTGGCCAAACTCTTGGAATAACGCTATATTCATTAACGTATTCTCCCCACATACACGCTTCGCCTCCTAGTAATAATTTCTTTTCCTCTTCGGTATGCAAAAGTAAAGCGGGTTCACATTTATAAAAAGCATCCCAATCACTACCACTGTGCAGAACCGATAAATACCAACAAGATGAGTATAGGCCATATTTTCCAGCTTTAATCACCTTAGAAAATCAAAGAAAAAATAAAATATAAACTGAAATAAATACTCACATTGTTTAGAGTGCTGAGACCGTTATCTTTCCAAATGTGTACAACAGTTGAGTTGGGTAATTCAACTCCGTTAACAAAAACTTCCTCCCAGACAAGGTATTTGGAACTTAAAGTGTCTAAAATGTTGACCACGTGTTGAATAAAATAGCTTTCAAGTTGCTCATAAGATAAAAAATTGTTCTGTTTCATAAAATTATTCACATCCGGATTGCTTTTCCTACCAAAATCATTAAAAAAAGTCTATTCAAATTAATAACTCAAATAATATACCAACAATCAAATTCAACCTCATCACCCCCAATATGAAAATAGGAATCCGGAAAAACGTTCACAATTTCCGTAAACAAATTATTTATAAAATTATAAGTAATATCTTTAGTTGGGTCCATTGGACCCAATTGCCCATTGACCACATTATCTGTGAAACAGCTAGTCAATAGTTCAGGATGAGCAACTCCCCAAGAACGTGTGTGACCCGGAGTGTCAAACTCGGGGATTACCCGAATTCCTCTAACTCTCGCATATTCTATTACTTTCTTAACGTCACTTTGTTCGTAGACTCCTCTAACGGGGTGATAAGCACCTTTATCACTAAAACACTGTTTAATCCAAGTTCAAGAAGGTTTTTTATAGTCGAACCTTAGTTCAGGATAGGTCCGACTCTTGTAGGGAAAACTATGATCATCTGTGATATGCCAGTGAAAAACATTGAATTTGTTATAAGCCATAGCGTCCAGCATTTGAAGAATAATGGGTACGGGCTCAAAATGTCGCGATGTGTCAAGGAGAAAACCCCTGTGTGGAAATCTCGGAAAATCGTTGATTTTAGTTGCATTAATCATCAACTAAAGAAATTTAAGTAAGAAAAAAGATATAAGCATCTTTGGATGATGCGTATACCGTATCTTGTTCCGAGTAAATTAATTGTGAAAATGTTTCCAAACCCCTTAAAACGCCCCATATTGTTTCTGATGTCAGAACAGCTCCGTCAGAATCAATAGTCAAAGTGTCTAAAATTGATTGTCAAAATCTATCCAATTTTGTGTCTACTTACAATTTTCATTATCGTACAATTCTGGTAAAATGTTTTCATTGGGGCACTCGCCAAAAAGTTTAATCGTCAATATTTCTAAATACCCAAGGAAATTATCATCTAATTTCCAAAGTTTCTCTTCTAATTTTGAAGATATAGTAGTGGCAATAATGGTCCAGTATCTCGTTAAAGCATCGTCTAAAAAACTGGGACACCCTATATGGTCAGGTGACTTGTAAAAAATATAATTATTAAAAATTTAACTACTCATTGAAATGTATTAGTTACCTTGAAAGTGAAAGAGTGAGGGCGTATTAAATAATAAGTTTCAGATATTTCCTGTTGTTGGGGTTTAGGCCATACTGCACCTTTGGAAGCTTGAATTACAGGACCAGGACGTATGGCAAATGTAGAAGCCCAAAATAGACTAACAAAAATAAATAGTCTCATCTTGATCTGTCCTACAATCATGTTACTGTGTTTATATTTTGTGTTACTTAAATATAATAGGACAATATCTAATCTGCCAATCGTGATACGTAATATGTAGAACCATTGTAAAATAAGTTTTATTCTTAAATTTTAAATTAAATTTTCTCCGAGCAATTTTTTTATAAGGTTACCAAAACTATATGTATACTTCAAAAAAGCGATTTAACTAATGTATTTATATAAAAATTAATTAAGACATTATGTCTAATATTGTTTACATTTCGAAATCTATCGTTAAATTATCTTCAAAGTTGCTAAAACAACAGAATACTTTAACTTTGTAACTTGATAAAATAACAAAAGTGCTAAGATGACCACTTCGATAAAAATAGCAGAGAAAACTTCGATTTACCTCTATTCAGTACCTATATCACTTTGTAGACTCTAATTTTGCAGTAAAAAAATTTTTAATTTTTATTACTTACATCCGTAGAAGAAAACATGTAATTGCTCCCTCCACTTTTACATCAGATTTCTAATCGTAATTACAAAATTTTAAACAGTTAAGTAGCTACAAATATTATTATAGTTGTGAAATTAAGAAAAAAATATTCTTAGTCTAGTCCTCAAAATACGCGTAGACTATTTTTTAATCGATGTTAAAACAATAACACTTCTTAGATGTCTCACACATTAAACGATTGTTACAATGAAGTAGAACTTAGAAATAGAAAAACACTATTATTTTAGAAAGTTACTATTTTAGAAACTCCATTACCATAAACCTAAATACTTCTATAGGCTTTTTTCCTAATTTTTGTATCTATTTATAATTAATGTTACAAGGATTTAAAGATTTTAAACACTTTTCCAGTAAATGACTTACTGACAAATTTAGAGTCAAAAACTCCTCTCTTTCAAGCAGACAAAATTTTGAATTGTTCATATTTTTATATTATACAGGGTGTCAATTTTAAAACTTGCAATCGCCAATATCTCTAGAACTAAAAAAGTTATTAAGAATCACTCAAAACCGTTTCGGTGGTTTTTAGGGGGAATCAAATTGGCATGGTAAGTGACGCTCCTCCACCCACCCTTCAAGCCACAGCCACCTTAAGTTGAAAATTTTAAATGGCACGACCCTACATGCGATACATCGTTGGAAAGCCCATAACAAGCGATTTTCAAAAATGTCATACAATAGCCTTGGTAAAGTTATTTTTCCAATTATTCAAAAACGAAGACGTTAAATTTTAATTTTTTTTACTATATTCAAGGGTGAGTGGAGGTGTGTCACTTATCATGTCATTTTAATTCCCCCTAGGAACCACCAAAACGGTTTTGAGTGATTATTAATAACTTTTTCAGTTGAGAGAAATTGCCGATTGCAAGTTTTAAAATTGACACAGTGTATGTCCCACAATAAGGCACTGAATTCGTAAATTATAATAATTATTATTAAAATTTTCTTTTCTCTTTAAAGTCGCCAGTTACAATAATAATATTTTTAAAATTAAAATTTATTTAAAACAATCTATAAAATACCAAATAAACATATTAAGATTGTAACATAGCTTTTACTATGTATTTCAATATATATTTTAAAAAATTCCTTTGTTTTTTGCAGTAAAGAAATTTCCTCTAAAATAAATAATTTTTATGGATTTATTGCCCTTATCATATTATTTTATATTGTGCAGATTAAAAATTTTGCAGTTTATATCACACGTTCATCATGATAAAACTATTTTGTGTTTACCTCTTAATTTCATTTTCTTCAACTTTTGAATTCATTTTTAAACCCGGACCGCTTGTTCCGGCTTCAAAGGGGGAAATATGGCCCAAACCACAACAAGAAGACAAATTAGACGAAAGATTTTTCTCTATATTACCAACATTTTTTTATTTTAATGTAGGTAAGTATAAGAAGAGATCAATATCAACAGCAACATAAATTGTAGTCAATCGGAAATAGATGTAATACGTTAACAGAAGCTTTAAACAGATACAGAAAATTAATCATATTTAACAATCGTCACATAAAAGAAATTTATTACAAAGCACGTAGTTGCTACGAAGGCGGAGATTCAAATTTTTTGGGTTACTTGACAAGTATAGAGGTTGATTTAACTGGTGTGTGCAATGATGAGGAGTATCCATCATTTGAGATGAAGGAAGAATGTAAATTTATTAAAATTAATATTTTTGTCCCTAATGTGTATTTGTAGATGTGGTAAATGTGACGTCAACAGTACAAAGAATTTCCTCAGACACTATATGGGGAATACTTCGAGGGCTAGAAACCTTCTCTCAATTAATATACTTGTCAGATGATTACAGTTGTGTAGGTTATATAATTGTTTCTTTTAGTCACTTAACTACAATTCTTCCTCAGCACAGAATTGAAACAACTGTAATCCATGATTACCCCAGATTTGCCCATCGTGGCCTACTTTTAGACACTTCTCGTCACTACATCCCAAAGAAGAGCATTTTGAAATTAATTGAAACCATGTCTTACAACAAATTTAATGTTTTCCATTGGCATATCACTGATGATTACAGTTTCCCATACGTTAGTAAAACTTTTCCGCAAATGAGGTATTTATGATTAATACCATTAACTCTTTTTATTTTCAAATTACAGCGACAAGGGAGCATTCCATCCGACTCTTATGACTTACGACCAAAATTTTGTAAACGAGGTGCAAGAATATGCTCGGAAAAGAGGAATTCGCGTTTTAGCAGAGTTTGACACACCTGGCCATACTCTTTCTTGGGGTTTAGGAAATCCAGACTTGCTCACAGCTTGCCATAATGTACCCCAACTAGAATGGGGACCCATCAATCCTATTAAAAACACCACTTACGAATTTATTTTTAAACTATTTGAAGAAATTAAAAGTACCTATAAAGATCAATACACGCATCTTGGCGGCGATGAAGTTGATTTCTCTTGTTGGAAAAGCAACCCTGAAATCAATCAATGGATGGCTGAAAATGGCATTGTAGGCGACTACATCGCCCTCCAAAGCTACTACATTCAAAAACTGATCAACTACGTTGATTCCCTAGGCTTAAACTCAATCGTTTGGGAAGAAGTGTTCACCAACGGTGTCACATTACCCAAATCCACGGTAGTCAACGTCTGGATTAGTGACGATCCGAAAACAACGCTCAAACAAGTAACAGAAGCTGGTCATCCGACGATAATCTCATCTTATTGGTATTTAGATATTTTAAAAACCGGAGGTGACTGGTTAAAATTTTACAACGCTGATCCGCAAGACTTTGATGGTACTGAAGAACAAAAAAAACTTGTGCTTGGAGGGGAAGCTTGCATGTGGAGTGAAGTCGTCAATGAGTATAACTTAGAGTCACGGGTGTGGCCTAGAGCTAGTGTGGCTGCGGAAAGGTTTTGGTCGCCTCCAGATGATCCTAAAACTGAGCAAAATATGGCAGAACTTTGGCCTGTTGCTAGCAGGCTACAAGAGCAGACGTGTAGAATGAACAGAAGGGGAGTTGAAGCTCAACCGCCGTCAGGACCAAGTGTCTGTTTTTAAGTTAATGTTTTAGAACTGTTACTATTTTTGAGTGTACAAAATTTATTTAATTTCCAAAATAAAGACTAAATGCTAACAAATTTAGTATTTTATTGGTTATTTAAAAATCTGGAGCCATAATAATTATTTTTTTATTATACCTACATCATAATCCTAAATTAAAACACGCTGCAGCGTGCGTAATTTGGCCTTTATAGCACGCTGAAATTTTAAAGTTGTCTAGGTAACAAGAAATAGTGAAATGTCTGGACCAATTACAATGTGAAAAAATGTGCTTAACAACGTAAACTATTAACCATCTCTACGAAAACGATTCACAAACAACCTTTGTTAATTTTATTGTGTAAATTCACATTTTTTCAATGCTCATAAAAGATCGTAAATAGGCAGGTATAATAAAAAATAGCGTATAACACTCGTTTATAAGCGCCTTTAAAACACTTACGACGTTAAAAGCACTCCGCTGACGAGTCGTGCTCTTAAATCCGTCGTGCGTGTTTTAAAGGCTTGCTTATAAACTAGTATTATAATATACTATTACATTAAGTAAGTGTGCAAAACGAGTGTTTTTTTACTTTTGACGGTTTTCTTTCAATGCGAAAGGTCGTCATATTTCTCTCAGTGCGTGAAATGCTGTCAGTGCCATTGTACATACTATAAAAATAAGCAACAAAACACAAAACCGTAAATCATCATAAGCAAAAAATAAAATAAAAACAGTACAAGCGAGTTCGTAAAGTCCATTATTGACCTTTAAATTTAAAAATTTTTAATTCATCTTTGAAAGAATTCCATCTTTTTAGTATCTCCTAAAGTCGTAAACGAAGAGAGCTGCATCAAAATTTAAATATAAATAAATATTTTTTTAAATATCTAGATTACATATAGATATCACTGATATCAGGTATGGTTTCTAGCACTGCTCATCACAGCGACTCACAGCCGCGTATCAAGTTTATTAACTACAAACACAATCAGTAGACCAAATTAAATATATTGTATTTAGTTATATTTAGAACTGTGAACTGAGAAATAGCATGTATATCTAATTATGTCAATTACAACTAAATTATTGATGGTCATTTATCAAGACCATCTTAATCCCAGATAAGCTGTAACTAAAATAAAAACAAAAATAATATTACTACTATAGACATTATTGTTCAAGTTCTGCTTTCTTTATGTCACGAAAATTTCTCTAAAAGAGTTATCTCGTTAGAGTACAATCTTTAATTAAATCAACACACTTATATAAATGAAAACATTCGAGTTTCATCAAGTATACATCTGTCGGCTGTGATAAGAAGACATAGCCGTTGTCATGATCAAATTATTTTTATATTTGCTTCCGCTCATCATCAGCTGCAATGCCATTCATCCTGGCCCCGTGGTTAAAGCAACAAAAGGCGAAGTGTGGCCAAAACCACAAGTAGAAGAAAAAACCGATGAGTATTACATAGTGCGGCCACATGGTTTCAATTTCAAGGTACGAGTATAAAAATAAAATAATACTTGTTTGAAAGTCTTAAAACGATTTAGGGCCCAAACAACATTGGTTGCCCCAATTTTCTCAATGATGCCTTCACGAGATACTGGACTATAATAGCAACATCAAGTTCATTGGAACGCAGAGGTCGTTTGCATGAGGTGGGGCGAAAACCAAAGACAGAATTTTGGAAAGACGACAGCAGTTATATCGGAGATTTAAACGGCTTAGATGTTCAATTGAGAGAGTGTTCTAGTGAAGATGTACGTCCAGCGTTTGGGGACAATGAAAATTGTAAGTGTTTGAACAAAGTAATACTGAATTTTAAATATTTTTTTTAGACACACTCAATATCACCAAGGAAGGAGCTTCACTTGCGGCTGACACCATTTGGGGAGTTTTGCGTGGTTTAGAGACCTTCTCTCAGTTGATTTATCTAGAGCAAGATAATGCAAGTAGAAGTGCCAAGTAAAAATACTTGAGATAATCGATTGTTTTCAGCTCATTATAAACTTGACCGATATTAGTGATTTTCCAAGGTTTTCTCACAGAGGTCTTCTGTTAGATACTTCCAGACATTTTCTGCCAGTTTACATAATTCTTCAAACTCTGGACGCAATGTCCTATAATAAATTTAACGTCTTTCATTGGCATATCACTGATGATCATAGTTTTCCATATAAAAGTCGCACGTTTCCAGAATTGAGGTAGCTCAAGTGGAATGTCTAGATTTATTAGTACTATATACTGTTCCAGTGATAAAGGAGCCTTCCATCCAGTTTCAAAAGTTTACGAACAAAGTGATGTCAGTAAAGTCATAGAATATGCCCGTTTAAGGGGCATACGAGTAATTCCAGAATTTGATACTCCTGGCCATACCAGTTCTTGGGGAGCAGCCCATCCTGAATTATTGACTACTTGCTATACAAATGATAAGCCCGATGAAGACTTGGGACCAATGGACCCAACTAAAAACTCCACCTATGACTTTTTGACCAAATTATTTACTGAAGTTGTTGATGTTTTCCCAGATTCTTACTTTCATATTGGTGGTGATGAAGTTGACTTTTATTGCTGGTAATATGGTATAAAAACACGTTATTTTATTTGAAAAAATATTTTTATCGTAGGAAACACAATCCCAATATTACAAGCTTTATGGAAGCCAACAAAATATCGACTTACGAAGACTTGGAAAGTTATTTTATACAACACGTTGTCGACCTTCTCGATTCCTTAAATTCAAAATATTTAGTTTGGGAGGAAGTTTTTGTAAATGGAGTCACTCTTCCCAACAGCACTCTTGTACACGTCTGGAGAGACAATGGACATGAAACCTTGAACGAAGTGACTAAAGCTGGAAAGTACGGTATTTTTTCTAGTTGTTGGTACTTGGACCATTTAAGTAGTGGAGGCGATTGGGAAAAATTCTATGAATGTGAAGCACTTGATTTTCCTGGTACTGATGAACAAAAGCAATTGGTTCTGGGAGGAGAAGCATGTATGTGGTCAGAAGCTGTGAACGAGTATAACATCATGCCAAGAGTGTGGCCTAGAGCTAGTGCAGTTGCTGAAAAACTTTGGTCTGCGGAAGATGTTAATGATACTGCAGCTGCTAAAGGAAGGCTGGAAGAGCATACTTGTAGGATGAATAATAGAGGAATCGCTGCACAGCCCCCCAATGGACCGGGAGTGTGTCTTTAAATCTCTTTATCTAGATATGTGCTACAATTTTCATTCCTAACTTAATAAAAAAATACCGCAAGAATTCATTTACTTATTAAAATAATTACAAAGATTCCTTTTTCAAAAATCTAGTGAATATTATAATTACCTACCAATTATACTTACTTATCAAACTGACCAATTATCATTTGTGACCTATACTCTATGTAAACTATATAAAAAAATGTGATAAAATTGCATACATAAATGATTAAGTTCAAGAATTTACGATATTATTAGTAATAAACAATAAACTCTCAAAACAGGGTTTTCCCCAATTCCACTCACAATGTTGCGATTCAGAGTTCTGTCGTTAATATATCTGTTATTAAGTAACAGCCACCAATATTTGTGTCTCCAAGAAGGTAATTCCATAACAGTTTATTTTGTTATTGCTGTCAATATAATTCTTTTTTTAGATTACTACTGGCGACAATACACAGGAGAAGTTCCTAAAGATGCTGTAGTTGGAGGTCAAGATATCAACCACAAAGATGTTTATATCGGACAAGCTTATGTTAAAAATGAAGGTCTTTTTGTGGTTCAAATTTTTGCCGATAGAAAAGAGATTTATGCGCCTATAAAAGGAATGAAAAAAATAGAAGGAAATATTATAAAAGTATGAATTTATAAACCGCCTTATGACGTTACTACTTTTAAAATTATTTACATATATATTGTAGATACTTTGTGGACCCCAAGAAAATTTTTATTGGATTTCTGTGAATTCTAGTAACCTTCATTTACAATTGCTTCATCAACATGCTGTGATTGGGGGACATGAAGATAGATCTGGAGTACTAAACATTGGTAGAATAAGTTACGAAGGAGAAACTAAAATTGGAAAAATTAATTCGTTTAATGTAGGAAATGCTTTGTTCTTTTTTAATAGGAATCAAAAAGAGGAACATGTTAACTCTTATGAAATACTTCTATATAAAGAAAATAATCTCGATATTGATGCTCGCAGTATAACAGTTGCTAGTAACAAATAAATATAGTTTAAGTAAAATTAAGTACATAAAATTTGTAATAGTTTTAGCCTAGTACATAAACCCGCAAACAATGTATAGCAAAGGCAGAAATAAATACTCTTTTAGCTTTTTCCTTGTCTGTAGTAAATATCTTCCCAATAACAAAATTGAGCTTATCAAAAACTGATGCAAATCTTTGGATCGATTTGACTTACGATTTTCATAAAAATGTACAATTGCGGAATTAAAATTTCGGGCAGTATTTTTCTGTCACTGTAAACTACCCTTTACTGTCATCATGACTGACATTTGACAATTAAACTATTTTTGTCTTGTTAAATTTGTTTATTAAACAATTTGTCTGTCTTAGAAAATTTATTAATTGAACTAAGTGTAAATAAATCATCGCTTTAATCTGCTGCCTACTCGTTATTATGCCACAAATCACTGTTTTTGAAAGTAAATAAGTCAAAATGACATAAGCATGACAAGAATAAAAAATGGGGTTATTAATGTAAAGGTTGTTTTAGAGTTTACATTATGAAAATGACAATGCCCGAAATTTTAATTCCGCAACTTACGCGTCCAACCATATATTTACAATACATATGTTCGCAATAAAGTGCGAATTATTCTTATGATAAGGCTTATTAGAATTCTTCAAAAACTCTAACTCACCAACGTTATAATTACCGTAATAATAAAAATAAATATAATATACAGGTGCGCCAGAACTCGCGTCCCAGAGAAAAATTTTGACATATATTTTTTGACATTTGACATTTTTTAATATCTATTTAATGATACTGATGATCTTGTATATGTTTTTTTTTACAACTATTTAGTAAAGAGACAAAAGTTTTGCCAATAAAAGCCACAAATAACATTGAACAGAGTTACAATTTAGGATACAGCTTCCTTGTTTCCTCTTTTAATAGCCTATAACAAAAAAAACTTGAAAAATTATTTTTCCAACAAAAATAAATAGAGTCAAAGTACAAACTTTAAACCCTCATAACTTCGAAATTTTTATAGATAAAATTTTTTTAACATTTTTTCCATATTCCTGGTATCTTACCTTATATGGCATTTTTCTCTGGGGCGCGAGTTCTGGCGCACTCTATATAAATATCTCAAAGATTAAGTATAAAAGAGGAACCTTCTCCTAGCAAAAATATTTTCAGGAGCCGGCCTAACCAGTTTCGCTTTATTCAAACATCATTAGAGACTATTTTCCTAATTTGCAAAATAGCCTCTAATGATTAGACACTAATTTCCTAATTTACAAAATAGCCTCTAATGATACTTGAAGCTTAAATAAAGCAAAATGGGATATGCCCCTGAAAACGTTTTTGCTTGGAGAAGGTTCCGCCTTTATACTTAATCCTTAAGAAATTTTTACCAAGCAATTTTACAATTTAAGATATTAGGGCAGTGCATTTACGTACTATGTCGTTCTTCTGAAAAGTTACTCTGAAGAGTTAATGCATTAATTATTAATGATCAAAATAGAAATAAAACACAAGTCTACATCCTAAGTTAACTTACATTTCTTTATTAGCAATTATTTTACCCATCGCATTATGTTTCTTGTACAAAAGAATTTCGTAAGACATAGCGCTTTCTTCTTTTAAATTATTATTATAAAACATAGGAACATCTGATTCGTAATACGTATCAATTTTTCCAATTTTAAAGCCTCCGTTAATATTTATTCTTCCAATATTTATTTCTCCATCTCCATCTTCATGTCCACCACGCACTCCAATATTATTAACCAGTAGTTTGTGAACGTTTTTAGAATCTGTTGGAACCCAATATAAATTTTGTTGAGGGCCGCAAAGTATCTAGAAAATGATAGTAGATAACATATCGAGGTGGGATGTGCTTCATTAGGTACCAAGACAAAATGTGATAACCAAGACGCGAAATGGCGCGGTTAGCAATAAACCGAGGTAAAGTCTGCCGAAAGATATACCGTGTTTACAACCTTTTATGGGTTTGATTCTTTAATAAGTTTATGACCACCCCAACATAAAACATTAGACCATAATTATTATTTGTTCCAGAGGCCAAAAAAATCAAAGAAAAAAATATTGAAGATAGATACGAAGATACATATTAAAAATGTATAAAAAACAATACAAAGAGATGATTTGAATGAAATTAATCAACGTTTATTGTTAACTACTACTAAAAACTAAAATAAATGGTTTTTAAATTGAGCCATGCGTTAATAAATAATTTTCAGTTTCCTCTTTTATTTTATTTACTGTGATAGAGACTGAAGTTGTTTTTTTTATAGAATTGCGTCCACAATTAATAGAAGCAACGTTTGATGTAAAAATACTGCTACGAGTAGGTACCTATTATAGTAAAAATCATAATTGCATTTACAATAAACAAAGATATCGAAAAACAATGCGTATCAAACGAGAAAAATCTCCTGAATCTGATATTTCATATTAATTGTACAAAGTTAAAATGTCATACTTTTCAACTTCCCACATACAAAGTAATTTGATTATTACTTTATGATAAACGAATAATCAAAATAAAATTATGGGTTTTTTCAACTATTATATTACCCTTATATTCTCCTCCACTTTTTGTACTATATCATTTCTTATCGGAACATAAACTTCTCTTACTCCATCAAAAATTTCACAGACTACTTCACCTTGATTTTGTATATATGCTTGTCCGATATAAACATTTCTGCCGTCTTCAATTTTACCTCCGATAACAGCATCTATAGGCACTTCACCATTAGTGTAATCTCGCCAATAATAATAATCTAAAAACCAAATAATAAAACGTTACATAAACATATACATTTTATTAATCATAATTTAACCACCTTGAAGACATATACACTGACGACTGATACTTAAGAGAAATACGAATAGGAGGAATGTAAAGCGTAACATTTTGTTCGAAAAAGAAAAAACAACAACTAGTAATTTGCAATCTGCAATTGTTTATATATGTTATTTTTAAATAAAAAAGTTGATAAGAAAAGTTCGATTTTTTTTTTGACAATCTATTTTACCAATTTTAACAAAACAATATTATCTATCTTATAACATAAAGTCGTACTCTTATTTTAGAGTGTTTTCATTAATCAATAACATATAAACATGCGGAATAATACAGGATGACTCACAAAGTATATACAGGATGATTTACGATGATTAATTAGCCTGACCAAATTCTCGATGCAACCACCATTACATTTTCGCAAGTTGCTTTAAAAAAAGTAATTTGAATCCACGATGCCTTCATTATCATTTTTGGCAAACGCTACAAATTTATTGTAAACTGAGCAAAATGTGGCCCTAATCCAATGATGAGAAGATTGACATGATTTTAGCTTATGGAGAATGTTTGAAGAATGCATCTCTTGCTGTGTTAATACCCAGTGATACCCCAAAACAAAGAGCACCTTCTGACACGATCAGGTTAGTTTTGAGAAAATTGGAGTCCCGTTAAGATATCAAAGCGAAGGATACCACCGGCTGAAGCTTGCTTTCTGTACCTAACTCGTATTTTAATAGTTATAGGTAGGTATACCCATTATTGGGTTGGTATTTCAGTTATACTCGTTTTCATATTAATGTGCATCGAAGTAGTCGTTGAAAGGGATCATTTTAAGATGGCAACTAGGCGAAAATTCAAACAATCCTAAACTCAATCTTCCCTAAAACTTATTTTTTCAAATATAATCCATTTCATTTAAATTGGCATAACAGTAGGCCATGATTGTGTAAACTGCGCTTTAAATGTGAAAAAGGCTTTACATATTAAGGAACTAAATTTGTCACTAAAAAAGTGAGGTTAAGATACTTAAAATTTTATTTTTAAAGAACCCTCTTTCAAAGGTTTTCAGAGAGAGTTTTTGGATAAAATAATTTGGCTTAATTCAAATTGGTATATTTGAGTCCATTAACCTAATAAGGAATAACGAATAACCAACGAAAACAGTGAAAAAACGAATGCAAATGACAGTCATGTCAGTTCAATATACCTTGTAGGTAAATAATCAAAGAAAAACAAAAACCCCATCAGCTGTTATATCAGGGACATGCGCATGGCTACAAACTTAAATACGAAATTCCATAGCCACCTATTATGCCAATTTCAATGAAATATACTTTAAATGTGTACTCCATGTAGCAAAAAATAGTTAAAATTAACAACGTAATCAACATAGGATCGGAAACATAAAGGTTTTTGTCATTATTGATGTGATTAAATTTGTTTTGAATGACATTAATGACACTTGTTGTGTAAATCGGACCTTAAATTTCATTTAGACTTCTACAACCTACTTGATGCACATTAATATGAAAAAGAGTATATTTCTGTTTTTCATAATTTAATGTCAAAACTGACAAATTATGACTATGCTCGCTATGATTTCATATTTATTACAAATGATCTTTCAAATCTACCTGACCTATGAAAATGTAATGTTGGTTGCATCGAAAACTTGGTCAGATTTATTATTCCTCGCGAATCACCTGTGTAGTAGAAATTTCAATGGCCCCATGCCCAGATTACGTTATAAAATCTCGTCTGAATGGGAAATTGAGGTAGTTATTTTTATTTTAAAAGTTCCTTAAAAACTGTTTTATATCTGATGCAATAGAAAATTTACTGAATTGGAAGTAAACGTACTTTTTGTTTATTGGCACCGCTTTTTCTATCTTTTTTGTTATTTATTATTTTATTATTTTTGTTCATATGATTCCTGTGATTCAGTGGCTTGAATATGACCATTGGTGTAAGTATATTTTTTCTCGCCAATAAAAGACCACGTCAGATGACTGCTACTGGCCCAGAAAATGAAATTTAGTTGATGAAACTGAGACTTGTTGCTAAACAATATCTTAACCCAACCAACTTTAATTCTAAACAACAACTGTTCTTAATAACTTTTTGTCGTATTTGCAATATAACAAAACACTACTACAGAAAAATAAGTTTTTTTCAAAATTTCCAAGGCACACTTGATTTTTCAAAACTAAAATGATGTTAAAAATTAATCTTAACCAAGCAGGGCTGAACCCAAAAAAATTAAATTTAAATCAAGAATTTTTCATCTTAAGAGTGGTTTCACCTATCCGGGAACACACTGTATGTCACAACACTCTTTAGACTCCTTGATATCGATTTTTACTTTTAATATTAAGCAATTGAATGAACTGAATATTTTGACAAACTATTTGACATTTAACAATTTATCATTTTCTTATGTTATTATTAATTTACTCACTTGGGAGGAAAGTTTTGTATGCATCTCTGGAGTAAATATCGTTAAGCCTTCGAATGAAAATATCTACGTTTCCTACATACTCGGGATTAAAATAGTTGTTTATTCCCTTGATATATAAATAACTATTACTGAGTAAGATAGTATAGATAAAAGAACACTCAAAAACATTCTATGTTGTAAGAAACTATTGTTTTGAAAATAATTTAAAAAATTAAAAGCACTCAAGTTGCTGTATTTTTCAAGATGACTAATTTTGACAAAGAGAAATTGTTTTATTAAAACACTCAAAAACTTTCGATTTTTCACAATACTATTGTTTTGAAAACATTTAATAAAATGAAAAGCACTCAACTTGCTGAATTTTGATTAACTTTGGGTGAACTGCCCACACATGCTTAGTCGGAGGCTAAAATAGTGATAGTACAAACATTTATATTGGACAAGCGTACATAAAAGATCGTATCATAGTCACTGAAATTCTTGATGGAATACAAGAAGTACATACATACTATACAAGATGTCCCAGGCTCCGTATTTTTTCGATTACTCTGACAGTAAAGAAGATAACGAAATGCGGTTTCTTTTGGACGATAGACATTCGTTTTTTCTATGATCCAAAAATACTGTAGTCAGTCACCCTATATAGGGTCGCGCAACAAAGTTACATTTTTTCTTATAGAACGCCCGGTATATTATGCGCTTATTTGAAAGAGTTTCTAATTATAAGAAAATTCATATAAGGTTTTATCGTGGACCGTATATGATCTATAAGCAATTTTATGAAAAAAAAATGTAATTTTTGAAAAATCGCATCAATTTTGCTAGAATGAAAAAATGAATAAAAACAATTGCAACCATTTTTACTGAGTCTGGTCCTAAATTATTACGATCAACCTTTTGCAACTACTGCAAAGTGTTAACATTCGCAAAATATCAAGTAACTTATTTTTTTTAATGGAACACCCGATATGTTATTACTTTATCGGGTAGAGCTTTCTAAAAAACCTAAAGTTTGAAAGTTTGGAGAGTCCACACGGGGGCAATTGGCCATCAACATCGATAGACTCTCAATCTTTGGAGAAGAATAATAAGAGAACATGTAATTGACCCCTTCTTTGTTGACGGTTTTTTAAACGGTTTACAATATCGCCAATTCCTTCAAGAGTAATTGCCAGGTTTGTTAGAGAATGTAGAATTATGTCGCAACAGCATAATTGTCCACAAATGCCTATTTCCAATTAGCACAGCTCATTGCTAAATTTAACAAATAGCAATATCATAATCATTGTTAAAACAACCTAGTAAAATTATATTTTGCTAAAAAATTTAAATAAATATCTATTGTATTGATTTTTTTTTAATAGATACTTAATTTATCATTTATAACCTTACCAAAAGTATATACCTTATTAATAAGAGTCCAAAGTATAATTAGTACTTACAAGCGGAAGTAACTCCCGTCAGCATTAGCAAGCAATATTAGGTAGTATTATTCAATATATACCATGACATAAGTACCATAAATCAGTACTGTTTTTGTGATATGGTGAAAGTACCCAAAGTAGCATGTGGATTATAATCTTATTTGTCTTGGGTAAGAAAAACTAAAAACTTTCTCACCAATTATTTCAAAAGCAAACTCTCAAGTTACTCAAGGTACTACCCTTGGTGAAGAATGTCGAAAAAGGGATTACGGCAACGGTGGACATGTCTGTGTTTGTACTTCAAAGCACTGTGACACTGTTTCATATCCAGAGAGAGTAGAACAACCTGAATTTCTCATTTACACCTCCAACAAAGCAGGCTTAAGATTTCACAAGTCGAGTGGTACTTTCACTAAAACAAGTCAAGTGTTTGATAATCAAATTCTTATTAACGCCAATGAAAAGTACCAAACTTTGTTAGGATGGGGTGGAGCCTTTACTGACGCTACTGGAATAAATATCGATTCATTAGATGAGGACGCCCAAACAAAACTTCTAGAAACGTACTTTTCCGAAGATGGTATAGAGTATAGTTTATGTAGAGTCCCGATTGGAGGTACTGACTTTTCTGAACGCGGCTATTCCTACGCTGATGGACGTACTGATGAAAAATTGGCACACTTCCGGTTGGCTCCAGAAGATTTTCAATACAAAGTAAATAAGTTTATTTTAAAAGTTTCAAACTTTTCCTATTTAATTTCTTGTAGATTCCATTTATCAAAAAAGCTCAAGATATAAGCAAGGGCAAATTACAACTTTTCGCTTCGGCCTGGACTGCACCGAAATGGATGAAAACAAATGGGGAATATGCCGGATTTGGTTTTTTAAAAGATAATATGTTTCAAGCGTGGGCTAACTATTTTATCAAATTTTTGGAAAATTATAAATCGCAGGGGATACAATTTTGGGGGTTGACAACAGGAAATGAACCAAGTTTAGGCATTACACCCTTCAGCAAAATTAATTCTGTCGGATGGACACCTGTAATGATGGTATCTAAAACTGTTAAGAATATAAAAATGATGAGTACCTATGAATGAATTTTTTTAGTCACATTGGATCAGAAATAATTTAGGACCAACAATTCGAAATTCAAGTTTCGCCGACATCAAACTCATCACTCTCGACGACCAAAGATTTTTTCTTCCCTGGTTTACTAATATTGTAACAAATTATTTTAATTGTAAGAAAATATAAAGCATTTTTTTAATTTCAGGTTTTTAGAAACAAAGCTACCAAAAATTACATCGACGGCATTGCTGTCCACTGGTATTATGACAGCGTATTTCCCGCAAGTTTATTAAAACAAACGCATGATAATTTCCCTGAAAAATTTTTGTTGGCTACCGAAGCTTGCCGAGGTAAGTGGATAAGCAAAAACGTCCGGAAATTTAAAAAAACGTATCTACCAGGTGAAAAATTAAGTGAGAAAGACGTCAGTTTAGGATCGTGGGAACGTGGAGAAAGCTATGCTTTTGACATTATTGAGGTGCAACAAAAAACTGATAAAAAAAAATATATTGCTATTTATTTGATTTCAGGATGTTACGAACTGGGTCAGTGGTTGGGTCGACTGGAATATGGCCCTGGATTTGAAAGGCGGACCAACATATATTAAAAATTACGTAGATTCGCCAATCATTGTTAATTCTACAGCCGGTGAATTTTACAAACAACCCATGTTTTATAGTTTAGGGCATTTCTCAAAATTTGTCCCAAAAGAGTCTATACGAATTGGATCGACTGGTTTTGATGATCATATTCCAGTTGCAGCGTTCCAAAGACCGGATCACTGTATTGTCGTAGTAATTTTAAACAAGTAAGTTTATTGTCCCTTAATTACAGAAACAAACTTAATAACATGTCTTTAAATACTAGGAAAGACCACGTAGTGCCAGTCACGTTAGTCGACGATTCTAAAGGTAGTGTCCAAATAGAACTCAGTAAAAAGTCGATAACGACTGTTTTGTATTGGTAATTGCTTTGTACAAATTTGTTTTAATAAAAAGTTTAAAAACGCAATTTGTATTTCCTTTTTCTCTTAAAAACAGGGTCCGCCAGAACTCGCGGCCCAGAAAAAATTTTGACATTTATTTTTTGACATTTGACTTTTTTTATGCCTATTTAATGATTCTGATGATCTTGTATATGTTTTTTTACAATTATTTAGTAAAGGTACAAAAATTTTGCCAATAACACAAATAATATGGAACAGAGTTACAATTTAAAATACAGCTTCTGTTTCCTCTTTTGATAGCCTACAGCAAAAAAACTTGGAAAACTATTTTTCCAACAAAAATAAATAGAGTCAAAGTGCAAAATTTAAACCCTCATAACTTCGAAATTTTCATAGATAAAATTTTTTTAACATTTTTTCCCTGATCCCAGTATCTTATTACCATATTTTACATTTTTCTCTAGGGTGCGAGTTCTGGCGCACCCTGTATACCTACCTTATCTTATATAAAATTATGGATATAGTTAGTATATATACCCACTTACTTATTATTTTCTTATTTGTCAGAATTATCCATAATACAAAATTAGCTAATTACTGATTATTCTTGAATTTTTTTATTCTTCCATGCATATGAAAATGTCTTTTTGTGGGAATTTGTATTTCATTTTTTTACAAAGTAAAAAATGCATTTGCTTCATTTGTACTATACTTACTTGACAATTAAAAAAAAATTAAATTATGAACTTACATCCCTGACTAGTAAGTCAGTCTAACACCACAAAGACAAACTAAAGCAAGTAAAAAGATAATAAAAAGTAAAATACATATTAATTCCAAAAGTAGCTAATACGAAAAAAAACTTTAATTTACACAAAATGCCACTATCATTTTTAAATTTTTATAAAACACAAACCCATATTAGTTTTTAAAATTTTGTAATAATTACCTAACGTTACTGTAATAAACGTGCATTTAATAAGGCACATACATTGTTATCTAAAACCTTCGTTTTTATATAACGTAAAATTCAACTTAACCGTCATTGCGACAATAGTTACAATATGGTACTATTGACACTAACACTTGCGTTATTATTAACTGGTACAAATAACAATAGTATATTTTCGTCAAATAAAATTATATTTTTAGTAACAACATGCATATCACAAGAAAATTGCTTGAGCAGGGATTATGGCAACGGTGGTACCGTCTGCGTATGTAATTCCGAACACTGCGATACCTTCCCAAAACTGGAAAAAACAGAACAGGGACACTTTCAAGTTTACACGTCTAATAAAGACGGTCAAAGGTTTCAGAAAGAATCGGGAGAATTTTCACAAAATAGTGAAGATTCTACCGAAAACCAAGTTATTATCGATCGGAGTATACAGTACCAGCAAATTGAAGGCTTTGGCGGCGCTTTTACAGACTCTGTGGGCATAAATATAGGATCGTTGGATGAAAACGTGCAAAAATTTCTCCTACAATCCTACTTTTCGAACGACGGAATTGAATATTCACTGTGTCGAATACCAATCGGTGGTACTGATTACTCAACACGTGCTTATACCTACGACGACGGAGAGGAAGATCCTGACTTGAATAACTTTGCTTTGACTGAAGAAGACTTTAAATACAAAGTAAGATAAACTATTGTAAAAATTGTCGTAGATTCCAATTTTTATTTAGATTCCTTACATGAAACAAGCAATGGAATTACGAGGTGAAGACAAATTACGATTTTTAGCGTCTCCTTGGATGGTGCCAAAATGGATAAAAACCAACGGAAAGTACGACGGTTTAGGATTCATTAAACCTGAAATGTACCAAACGTGGGCGTCATATTTTCTCAAATTTCTCGAAAACTATAAAAAAGAAGGTATAGAATTTTGGGCAGTCACTACACAAAATGAACCAAGCTTAGCAGTAATAGGAGGAGCTAAAGGTGTCGGATCAACTGGTTGGGATTCTGAACATTTGGTAGATACGTAATAATACTACAATCATTTATTAATAAAGCATATATTTAGGCACAATGGGTTACTAATAATTTAGGACCTACCATAAAAAATGAATCTTTCTCCGACGTTAAAATTATTATTCTAGATGACCAAAAACCATTTTTACCTTGGTATGTCAATTCTGTGAGTACAACAATATTAATAATAATATCAGTACAAAAATTTGAAAAACAAATTCGTGTAGGTTTTGCGAGATAAAGCAACCCAATATTACGTAGATGGTATTGCAATCCATTGGTACTTCGGTCTCATAACCCCATCCAGTGTCATGGATAAAACTCACAAAAACTTCCCTGATAAATTTATAATATCAACCGAAGCTTCTTGTGGTTTTGCTTCAAAAAGTGAAGCTGTTTTACTGGGTTCATGGAATCGTGGCGAGGCATATGCCATTGACATAATGGAGGTACAATGTGTCTACATTGTCTAGCTTTACTAATTACTTTATGACAGGATTTACAAAACTGGGTTGTCGGCTGGGTTGATTGGAATATGTGTCTAAATCAGGAAGGAGGTCCGACTTACATTGATAATTTCGTAGATGCACCGATCATAGTTAACGCTTCAGCAAATGAGTTTTACAAAAATCCCATGTTTTATGCTCTGGGGCACTTTTCTAAATTTTTGCCAGTTGGTTCCATTCGTGTTGACTCAAAAACAGATCTTGATCAAGACGAGGTGATGGTTGTGGCTTTTCAACGGCCGGATGACGGAATAACAGTTATAATATTAAACAAGTAATTATTTGAATGTTTCATTTTTATTTATGTTAATTAATTTATTATTATTTAGGAAAGAGGAACCTATTAGTGTCAGTCTTTTCGACGAAACCAGAGGAGCGGCAACAATTAATATCAGCCAGAAATCAGTTAATAGCATCCTTTATTGGTAATTTTTTATTTGTCTTTGTACAAAAAAATGAAATTTATTGTTAAACCGGTACTTAATTAAATTCAATAAAGTATAATACTTATGCATACATACTCGTAAATTCATAAAATAATATAGCAATGTCAAGTAAGGACATTATTAAATGTGTTTTGACGTAAAATATAAACTTGTAGCTTATCAAAAATGGTAATGCTACTGTAACCGATACATTTTAATAAATCATAAGCACAAAAGTAGGTATTTAAAAATTAATGGTCATGTAATTGTTTTAATAATAAATGCGCACTTCAAGCCTGTTATTATAGTTAAAATACGTCCAATTAAAACAATGAGCAAAATTGTATTATTGTTTCATTTACATATTAAACCGCGCAAATAACGTCGAGGACCAATTGATTCCTGTTAATCTCTATAAATATTAAAGGTGTGAGTTGAGTTGGGTTGGTTCCCATAGGTGCAGGTAGATCGAAAGGGTACAGGCATATTTATATTTTGGGTTTAAAGCTGATACTAATTTTCATATAATTATATTCTAAAAATTATTATTTATAACTGTTGAAAATACTTGTTAGAAAAGACACTACAGAAAGCTGAATTAAATTTTAAATGCAATCTCTTCAGGAGACAAAAAGGGTGGGCCAAACACATATGTGAAATATTTTGAAATGTCGGAGTCCTTTAGAATATAGTCACTCACAAGTCCCAACACTTGCGGCTGCCTATTCAAATTATCTTAATACTTTTGATCAACGGGAACCATTTGATCATGGCGCGAGAACCAACTCGGCTATGATTAGAGAGGATTACAGAATATGGGAACCAACACGACTCTTCCCCCAACTAATACCCATTTTTATCATTAAAAGTCAAAAAAAAATATTTAACAACAGTACACCTACACAAAAAGTTTATTTCCTAAAAAATCAAAAATCCCTTTAAATATTTTAAGCTGAAAAAATTTCTCAAACAAATCGGTACTTAAAAACAATATATCAAATATCAAATAAAACAAATACATTTAGGCATCTAGAATCTGTAGGTATAATTTCTTAAGTACAGGGTGCTGCATTTTGGATGTCCGAATAGGGAATCTCCGAAACTAAGAGGTTTTTTGAGAAAATAATATTGGTTAAAAACGCATCCCGCTATCGTCTTTTGTTTTCGACTTATAGACAAAAATTGACATTTTAGCAAGATCTAAAAAAATTCATATCTTCGTTATTATAGAAGACAGATTTAAAGTAAAGACATTATACAGGCACTTTTTTACGTAGAATTTAATAATGTAGTTAACAATTTTTTTCAGTTGTTTGTTTAGCCGTAATAAAATAAACTTGTATTTGTTTAAATGGGAATCATAGATGGCTATATTATTTTTAAAAACCTTGTTTTTTTCTTATCTAAAAATATATATTTGTAACAAATTATTATAATACATTTTTAGCAAAAAATTATCTTTGATTTTTGTTCGCAGTTAGCCATGAAAAAATGTTGCATCTTCGACTAAAAGGATTTAAACTATATTATATTCAACCAGTGTCACTAATGAAAGAGTTTTCTAAGTACTAAGTAATGAAAAAGATGCAACATAAATTGTAAATCAACTTATCGGCGACTAATAACATTTCTTTGTTTTTAAACAAGCTAACATTGGAACAACCATTGGATAACAAAAAGCCGCTTTAATTCTTCAATATATATTTTATTTTTATATGACACAAAAATGACGATATGGCTATTCAAATACCCAAATTCCGTCTATGTGAAACGTTATCCTACCTCCATTAGATCATCAAAAAAATGTTTTTTCTAATTGTGTTGACTGTTGACACATTTGTTTTTCCTATTTTTTTTAAATATGTAATAATTTTGTTCTGATGTGCTCGGATATTTGTTCAATGCTTCTACCGTATCGTATTTTTTAAAACTTTATGATTTTATCTATTTTTTCATCTATTTTTACAGTTCACAAAACTCTTATTGATTATTATTTACACATTTGGAGTGAAATAGTTTTTCCATGGCCAACTATTATCACACAAAATATGTATTTCACTTTTTAAGTATGGTTATAAAAAAATATTTTGTTACAAATACAGGGTGATTCCTAAATAGATCGACAAAATTTGATCACATCTTCCTAAGGATAAATGGAGACAAACTTTACCCTTTTTATGTTTATACCTTTTAGGAGCAAAACCCCCTTGATCCGTGCCACTTACGGCGTTTATGAATTGTTGCAATAATCAAGTACGTTAATACCATGGTTACCACTACCTGTACTAACACATCAGTGGCGTACACTTTACTTCGAAAATAACTTTAATAAATTTTATTTGAAGAACGCATAAACAAAGAATTTTTTAAAAATTATTTCCAGCGTGTTCTCATTTGATACTACCAAGGATAAAATTTTATCGGTCTATTTAAAAATCATATATTAGATATATTTATATATTTTTTAGATCAGAAAAAAATAAGCTTTTCAAAATTGCCATAGCCACCTATGATTTCCATTTAAAAAAATACAAGTTTATCTTATTACGGCTAAACTAATAACTGAAAAAAATTGTTAACTACATTATTAAATTCCTCGTAAAAAAGTGCCTGTATAATACTTCATTTCAAATCCGTATCTTCTATAATAACGAAGATATATATATTTTTAGATTTCGCCAAAATGCCATCTTTTGTCTGTAAGTCGAAAACAAAAGACGATAGCGGTATGCGGTTTTAACCAATATTATTTTCTCAAAAAATGAGCCCCAGAATGTATCACTCGTTTTTGGCTAAACCTCTCAGTCTCGGAGATTTCCTATTCGGACATCCAAAATGCAGCACCTTGTACAGTGAAATGTAAAAACTCAATGCACATTAATTTTAAGTAAAACAATGCAAGGTTTGTTAGTAGAGAACAGTAAAAAACGACATAAACTACAAATTGTGTATTGTACACCCCATCTGTAAATAAGAATAAAGCAATTTCCCATTTTGAAAATTTAAAGTATAGCTAAATTTTCATTAACATTTAGTAGTTATTAACCTCGCTACAAACCACATAAAAATTACACCAAGTATTAAAACAAATGCTTCAAAATGACCCATTTTGTGCTCTGTCTTTTTATACAAATGCAAAAAAAAAAAGATTTTATATGTAATGACAGATACACATTTCATAAAACACACACCGGAAAATTTATTTTCCCATGAAATCCATTCATCCAAAATAACGAAAGAAAAGTAACACTGCTATCTGCTGCGACATATTAAATAAACTAATACTTTTGTACTAGTACAAGGACACAAAAAACAATAAATTTTCGTTAAAAATATCGCCACTAATTAATAAGATACGACAAACTTAAAGAATTTATAGACGACAGTTCTGTTATCGATTATTTTAGACACTCTAAAAACGAGAATTTTGCCTAAACTAAGCTACTGTGGCGTGCGGTACCAACACCAACAACATGCTGGTACTGCTGTTGGTTCTGTCCATCCTAAGTAAGTCCAAACCAGATTCGTCGTATTTACATTACTTTAACAGGTTTTTCAAACTGCCAACAATGCCAAAGTCGAGATTACGGAAATGGAGGAACCGTCTGTGTGTGCAATGTCACATACTGTGACACAATCGCAAGGCCGCAAAGAGTGGACTCAACCCAATTTCTTACATACACCTCCAATTTGGCCGGTCTGAGATTCAGTCAAACGAGTAGGAGGTTTACCTCTAGACCAAATTCCACAAACCGAATTTACCTAAACTCGAGCAGAGTGTACCAAACGATTATAGGCTGGGGTGGAGCTTTCACTGATGCGACCGGAATTAATATTAACTCGTTACCAGTCAACATGCGAGAGATGTTACTAGAATCGTATTTTTCCCAAAATGGTATTGAGTATAGTCTGGGAAGAGTTCCAATTGGCGGTACCGATTTTTCAATTCGACCATACACCTATGATGATGGTTTACCGGATCCAGAGTTAATTAATTTTGACCTAGCTCCAGAAGATTTGCTTTATAAAGTAATCATTTCCAAAAGTAGCGCAATTTTAATTAAAGTATTGTAGATTCCAAACATTCAAAGAGCCGTTAATTTGACAAACGGCAACATCAGGCTCTTTGCGTCAGCATGGACGGCCCCCCGATGGATGAAAACCAATGGAGATTACAGTGGATATGGGTTTATTAGAAGAGCCTTGTACCAGACATGGGCTAATTACTATGTGAGATTTCTGGACGAGTACCGACAACGTGGAGTCAATTTTTGGGGAATCACTACAGGAAATGAACCAGCTGATGTTTTAAATCCTTTTGACCAGCTCGAAGTCGTTGGTTGGCCTTCGTGGTTGATTGTAAGTGAAATATGAAGAATTTTAAATGTTATAAAACAAGATTTAAGGGAGACTGGATTTTAAATAATCTAGGACCCACAATCCGAGGCTCAATTTACTCAAATCTGACAATTATGATACTCGATGATCAAAGAGTATTTCTTCCTTGGTATGTAGTAAGAGCATTATATAATAACAGAACGCGACAATACATTGACGGAATTGCTGTTCACTGGTACTTGGACTTGTACTCCTCACCGGATCTGCTAGACGAAACTCAAAGACTTTTTCCCGAAAAATTCATTTTAGGAACAGAGGCTAGTATCATGCCTGCTCCGTATGAAACCCCAGTCTTATTAGGTTCATGGACACGTGGTGAAGAATATTCCTCTGATATAATAGCAGTAATTTGTAATAAATAGAAGAAAACAAATTTGTATTAATTTTCCATAGGACATGCAACACTGGGTCACTGGTTGGGTCGACTGGAACATGGCTTTAAATCCTGATGGTGGACCCAATTACATCCGAAACTTTGTAGACTCCACTATTATTGTAAACGCCACGGCTGCTGAATTTTATAAACAACCCATATATTACCACTTCGGACATTTCTCCAAATTTGTACCAAGAGGATCAGTTAGAATTGACTGCAACGTAGTCTTTAACGATAATTCTAGTTCTGTTGACCATGTTGCTTTCAGAAGACCGGACAATGGTACTGCCATCGTAATTTTAAACAGGTTCGTTGACACAAAATCGCATAAACTTAATACAAATTAATTTTGCAGAAACCCAACTGCAGTATCGCTTAACATAATGGATAACTCCAGAGGTGTCGCCCCAATAGAAATTACAGCAAAATCCATTACAACTGTTTTGTATTGGTAAAAACTCTAAAATGCTAAATATACAATTATTATTTCACATTTTGTTTACTTTAAACTAATCCTCACAAAAAAATGATAAAAAATTACGTAAGTACGTAGTGACGCGGTTTAATGCCAGTGACAGATTTTGCTCATTACATAAAACCTGCAGAAAAATGTTTGTGAGCTAAATAAATAAGTAAATATACTCCTACAATATTAAAATGCTTCATCAAATACCAAAAGCATATTATCTTAAACCTTGTTCAAGATGCTTGGAAAAATTATCATTCTTCAGTTATTGTCAGGTAAAAAAAATTAAGTCAAAGATAGCATTGATAATTTTTTTTCTTAGCATTTACCCTAGGACAAAACTGTTTAAGTAGAGATTACAATGATGGTGCCGTATGTGTTTGCAATTTGAATCATTGCGATATTGTTCCAAAACCGGAAAAAGCAAAACCATTTGAGCTTCTTATTTACACTTCGAACAAAGCTGGTTTGAGATTTCATCTAGAAAAAACAAATTTTAAAAACTTTGGTGCATTTTCGAATAAAATTGTGATTGATTCTAAATCTAAGTATCAAACAATATTGGGGTGGGGTGGCGCCTTTACTGACGCAACGGGAATCAATATTGCTTCACTAGAAAAAAGTCTTCAAGACAAACTGGTAGAATCTTATTTTTCTGAAAATGGCATTGAGTATAGTTTGTGTAGAGTACCGATCGGGGGTACCGACTTTTCGGTCCGTGCTTACTCGTACGATGACGGCAAAGAAGACAAAAATTTAACCAACTTTAACTTAGCTGAAGAAGATTACAAATACAAAGTAGGTATAAAATTTTAAATTACTGTTTCACCAGTAAGAATAATATTTGTAGATTCCGTACATAAAAAAAGCATTAGACTTGACTGAAAACAAATTAAAATTATTTGCTTCGGCTTGGACTGCACCGAAATGGATGAAAACTGACGGACAATATGCCGGTCTTGGTGGTACTCTTAAGAAACAAATGTATCAAACATGGGTTGACTACTTCATCAAATTTTTTGATAGTTATAAGGAGCAAGGAATAGAGTTTTGGGGTGTGACCACAGGAAATGAACCTAGTTTAGCTATAGCGCCTACCAATCAGATAAATAATGTTGGATGGGGGGCAAACGAAATGGTAAAATTTGTTAAAACCCATAAACAAATGTAGCGAGTTAATTAATAAATTTTAGGGAAAATGGATTCTCAGTAATTTAGGGCCTACAGTCCGAAATTCGGCATATTCAGACATTAAGATTATGATATTAGATGACCAAAGATCATTTCTTCCGTGGTATGTCGATGAGGTAAGTCTTGAATACTCATCTTGACTAAAATAATTTTACAATAATTAAAGGTTCTTAAAGACAATACTATTCGTAAATACGTAGATGGAGTCGCAGTGCACTGGTATCACAACTATTGGCCTCTGTTTTGGCCTGCATCAGTACTGAGTATTACCCACTCGCATTTCCCTGAAAAATTTGTTTTAGCCACTGAGGCTTGCAATGGTGTAGGTGAGAAGTCGGTGATTCTTGGATCTTGGGAAAGAGGCGAAAAATATTCATACGATATAATTAAGGTAAAGTTAATATAAGTTTAACTTTAACAACAAACAAACAAAAACATGAAACTGTCAATTGTAGGATCTGCAAAATTGGGTAACTGGTTGGATCGACTGGAATATGGTACTCGACTTATCAGGTGGTCCAACCTACATTAATAATAATGTTGATGCACCAATAATTGTTAACGTTACGGAAGGAGAATTTTATAAGCAACCCATGTATTACCATCTTGGTCATTTTTCAAAATTTGTCCCACCGAATTCGGTACGGATTAAAACGAGTGGTATCGCGAACAAAAACCTACTCACGGTAGCTTTCCAAAGACCAGACAATGCTACTGTCTTGGTAATCCTAAACAAGTGAGTATATGTAGAGACGACTTTAAGAAAAATAAAGCAACATGCAATATTTTTCCAGAACCGAAAAAGTGATACCTGTAAGTGTTGTCGATCCTAATAGAGGTGTGGCACAGTTGAAAATCAGTGCAAGATCTATTATCACAATTATGTATTGGTAGCAAATTTTAAATAAATATTACTTTAAAAAAATATCTTTCTTGAGCCACTTTTTTCCACAACAAACCATTCCCAAACACATATTTGCATGCCCTTCCTCTATTTTCGCCCTCGAGTCAGTTTGTAGGACCTTGTATCTTGTAAATAGTTGTACATACAATAAGATTGAATAGAGTTAGAAGACACAACATCTTGATATTTTAAACCTTAGTTTCCTTCGAGTAACATCTTCAAAAAAACGTAAAAACAAATTAAATAAACTCATTTTTTATTTGCTTAATCTTGTGATGCGTTTTTTCTAGTTGCCGTAATAACAACATTAAAGTGTCTTAAACCTTAAATCCCGAAAGTTTAAAATATGCACATTCACCGATATTTTCAAACCCCAACTTTTCAAACAAAGAAATCGAAACAAAATTTGTTGCGCTTATAGTTGCAAACGGCCAGTTTCCCTCTTGGACAATATTATCGACCATAACTTTGGTCACATGCGTCCCGTAACCATTTTTCTTGTATTTTTCCTTCGTTTGAAGAATTCCAATGTGACCCAAATTATATCTCAAAATCCAAGCTACCATTTCGTTCGTTTCTTCAAGAAACAATCCGTAGCCCCCATACGTTTCAATAAGAGAAGAAATATGCTCTCTTGAGCCTTTAAAACTGTAAGGCCACGCAGAATTAATCGCGTCCACCAATCCTAGGTGCAATTTTTGCACATTGACACCTGTAGGTGTCCTGCAGGAGAGGCCACGTTGTGGCTCCAATGCGTAGATTAAATACGGCACATGGGATTTTGAAGCTTTGAAATTTAAGTCTGCAATCACTTGATTTATAACAGGAATGTGTTTTTCATGAACACAAAAAAACACAGCGTGTTTATTTTTGTAATTTATAAGATTTGTTAAAGTAAGACCTCGATGTAAATTTAGGCAACGTTCGTCCAAAGTAAAAACAAATATGTTGTAACAATGAAACTGTAAATTACGCGATTATTATAGTTTCCACTGGAAATCCTACTCACCGTTTGTAAGATAATTATTGTGCCATCATTCATCCAGGTTGTGTCAACAGATAAAAATGTAATGTAATTACAATACTTGTGAGACTGTTTAAGCCAAATTCCAGTTTTAATTAAATTTAATACATGAGGGGCCCACTCCACATGCTTCTGATACAAAAGAGCCAATTTTGGCAAATCCTCGTTAGGAATTTCGACGAGAATGTCGTTTTTAGGCGAAGACATTCTTTAACTTTCTCTTATAAATACTCTTGACTAAGTCCCCTCTTTTAATAAATTTGCAAAGTTCATTTAATTTAAATGTAACATGTACTTGATTTAAGCAGAGAATAAATAAATAATTAACTCAGTAGAACAATAAAATTATTTATTTTTAAAATTCAAATATGCACAAGTTCCAATTGTCTGAAAACCAATTTTTTCAAACATGCGGATTGATGCCACGTTATCAGAATAAATTGTAGCAAAAGGACAACTTCCGTCTTTCCTAATTTCCTCGGCTAAAAATTTAGTAATTAAGATGGCATAGCCGTTTTTTCTGTACTCTTCTTTAGTATGAAGCATACCAATATGACCCAAACAATGTTTCAAAATCCACGCAACTATTTCGTTTGTACCTTCCAAAAATACTCCAAAACCTCCATTCATTTCGAGTAAAGAATATAAATATTTTAAATCCGACCCTGGAGAACTGTATAACCAAAAAGAGTTAATTTGATTAGCAAGACTCGCATCTATTTTCTTAACATAAACACCAGAAGGGTAATTAATCGAAATTTCTTTTTCTGGAGGCAAAGCCAACATAATATATGGAGCAATTGCATATGACAATTTTATGTTTTTGTCTTCGGCAATTTGCAATAATGTGCAAACGTGCTTTTCGTGTACGCAAAAAAATGAACCATTAGTTGTTGAAAAATTTAGTAAATTTGTTTGGATCAATCCTTGGCGCAAGTTTGTACATTCTTCATCCAAAGTGAAGACAAATATATCATAACAACCGAACTAAAAAAAATAAAAAAAGATTGTTTAATTTCACTTAAATTTTTACCTCCATAAGAACGACAACAGTGCCATCTTTCTCCCAACTGTCACCTACTGATAAAAATTTGATGCAATGACGATATTTTTGGGATTTTCTCCACCTTATGCCTGTGTGAACCAGGCTTAAAACGTGAGGTGCCCAGTTTACATGTTTTTTGTAAATATCGGCTAATTTAGGCAGATTTTCGTCAAGTATCTCATTCAAAATATCAGTCATTGTTATTAAAAAATTCCACCCCCACTATTTGCAGATCGTTGATAACCCCACTACTTTAGTTATTAAGGACACGGTATTCAGGATTATAGTTGTATGGCGGGAATAAACATTGTCACATAATTTACAAAAACTATATTGGTAATGAAAATGTAACACTTAAAACATGACATGTTAATGATTACAATACACTATAGGAAACAGCTCTCAAGCTTGATAAAAAAATAAACTGCTAAAATTACAGCCTTGAAATTCCACTGGACCAAAATAGTGACCCTAATGAAAGGTAACATTACCGACATGCTATAAAAATTCTATTCACGTGGGTAATGTAAAAATAACAGACAAACAGAGACATTATTTTTGTGCACTTAATTCCCATTTCGGGTTGGTGGTGTTGTTATTGGTCGTTTAAACAACAAAATGTGCGGTTCTGTAAAGTAAATAAAGCAATATGTAACATTAAAGCGGAGATGTTTTTAATTTACCTGGAGAATGTGTCATGTAATGCACCCAGCCCTTACTTTGTTGTACTCCAATGCCTCGCCATTCCTCTTCTGACATCAGATGAGTTTTGGGCACCATTTTAACCATTTCTTTAGGCAAAACGACGTGTCTAAAATCATAAAACCATGTTAATAATCATAAACTACAAAAATTCCAGAAAATTATAGGTATACCCACTTACCGATACTCATACTCCTCGTCGTAATATTTATCAGAGTAGTAAATGTTTCTCTGCAACTCTTCAAGTTTATTTCTATGCATTTTGGTAATTTTAACAAATAATTATAAGGGGAAATACTCAAAAAGCTGATTTTTCTGACTTTCTCAACACAAAAACTTTCACGTCTTTTTCAAACGGACAAAACATTCAATTGTACTGCCAACACGATAAACTGTGTCCTTGATAAGAAAACGAAATTTCCTATTAAATTTTTAATTTTTTGACCATCAAACTTTAACAAAAATTAACAGTGTCATAACTGAAGTTGTAATGATTATTTTCCGCTTATCATTTTGATCAAAATCAATAGTTCCGTTAATTTTCTTAATCAATAATTTTCAAGTTAAGGGTATTGTATTATTGTCATGTTGGCTGCGTGAAACGATAATAATGACGTATGGCTAACGTTTGACATCTAACCTTAAAATCAAAACAAGATTTATTTATAGTTTACGAATAAAATGCCAAAACATGATTACTCCAGTCATCGGTAAGTTTAAAAAAGAAATAAATAAAGTATTGACCAATATTTAGTTCTAGGTCTCCAATAAGTTCCCGGAAATCAAAATCACACAAATACTCATCAGATTCAAGTGATGGTCACAAAAGACACAATTCAAAAAAACGTTCACATTCCAGAAAACATAAGAAAAGTGACTCTTACAGAAAAGATCATAAAAAGCAGAAACGGCGTGATTCTGAATCAGATTCAAGCAGTAGCAGTACCTCCTCTGATGACTCTTTAGTCTTGCTCCAGAAACTCAAAGAAGAACGAATCAAAGCTCTTGAAGAGCGTAAACGTGAAAAAGAATTAAAAAAAGCAACTGAGACCCCCGAGGAAAAGCGTTTGAGACGTTTAGCCAAGAAACAAGCTAAGGAAAGGAAACGTAAAGAACGTATGGGTTGGGATAATGAGTATCTTCATTATACCAATACAGATAATCCATTTGGTGACGGCAATTTACTATCAACGTTTGTGTGGACGAAAAAGTTGGCAAAAGAAGGGCTTACTGGAGTGACTTCTGAAGAATTAGAAGCGAGGAATCGCCACAAACAAGAGGAGAACAAACGTGAATTAGAAAAAGTGAAGAAGAGACGATTAGAGAGGGAATTAGAAAGACAGAAGAGGGAAGAGGAAATGCAGTTATTACAAAGGAGTAAAGAGGCGGCGCAATTTGAAGAATGGGAACGTCAGGAAGATCAGTTTCATTTAGAACAAGCTAGACTAAGATCACACATAAGAATACAAGATGGACGAGCGAAACCAATTGATTTATTAGCAAAATATATAAGTGCAGAGGAAGAAGTCGACGCTGTAGAGATGCACGAGCCTTACACATACCTAAATGGGTTACATATCAAAGATTTAGAAGACTTAGTTGAAGATATTAAAGTTTATGAAGAGTTAGAACGTGGGAAAAACCTTGATTATTGGAACGATATTACAGTAATCGTTGAAGATGAGTTGCAAAAACTTAGAAAACTAGAAAAGCAAAACGAATTCGATATGGGAGTTAACAGAAGAGAAGGGATCAATCAAGCAGTCGCTGCGGACGTTACCTCAGTTTTCAAAGGGAAGACATCATCCCAATTAGCAGCATTACAGAAACAAATTGAAAGCAAAATCAACGGTAAAGCTGATGGGATAGATATAGGCTACTGGGAGTCTCTGTTGTCACAGTTAAAAGGTAAGAGAATTTATTTTGTTTATGTAATGTTCACTGAAATGGAGATATAGCTCACATGGCAAGGGCCCGCTTACGAGATCGACACCAGGAGAGTCTCCGACGCAAACTACAGGTCCTTAAGGCCGAGCAAGCGGTTACTACACCAGCACCAGAGGAAACAGGATCATTTATAGAGGCTCAAGTTAAAGATGTACCCGAACCGAAACCGGGGACTTCCCAAGAAGAAAAAAGTGACGATGAAAACGAAAAGTAAGATTGCATTCCTTCAAATTTCAAATTACTTTATTTTGTAATTTCAGGACCGCGGAAGAACACGCCACCGACATATTGAATGAATACTTTGACGCGTACGAAGCCGGCGGCTACAGTCCCAAATTTCTCTCCCCGGAAGACATTGAACCTGGCACTATCGTCGTAACCGAAGAAGATGATCTCAAACGACTAGAATTTGCACGTATGCAAGTTTCTGGAGGCGGCAAAAAACACGAAAATGTCATAACTAAAGAAGAAATTTTATTACAACGCGAAGCCCGAAAGGGTATGGGTGATGATGAAGCCCAATTTTCTGTAGAAGCGGCTCTAGACAATCAAGTGTATTTGTGGTCTGATAAGTATAGACCGAGAAAACCGAGATATTTCAATAGAGTTCACACCGGTTTTGAATGGAATAAGTATAACCAGACCCATTATGACATGGACAATCCACCCCCGAAAATAGTACAGGGCTACAAATTTAATATTTTTTATCCGGATTTGATTGATAAGAACAGCACACCAGAGTACTTTTTGGTAGGTTTGTGGCATTTTCACTTCGATTTGTCTTAATTTTCTGTTGTTTCAGACTCCGTGTCCGGAAAATCGAGAATTTGCCATTTTGAGGTTTCATGCAGGACCGCCGTATGAAGATATTGCGTTTAAAATTGTTAATAGGGAGTGGGAATATTCATACAAGAGGGGATTCAGATGCCAGTTTCATAATAACATTTTTCAATTGTGGTTCCATTTTAAGAGATATAGATACAGAAGATAGCTCAACTTTATACATAAATCGAAAATGATTATATTAATTTTAACTTTTAAGTTACTGTAACAATCCGAACTGCTTTAATGTGTATAATAAACTTTATGAATAAAATATTTAGTTTTCTCTTTCTGGGGCAATGTCCTTTGAAGGAAATTCTTTTCTGCGCTGAAATCCTTAAATATCTCTTCGTGGGCCGCAGTATTCAGCGCAAATTGCCATGGAATCTCCTTATATAGGTTTGTTGTTAGTCATGTTCTCGCTTCTGGTTGATTTTGCGCGTAGGCAGGCATCAAGAACTCCGCTAACAAACAAGTTGCATACCATCCAGTATTACCGGAGCTTTGTCCTTGTTTGTATCGAGCGCGGTTTATCGTTTTTTCCACAATTTCTCGCGCCTTACCCCCATTTATTTCCCAATAAGTGACTAATGTTGAATTGTTAAGTGCAACATATGACGCTTAAGACTGAATCTAAGAAAACTAAACGAAAAGCGCGTCCATTTTTGGTACTACCGCTACTCGAAAATCTTTCGTTGAAAAAATTAAATATGCCTAAGAAAACAAATTTAAAATTGTTTACAAAAACTTGGCCTCCGAAAAAAGATGGCAAGAAAGAAGAGCGTCCTCTCACTGCAACTTTAGATAAACCAACAGTACTTAATATAAGTCTAATAGGAATAATTGATATGAGTACTGTTCGGAAAGAGTTCCTCAACATTTCAAACCTTTGTCGGTTTCCTATTGCCCTAACTATAACTAAACGAAAGAAAATAGCTGTGATTAATCGTCCCCTTAGCCTTCCGTCCCCCGAGAAACAGAAAGGGTGCAAAAAGAGGCCCGAAACAAGTGAAGACAGCTACGAAGAAGAAGAAAGTATAAGCATTCAAAGCGCTAAAATCAAACCCGGTAAAATCAACACCGCAGTCAAAAAACCCAGTGTTTTATCCAAAAAGAAGCCCCTCAGCGACGCTAATAACAACACAAAAACGTTTAAAATCCCACGCAAGCGTGCTGGTACTGTTGCTAAATTACTGGAAGTTAACAAAAGTAATTTGAGCAAATCGACCAAACTGCCGGAACCTTGCAAAACTTGCGGTCGTCCAGACCAGCCAGAAAGGTTCCACAGTCATCCAGCCACCCCTTTGAAAATTGTCAAGAAAGAAGAACCACCGAAAAGTAAGTTTTGACACTCCTCGATGTAATCAGCGCTAAATTTAACTATTGCAGTGAAAAGTACCGTTCAAAAACCCGTGGCGATGAAGTACAAGTCCAAGCAGAGTGCAGAAAAGAAGCCTTTGCCGCCCCCGCAGCGAAAGCCGTCTTTGCCCGCCCAGAAACTTGTGCACAGTCCCCCAAATGTAGGGGTGAGCCCTGAGACGAGCACCCCGCGAGTCAAATCAGCAAAGAGGACGCTCACGTGTTACATCTGTGGACGCGAGTTTGGCACGGCTTCATTGCCTCTGCACGAGCCCAAATGTCTTCAGGTGGGTGTCAATTCGCTTAAACTTGCTTATAAATATCGAATCATTTCGTGCAACTAATCGTATACCCTCAAAATAATGGCGTGCTTCAAATAAACCCCATCGCATGTTCACATTAGAATCGAACAATCTGTTACTTCCCACCAAATCCCATAACTAAAAATTTATTTACAAGTTCAAGTCTCGTTGCTAATATATGCATATGGAAATGTATGAATAATCGATGACAGGATATACACTGTGGGAAGGATTCCCCGAGAGCCAAAAGCCTTGAACTCGGTCCATGTATAAATTTACTTCGAAAATTGTTAAATCGTTGTTAAATCATCATTAATTAATGACGATAATCAATGACAATACTTAGAGGTAGGGCACGCAATTACGGCTCAATTTCGCCGATAATTTGTTAATTAGAGTCATTTTGACCCGATGGTGTAATTCGATATAGGTATGTACAACAGTGTATAGAATGAAATGTTAAAAATAACCAGAGGGTCACGGTTTTGATCGGAACTTTTTCAACGTAGTATTTTGTACGCTTTTAATACAAACTATTGATCGATTTGGTTTGTGTATTTCTCACTCGGAATTGATTAAGTATACAATGTAACTTGACATACAAAGAAACTAATTTATTTTTTCCATCAAGACATTTGAGCACCTTCGTCTGCCACTAACACAATCATCAAATAAAGGTCAATAGGTCACACAAAAAGGATCGAAGAAATTTTCATGAAACAGAGTTTTTTTTTACTTCTGTTAACTGATGACTAGGTATCTGTTAAAAATACGTAAAAACAGTACATTTTTGGAAAAAGTTATTAAATGCTTCAAAATAATGCACTTTAAAAAATAAAACAAAAATTTATACAAAAAACATTTATCGTACATCATCAATAGACCCATCCCAATTTTCGGAAGTAAACAGATACTTTATTGTACTGTAAAAATCAAGCATTTTACCTGTCGTAAATATTTATCAACATAGCTTATAAGTATAACAGTTATAACTGTCAGAAATTGTTTGGTATTCGCTGTTATTTTTATATCTGTTTAATTTGTCACAATAAAACGTGATAACTTACAATATCTCAATTTTTTCTCCATTCTTTTTATGAATTATGCACCCCACGCCAGCGCCTATTACTCGCCTCGCTCGCTCTGCTCTCAATTTCAAACTCGTTCGATAAATAAATAACTATTATCTACAATGTAATTCATATTCCACAATTATTCATATAAAACATATAAAATTTTGAATCCATCTTTTTTCTCTTTCTAATTTGTACATATCAATTATATTAGCCGTTAAACAAAATGAAAATTTGACTCGCCTTAAAGAACTCAACGAAAGATTAATTTCTGTATTATTCAAGTAATATTCATGAATAATTGAAAATTTAAAGCGTGTAGCCTTGGTCACCTCTAAAAATACCTCAATGAAATTCTGTAATCCAATAATCCAATTCCTCTCTGACAGCTAAAATGAAAAATGAAATGAAATTAGAGCAAAACTGCTGCATCGCCTCTTGCATGCTGATTACCACCACTCTTTCCTCCTATTACGATAAGCCAATTCACAAACATCTCCGTCATTTCCAAATAAACAATAAAAACTGCAAAATTTAATCAAACAATGATACGGCAAAAATTTTAATACCCTAACGAAATTTAAATAATTCATCAACCAGTTGCAGCAAAAACTGACCTACAATTCGGAATAAATTAACCCATTTATTGTAAAAGCATGGTGGAGTCGTAAACCTTGCAATTTATTCGACCTACTTCAATCCACTTGCTTGCAGAAATGGGAGAGGGAAAACGCCAGCTTGCCTACGCACATGCAGAGAAAACCGCCGGTTAAACCGGACCCAACCCTAACTCCCGAAGAATGGAACCAATACGCCTGGGAGGCCTCACAGGTGCGTCCTTCACCTCTATGATTAAGCTATTGCATGCGACATAAAAATGTACACACGGTGGTTCCATCGATCCGGCGCTAAACTAACACCCATGAAACCGCGATTAACGGAAAATGCCATGGGTGCAACGATTTTGGAACGATAAAATATGAAATGCATTCGTGTCGTCGCTTACAACAGATAAATAATGAATGAGGTTTCGATTTTCGATTAAATAATTGTCCTTAACATTGCAATTGAACTTCTGGTATCGATTTTATTAAATACGAACAATATCTTCATTTAAAAGGTAAATAAAAGAATAACTGAATTTTTCTAAATTCACCGGAGGAGGCTCGTAGTTTGTTACACTGCGGTCTGACTTTAGAATGACTACTTATAGTCACCTAATGACCTTAATGAAGTTTAGGAAACGCATGACAGCCTTGTTCTTGTCCTGGACAAAAATAGAATATTATCCTTATTTACAAAGGGTACTATCCACAATCATAATCTCTTAGCTTCAACTTGCACCCCATTTTTACAAATTTTGGTACTATTTAGGCCACTCTGACGCCGTGTCCCAAGTGTGGCCGCACCTTCTACCCCGACCGTCTCATCGTGCACCAACGAAGCTGCAAAATTGTTCAAGACAACGTAAGTACCCATCAAGCAATAAGTCGCTAAACCGCTGATGAAGACACATTGATCCGTTTTCTTTTGAAATCGCGACCTTCTCGAACATAAAGAACACACACTTGGTGTGCAATTACCTAATCAAATGGCCCCCGTTCGCGTTTATTTGGCTTGTTGTTGTTTTTCACCGACATGACCCGGTTGAAATGGAGAGTGTCTCCAACGAGAAACTAACCCTCCGATCAAAACTTCGGCTTGTCTTTAACAACAACACGGTTGAACCCATTCTGGTATGTTTTGTTCTACCGTGCGTGATGGCTAACTTGGCCACGCAAAATCTCAACATGGATAAGGCCTGTCGTGTTAATCTTCGTTTAAGTGAAGATGTTTGTGATGGATTAGCTCTTCGAGATGTCTCCAGATATAATCAGAGTGATGAAGTGGCCGTCCAGAAATTGGTAGCGACGATGAACGCGTGGAAAAACGTGATTCAATCATTCGTGCCTTCGCTTCTTCTCTTGTTCCTGGGATCGTGGAGTGATAGACACAAACGGCGAAAACCCTGCTTCCTAGCACCCATAATTGGAGAAATGATGACTTGTATGGGACTCCTCCTTTGTACTGTCTTTTATTACGAATTGGCAATAGAATACAACGTGTTTTTTGAATCAGTACCCCCATCACTCACTGGAGGATGGTTTGCTATGTTCATGGCCGTTTTTAGTTACATTGGGGGAATCACAAGTGTCCAAACGCGAACTTTACGAATCGGTGCTGTGAACATTTTTGTTAATATCAGTTTTACTGTTGGTAACGCTCTAAGTGGGATTCTGTACCAACATATTGGGTACTATGGGATTTTCTCCTTGTCTCTACTGTTTTACGTAGTAGGCTTTCTCTATGGTTTGTTTGTTGTCAAAGACATTGCAAATGATGGGAAAGCCACCAACCCAAAGAACTTTCTTCGAGATTTTTTTGATACAAAACACGTCGCTAAGACATTCGAAGTTGCCTTTAAAAAAGGTAAAAGAAACAGGAAGGCTAGAATTTGTGCAATGATGGCTTTGTGTGTGGTAATCACGGGACCCATGCATGGTACCGTATACTTCCTTTTGTTACTTCCTTCTCAACATCACTTTTAGGAGAAGTGAGCGTTTTGTACTTATTTGTTCGATATCAATTCGGATGGAACGAGATTGATTATAGCATCTATTCCACTTTCTACGTCATCACTCATATGTTTGGTACGTTGACTTTTTAATTTATAACAAAATAACGATTTTTACAGGCACTCTATTCTCTTTGATTCTGTTTACCAAAGTTTTGAAAATTGATGATGCAGCTCTTGGTGTTGCATCTAGTGCCAGTCGAATAGTGGCATCTATAGTTTATGCCTTTGCTCCAAACGCATTCACTTTTTATGTTGGTATGAATGAAAACTCGGTACTAACATTGCCAATAATTTTGTATTATTAAAGGAGCTTTGATTGAGATATTCAACGGTAGTACTTTTATTGCCATGCGTTCGATTATATCTAAGTTGGTACCTCCGGACGAACTAGGAAAAATTAATTCCCTTTTCGGACTCTCTGAAGCCATGGTACCAATCATCTACGGCCCCCTCTACAGCATTGTTTACAAACACACCATAAATTACCTTCCAGGGACCTTTTTCATAGTCGGAGGTGCCCTTACAGTACCATCACTCTTCATATTTTGGTACATGTCAAACTTTTCGCATCCTATTCAATTTCAACCCGGTTTTTTTCAGTTGGTTGTACAGCGAGCACAAAAAAGACCTCGAGGAAGATGCACAAACGCAAATTGTAAATGGAGTTAAATAAATTATTTCCACTTCTTACGTGTTTCCTTCGCGTGTCTGTCTGCGGTTTAGCAATAGATGCATGTGAAAATCAATAATCGCACTACCATGAACTTTGCTTTTCAGTCAAAATCCTCCGTAGACAAATCAATACCCCCATCGTCACCCATGGGTCCCCCCAGTGTGGAATGCTACATCTGCGGCAAAATGTTCGGGACGCACTCCATCAAAATCCACGAAAAGCAGTGTCTCAAAAAATGGCACGTGGAGAATGATTCGTTACCAGCGGATATTCGAGCTCCGGAACCAAAAAAGGGGGAAGTTGGGAAAGTAGAACACCAGAGCCCTGAGCCCAGCTCCCGGAGGAGTAGTGTGGAGAAAGAGGAGAAGCCCTCGTCCGGAAAGAAATCGCCCATGTTTCCGTGCTATATTTGCGGTCGCCTCTTTACAGTCAACTCGATTTATATACACGAACCGCAATGCCTGAAGATGTGGAAAATTGAAAACGATAAATTACCAACCCATAAAAGGAGGCCGCAACCACTCAAACCCGATATAAAGTTCACACGTAAGTTATGTTTTATTGACAAAAGTGTTACAAAGTTAAGGGTTTTGGTACCGAAAGCAATTTCGTTCGGAAATAGACGGGAAGTAGACGCAAGTAGTCCCATAAGTCTTTGGCGAAGTCGGTAGTCCCTGACAATGAATGTCTTGCAAAAATAACGATGTTTGATATCGTTGCGCGTCTTTCTGCTTCCTCCATAATAAGCCTCAACCTCTCTGATAACAAATCGATTCGACTTAGGATTGTGTTAAGGGCACTGACCCACCATTCATTCAGTCTCGTGGTATATAGAACAGTACTCTCCAAGTTTGAATCTTCAATTTCAGCAGAACTAAGATTCAGTAAATGACATAGAAAGCTTTGCAGGAACCGTTTAATTAAAACAATCTCCTTTTTGTCTTTCTTTTTAGTTCTAGGTATCGTATCTGATTCAGATCCCTCATGTTCTATTGAAAGATCTTCGTTTTTAACGACTTCCTCATTGAGGCAAGAATTGATCAAATCGGATTCTGAAGTAATAATTTTGTCGGTTGCTCTCGGTACCAAATTTCGGAGGTCAGGAAGACTATTGCACGTATTCAAACCATTTTGATCCAGAAAAAGCGACATTTTTTATATACTTTTGAACACAAAAATTTTGGATTGTTTACATTTTTTGTGTCAGAATTTTATTGACAAATGTCAAAGTTTCTTAATCAGTTGATGCTATCTTGCGATGCTTCTCTACCAGTTGCAGTATTGACCCATGTTGCAACTAATTGTCTCAAATCTGAAACGCTTTGTCTTATATCTGGCAAAGTTCTGGTTCTGGTCAAAATATAAGTTCTGAAGTCTTCCAAAGTATCAGCTGCCGTGTTCCTGAAGGAGACGGCTCTATCGCGAATTATTGGAGCGATTTCTTGTGCGTTTTGTTGTGCGGTAGCTGCAAGGTTCCTAGCACCTGAAGCTGCGTGTTGGATATTATCAAATACAAGCTCAGACATATGTCGAATATCTGGTAGACTCCTGGTTCGTTCTACCGTGCTTTCCATTAGAATAAATAACTTGAAATTTAGAAATAACGATTGATTGACATAACTGTGACAAGTATTATCTCTGATGGTACCATCGGTGGACCTAAAAAAAAGTGACAAACATGATAATTGTATAAGTCAAAAAATCAGAAGTTTACATTAGACAAATTTGGCTTTTTACAAATACATTTACAAGTGTATATCTCTTTATATAGGCTCAGAGGGTCAACGGTCATTTTATATGTTTTATTTTTATTTTTAATGACAACTCTAAAGTTTGCTATACAATGAGCAAATTTTGGATGTCTCATCTTTTTAATGTCCACCAATGGTATTAACACGTCAACACTGACCACCATAGATCCAGAAATTTTAATAATAAAAAGTCTTGCTTTGTTTGGCTATAAGATAAAAATGTACATACATCGATAACCCACATATCACATAAGAATTGTTAAATCCATAAAATGATTGATATTATTCTTATGACATCAAAAACCGATACAAGATACAATATTAGCTGTCACACGCCTACTTGATAAAACATGTACGACAGTATTGAATGTCAACACGAAACAATTCCTCTGCTGTTTATAATTTTCTGTTGCTATTTTAAGAAACCTTTCTGTGACGTGAATTGAGCTTAGAGTAATTTAAATAATTCCATTATGAAAATTTAATCTCCCTATAAAGTGAAATAGTCCTTAGAGGCGGAATTGTACATTGTTGGGAGCAGTAGCCTAACTTTGCAAATCAGTTCGTTCACCCCAACCGTAGCTCGATGTTATCCACCACTTCCTTATAGAAAAATATGGCTTTCGTATATGCACGTGTGTACGTCTTAGACAATAATGTGAAGGTAAAAAATAATCGATAAAGGTTGTCGACCTCGACCGCGTCGCGGTCAGCACAACCACCCTCTAATAACTCCTAAATAATTCACAAGTTCAGTTTAAACGAGAATGGCATTTAAAAATGATGCGACACGTTTTCTATTTGGAGAGGGGTTAGTAGCCTTCACGTTAATCCACCCACAAATGTTTTGTCTTTGTCCACAATTTTTTGATTTATAAGCTAAAGTTTGGGTTTTATCACTGTTTGCAGAAGATGGTAAAATAGATTACGAAGCGACAAACGAATCCAAGTGGCAGAGTCACTTAAGTCAGTTGGTTCCTTGCCAATTCTGCTCCAGGACTTTTAACCCAGACAGGGTGGAAGTGCATGAGAGGAGCTGCAAGGGATAGTTTAAAAGTGTGATTGTATTTTTTCCAATAAATTATAACAAGTTTCTTGGCTTTTTATTACCAACTGTTTGCTAAATCATTAAGATAACTCCAAGCCAAAACTCATGATACTTAAAATCTGTTAATCCTTGAAAAACCCCTGTTTGCAACTTTATTTAATTTCTTTTAAATTAAACAAAGTACAAGAGATAAATTTCACTGAAACACAATGCATCTTCGAGTGTCACACAGATCAGTAAACAGTTGATACTAAATCTAATTGAATACCCTCAATAAGTGTTCCTCTTGTTCATTCTTTGCTTGTCTTCAAATCCTTGTCTTCACACCAAAAACTTTCAAAAATGTAAAACCCTCCAAAAATCACCCTCGCAGACAAATATTTACTATTTTGTTGTACTGTGATTAGCGTTATCGGTAAGTGAACTCGACACTTAACACCAATACGAAGAGAAATGGCTCTGGAAAAATCCAAAAGCATCGAGGCCGGTCTTCAGACTATCCTAACCGAAGAGGACCCTACGGATTCCAAACCAAAAAATATCTCCTTGTGCAAGAAAATCAAACTCATCTTCACCAACATCACTGTCGAACCAGTTCTAATATGTTACGTCCTTCCAAGTGTGATGGCAAGCATCGCCACCCAAAACCTCAGCCTCGAAAAGGCATGCCGCGTAAATTTACACATGGACAAAGACATCTGCGATGCTCTAAGTATCCGAAATCGATCTGGTTATAATGAAACAGACGAAATCATCACCCAAACATTGATCACTTCGATGAATACTTGGAAAAGTATCATTCAGAGTTTAATCCCATCGCTCTTACTCCTGTTTTTGGGATCATGGAGTGACCGTCACCAAAGACGCAAACCTTGCATCATACTCCCGATTTTTGGAGAAATTTGCACATGTACTGGGTTTCTTTTGTCGACATATTTCTTTTATCAGTTGCCGATGGAATTCAATGCTTTTTTTGAAGCCGTTCCTCCCGCTCTAACCGGGGGCTGGTTTGCGATGTTCATGGCGGTGTTTAGTTACGTTAGTGGAATTTCGTCTGTGGAAACTAGAACTCTGAGAATCGGTGCTGTTAATCTTTTCTCTAACGTCAGTGTGACCATCGGGATTGCCCTTAGTGGTATTCTCTATAACGAAATTGGGTTCTACGGAGTGTTCTCTCTAGCTATATCCATGTATATGACAGGGCTGATTTATGCAATCGCATATGTCAAAGATACGCCGAAAAAAGAAGAACTTATTGTTGATAAGAATGTGAAGAAAGTTAATCCAATTTTAGATTTCTTCAATTTTAAACACATCAAGGAAACCCTGAATGTGGCTTTTAAAGACGGTCCACGTAATCGAAAGCGACGAATTTGCACAATCATGATCCTTGTTATGGTCATAATTGGACCTATGCATGGCGAAATGCAAGTTATGTATCTCTTCGTCCGACATAGATTCAAATGGAACGAAATCGACTACAGTTTATATTCAACCTTCCAATTTATCATTCACGTCTGTGGAACAGTCTTCTCTTTAATGTTCTTCAGCAAATTCCTTAAGGTCGATGATGCTGTCCTTGGAATGATTTCAAGCATGAGTAAAATTGCCGCTTGCTTTGTATACGCGTTTGCTCCTACAAGTACAATTTTTTATATCGGTAAGTTTTCAACGAACTCATCTCAGGAAACAAACAAATGTTATTTCAGGAGCGATAATCGAGGCTCTAAACGGTACTTCATTCATCGCTATGAGATCAATTATATCAAAATTAGTCCCCCCAGAAGAATTAGGCAAAATCAATTCTTTATTTGGGGTGTCTGAAGCTTTAATGCCTCTTGTTTACGGACCCATGTACAATATTATCTACAAAGCTACAATAAAGTTCCTACCAGGTTCCTTCTTTTTACTTGGAGGAGCTTTAACCGCACCTGCGATTATTATATTCTAGTAAATTCAAGTAAGAGTATTTTGAAGGCTCCCATTTAACACGAATTTGTTGCAGCTGGTTGTATCGAGAACATCAGAAAGATCAGCAAGAGGAGAAAAAAGAAAAGGCACAAAAAGTCAATTTGTTAACAAAATGATTAGAATGTACATAAATAAACGTTTTATTAAAAAAAAATGCTTTTCTTCTTATACTTCTCACTAATTATTAATTATTGTTCATTATGGCGCAAAACAAAGATAAACAAACTATTATTTTATTTTTTTAATAAAAATCATGTTTTCAAAAATATTTGGATGTGATGCTTGGTTCATCCTGCTGCACACAACAAATACGTTTCGACATAAAACAAATACCAAACCAAAGTATGCCGCTAATAAGCAATTAATATCCGCGAATACACAAAGGTGCTTAAATACGTTAATGCCGTTGAAATGTTGAAAACAGTTTTTAATAATTATTGATAAGATATCAAAACATGATTCAAGCTTTTTTTTTCTCTACTAGCCACTGGTGAAGTGGATTTCGTGGGCACCTTCCACAGGATATGGGACAACCACTTGGCCGAGCTTGTGGAATGCCGAAAATGTGGGCGTAAATTTTTCCCTGATCGGATTGAAACTCACCGGAATGCCTGTGCTGGGCTTCGTATTCAATTAAAAACCAAAAACCCGCAACATAACTGTACAAAAAAAATAAAATGATATTTCTAACAACCCGCTTTTTCCATCCTAAACGACAAAAACTAGTGACTTTTTTCAAGTTGGCAACGCCGTGAAGATGCAGCTGCGTGGCAGTTCCTAGCCCACTTCACGTCAATCGTCCTTTCACGGGAGTGCGCCATTACTGGCGTATCGTATTTTTGTGTGTGTTAACAAATCAAGAAACATCCAACATGGTAAGCTTTTTTTGTGAATTTTATTAACGTTAAATGACTCTCCAAACATCTCTGTACACCATGGGTAATTTATTTTGGTCGTTTTGCTTTATTTTATTGAAATTTTAACGAATTTGTTCAGATTGCACAATAAGATGAAAGTACATTTTATCGAGTATTTATGTTTACTAATTCTTATTTGGCTTTGTTGCTCACCTGTAATAAATAAATACGTGCGAAAATTTTAAATATTTAATTGTTTAATGGAAAAAATAAGCCAAGAAATTAGTTCAAGTGTCAACACATGTTGAAAGTTTACCGGACATCTGTTAATGTTATGTGGCTCCCTTTAGGTGAACTTCACTGTCGACGAAATCCGTGCTATGATGGACAAGAAACGGAATATCCGTAACATGTCCGTCATCGCTCACGTGGACCACGGCAAATCAACTCTAACCGACTCTCTTGTATCTAAAGCTGGTATCATTGCCGGGGCCAAGGCAGGAGAAACAAGGTTTACTGACACGAGAAAAGATGAACAAGATAGATGCATCACCATTAAGTCTACGTAAGTACACTTTTCAAATTCTTGTTACCAAGTGGCTAATTATTCCTTTTACTTCAGTGCCATCTCTATGTTCTTCGAACTTGAAGACAGGGATCTCGTCTTTATTACCAACCCTGAACAACGCGAAAAGGATGAAAAAGGTTTCTTGATTAATCTCATTGACTCTCCCGGACACGTTGACTTCTCATCTGAAGTCACAGCAGCTCTTCGCGTTACTGATGGCGCTCTTGTCGTCGTTGATTGCGTTTCTGGTAAGTTTTTCTCATAAAAAGTGTCACTTCCAGCACAACAAGAGCCACTTCACAGAGCATTGGTTGCTTGCAACCAACGCTCAGCGACGATGTTGGCAGTGCAATGGAAGAAGATAAAATTTAACATGTGTTTAAACGCTGCCACAGGACCTCTATCTTTATGTCCAGTTGTGGCATGCTACGGCATGAATTGTACATTATTTTTATGAAAATTTGAATAAAATACAAAGTTTATTACATATACATTGCATTTTAGGTGTCTGTGTACAAACCGAAACTGTACTAAGACAGGCTATTGCCGAACGTATAAAGCCTATTTTGTTCATGAACAAGATGGACAGAGCTTTGTTGGAATTGCAGTTGGATTCAGAAGAACTTTATCAAACTTTCCAACGTATTGTTGAAAACGTTAACGTCATTATTGCTACCTACGCCGACGATAATGGCCCAATGGGTAACATTCATGTAAGTGTACCAGATATATCTGATATGACGATTTAGTTATGTGAATTATTAATTCTTACATGGAAGCTATTAGTTATCTATCTAAATTATGCCTTAATAATTTTGTTTAAATACACTGTTTTCGGATTACAGTCAGTAAAACGCGAGTTAATTCGGGAGGTCTATTTAATTTTTAATTGACTAGGACCAAGAAGAAACTCGCAGATAAAAATCCACTATTTGCCCTGCTTTACATTAAAAATATTTAAAGCAGTTTCCTGATGTGGAACATTAAAATTAATATTTTTTGAAGATATTTTTATTTTGTTTCTTTTGATAGGTCGATCCTAGCAAAGGTTCCGTTGGTTTCGGTTCGGGTCTCCACGGATGGGCCTTTACTCTTAAGCAATTCGCTGAAATGTACTCTGAGAAATTCAAGATTGACGTTGTGAAACTAATGAACAGACTTTGGGGTGAAAACTTCTTCAACCCCAAATCTAAGAAATGGGCCAAACAGAAGGAAGCCGACAACAAACGCTCTTTCTGTATGTACATCTTAGACCCCATCTATAAGATCTTTGACAGCATCATGAACTACAGGTGAATAACGTTTTTTTTCTTAATTAATTGAGTTACTTTTGAAAGGATGATTGTTCTCACAGACCTGTTCCGATCTTGTTGACGACAAAAGAACGGCCAACTGACCTTAATTAACTCTTTTAAAAGTCATAAAAACCCTGAGTTGTGGTCAAAAATGTGTTTTCTTTTGCAGAAAAGAAGAATACGAAGCTCTGTTCCCCAAACTTGGCATCCAGTTGAAACACGAAGACAAGGACAAAGACGGCAAACCTCTCCTCAAGGTTGTGATGCGCACCTGGTTGCCTGCTGGTGAGGCCCTCCTCCAGATGATTGCCATCCATCTCCCATCACCGGTAACCGCCCAGAAATACAGAATGGAAATGTTATATGAAGGTCCCCACGATGACGAAGCTGCCATCGGTATCAAGAATTGTGACCCCAATGCTCCTCTAATGATGTACGTTTCGAAAATGGTGCCCACCTCTGACAAGGGACGTTTCTATGCTTTCGGTCGCGTTTTCTCTGGTAAAGTCGCTACAGGAATGAAGGCACGTATCATGGGACCCAACTACACTCCCGGCAAGAAGGAAGATTTATACGAAAAGGCCATCCAACGTACTATTCTTATGATGGGACGTTACGTCGAGGCCATTGAAGATGTGCCATCAGGGAACATCTGCGGATTGGTCGGTGTTGATCAATTTTTGGTCAAAACTGGTACCATCACGACCTTTAAAGATGCTCACAATTTGAGAGTTATGAAGTTCAGTGTATCGCCGGTCGTACGTGTCGCTGTCGAACCCAAGAATCCAGCCGATTTGCCCAAATTGGTTGAAGGTGTGTTTAATTTGATAGTTGTAAAAATTACCCAAGTTCTCCCCACTACAAGTTTTTTCAATGATGATTGTTCTTTCTCACAGACCTGTTCTGATCACTTTGACGACAAAAGAACGGCCAACTGACAACCTAACAATACGACAAATTTATTGAAAAACCTTGTCTTAATTGTGGTTTTCACATAGTTAATAATTTTATTTTTGTTAGGTCTCAAACGTCTTGCTAAATCCGACCCTATGGTCCAATGTATCATTGAGGAATCCGGCGAACACATCATTGCTGGAGCTGGCGAACTCCACTTGGAAATTTGTCTTAAAGATCTTGAAGAAGACCACGCTTGCATTCCCATCAAGAAGTCCGACCCTGTTGTATCGTATCGTGAAACCGTCGTTGAAGAATCGAACCAAATGTGCTTATCTAAATCACCAAACAAGCACAACCGTCTTTTCATGAAGGCTGTACCAATGCCTGAAGGTCTGGCTGAAGACATCGACGAAGGAAATGTCAACCCACGTGACGATTTCAAATCACGTGCCCGCTATTTGGGAGAAAAGTACGATTACGATGTGACGGAAGCCAGGAAGATCTGGTGCTTCGGTCCCGATGGTACTGGTCCCAACATCTTGGTCGATTGTACGAAGGGTGTGCAATATTTGAACGAAATTAAGGATTCCGTAGTCGCCGGTTTCCAATGGGCTACAAAAGAAGGTGTTTTGTCTGAGGAGAATTTGAGAGGTGTAAGGTTTAACATCTATGATGTCACTCTCCATGCTGATGCTATTCATCGTGGAGGTGGTCAGATTATTCCAACCACTCGTCGTTGCTTGTATGCTTGTCTTTTGACGGCTGCGCCAAGGCTTATGGAGCCAGTGTACCAGTGTGAGATTCAGGTACTGGAATTTGTCACTTCAAGTTGCTTCTAATAACAATAATGATAATTTTAATAGTGTCCTGAAGTCGCCGTCGGTGGTATCTACGGTGTGTTGAACAGAAGACGTGGCCACGTCTTTGAAGAACAACAAGTCGCCGGTACTCCAATGTTCGTGGTGAAAGCCTACTTGCCCGTAAATGAATCGTTCGGTTTCACCGCCGATCTACGTTCCAACACTGGTGGTCAAGCTTTCCCACAATGCGTGTTCGATCATTGGCAAATTCTTCCCGGAGATCCGCTTGAGCTCAGCTCGAGACCATACACTGTTGTACAGGTACGTGTTTGCGAGTGGGACCCATCTTCAGACAACTCTGGATTGCTTTAAATGTTCAGGAGTTTGCTTTTGATGGGAAATCAATAGTCTTTTAGTTTCGGTCTTGAAGTTCAATTCCTGGCCTGAATAGGAGGACTGACATTGTTTTGGTCAATCCCACACCTTGCACTTCTTAAGAGAAGTCAGATTGTAATTTTGTATTTCTTGTTTTTCCAGGAAACGCGTAAAAGGAAAGGTCTCAAAGAAGGTCTACCCGATCTTACACAATACTTGGACAAATTGTAAAGAGGTGGTTTTAGTTTTGTACAGATTATTTAAGATTCATCTTAAATTATACAATAAAGCAATTGATAATTATATTTTTTTTTATATACTGGCAGGGTGAAAATACATGAAATCAGTTGTAACTAAACTTTGTTTTTTGCTTCCCAACGCATTGGTTGTATTTCAATCTATATTATGACAACTTATTTCCAAGTAAATTGTGTCCAAGAATTAGACAATGGTTTTTATTGTTACCAGTGCATTTTTATTTAAGCTAGTTGAACTGATTAATTATAAGGAATTTGTTTTAACATACGGAGTTGAGAATAAAAGAGGAGTTTTTATTTGTGGAATTTCATTTTCACTAGGTTAGGTGGGGTATGAATAAATATAATTTTTGTAATAAAGTTTGTTGCAGCAACATAAAATGGATTCTATGGCCTCAACAAACAAGTTTTAGGTGAGCTTCTTTTTAAATCTTAATTTGTACATTCAATGTTTATATGATGAATTTTTCACACCATAATACCGTGATGGATGTAAAATTTTAAGCTCAACAGGTCTGAAATATTTACATATAACAAAAAAATAATTGATTTGATCTTGTGTTGTAACCATTTTTTGTATTGTTACAGGTTACAACCTGGAAACAGTTGAACCATTATCTAATAAGGTAAGACTTTTTAAGTTAATAACAATTACACATACCCCACACATTTAAGCCGGCCGTTTCATGTTTTAAAGTGAAGAGGTGTGCTCGTTGTGGGAACATTAATTCTTTTCATGTGTATGGTTATTCAGCGATCCGCCTGTCTAACCAAAGGAAGATTAGATACACTATTACTTAAGCTCTTCATTATTTAGTTACTTATACCCAATTTTACAGATAATTAGAAACGATGAAGGCGCTCTTAGCTGGTGAGTAATATGAGTATGGTCTTTTTTACTATTAATAATAATAATAACGTGATGATTTACATACCGCCCCAGTCTGAAATCGGTGACTGATTGGTTTTTCTGACTACATCTAACACACACATTTAGTTATAATATTTTTTGTCGTGTTTCTGTTGTGCTAAAAGCAATTTTTTGATTACACGTCTTACTAAAAAAATGTTTATATCCATTTTTACAGATAATTAAACCATGAAGGCGTCCTTTGGTTTAGAATGTCATGAGCTGGTGAGTTACTTTTTTAGATATATTTTTTTCTAATAATTATGTGATGATTTATTTACCGCCCCAGTCTGAAACCGGTGACTGATTGGTTTTTCTGATCACATATTAGATATTAGTTACAGTCTTTGTTCTTTATCTGTATTAAAAGCAATGTTGTTTTTGTTGCAGGTTCCCAGGGAAATTTTTATTTTTGTAGTTAAAAAAATGAATAAAAGCGTAAGAGAACGAATGCTTTTTAATGTAACTAATCCTAAACATTAAAATAATACTACGATAATGTATTAAAGCCTATATTGATAAAATGAATTTTGTACATTAAATAAAATCTAGAATAAAATGCCACTGTTAACATCATTAATAGTATCATATTCCATTAAGTTCGTTGAGATTTAATTAGATGTTCTGTTTTTGTATAAAGTAGCAATTGTCCTCGCTGCTAGAAATAAGGTTTCTTTTCTAGCAACCCCACACACCTCTTGTTGCCAATTATTTTTACAAATCTGAAAAAAAAATTGACACTGACTTTTTAACAAAAACAACCCAACTCACTTGTAAATACGCCGCTAGTAGTTTTTCAGTTGAATCGCACCCCTTCGCATAACTGGGCATTTCTTTTTCAGCCAACTTGACAAATAAATCAAGCGGGATTGGGGTCGTTTGGGTATATGTTTTTAAAGTAATCCTTTTTTCCGTATCCTTCAAAACTAAGACGCTTAAATCAAACCATTCGTCATTTTGTTGTAAAAGAATATTCTCTATTGCAATCGTTGGCACTTTACTAGTGCTTAACGTTTTTAACTTTTCTTCCGCTCTTTTAACACCATCTTCAAAACCCACAGCTTGGTGTTTCCTGTCATCAACTTTTAAACTAACCCCACTTGAAAAATTAAATCAATTATAACACAAAAAAGACATGAATTATGAAGATATTACTTCACCCAAGCTTTACCAAATACTGAGAAAATTGCCTCTCGTATGGGTGCAAGTTCATCCGGGTCTTGCGACACAACTATAAACTCCATATCTCCTCCAGAATCTAACAATACAATTATGCAAAAACGATTGGGAAACGCACGGATCCTTACAAATAAATTCCGACATTTGTGGGTCCAGAGTTGTAATAAGTGAATCCACGGAGTTTTTCGCCTTTTCCGCAACTTTTGATAATATTCCACCACTAGAGACTGCATCTTTCATCCAGCCTATTAGTCCACCCCCTTGATTCGAGTCTGTACTAGTTTGGGGAACTGGTCCATGTTGAACACCTTTACTTGGCGGTATGGCAGCACTGCAAGTTATATTGCATTAACTTGAAACCCCAAAAGGTGAAATTTTACCTAAACTGGGTTTGGGGGAAAGGTTGGACGTTAACCGGTGCGGGAGCCGCATGTTTACTCTCTTGTGTAGTCGCCGGTGTGATATTAGGGGGTAAAGGGGTAGGTGCTGGGACTGGTTGAGATTGCCAAAGTGTGAAATCTGGGAGATTTGTAGGAGGTGGCAAATTTGAGAGTAAATTTCCACTTGGCAGAGCGACGCCCCCGGGAGACGGTATCGAATAAGGGGATGATACGCTACTTATAGATTCTGGAATCATTTTTAATAAAATTAGGTCGATTTTAGGTTACAGATGTGTCACCTGTTTTGTCATTAGAGGCATCGTCTTGTTTCTTATCGATTATTTCAAATGAGGCCTCGCCATTTGAATCTTCTTGTAACATTTTATTTACTTTTTAGTGATTGATTATTGTAAACATATGATTACATATTTGAAAAACAGATTTTTTGATTTGTGTACTATAAAATGTAATCGTGGCACAACTAGGGATTTTTCTGTTGCGAATGAAGTTAGCTACGCAAACGTTTTTATTTGTTTTACATGATCTATTTATGAAAATAAAAAGTAAACTTTACAGTTTACAAAACCTCCTCTGAAAGTTTCATCATTAGTCATCGTTAAGTAAATATTTCTAAGCACACTAAAGAAAAAAAAATATTTGTTAGCACCTCATGAATAATTAAGTTGGCATCCCTATTGACATTAATTTTTGATTGACATTTGTCATTTGTCGTTAATCAGACCGGCCGCGTCAAATAATTGCTTTTATCACCTTTTGAAATAAAATGGCAGATCCAGTGGAGCCGCCCCCTTTATTTGAAAACGTAGATATTCTTTCCGATCGAAAAGAAGATGATGATTTATTTGTGTCGGCAAGACAGGTACATATAACGCTTGTAACTTGATATATGGCTTGATAACCCCCCACTTACAACAGGAGCAGCCCGAATCGTACAAAGATGAAACTCAGGAAGGCCTCAACGGCGATGCAGACCTAAATAATCTTTCTCTGGACGATCAGAAACCTGAAATGGAGACTGTTCCAATCAACAACAGTGGAACATTGCCAGACACTATGGAACAAGTAATTTTTTCACAATTGATGAGTTTTTATTTATATTGTAAAAACTTTAGGTCGAAGCTGCACATGGTGACCAGTTTTTAGAGATATCAATCACGGAGCCTCAGAAAGTGGGCGATGGGATGGGCGCTTATATGGCTTATAGAGTCACAACAAAAACCAACATGCCAATATTTAAAAAACGCGAATTCTCAGTTACGAGACGTTTTAGCGATTTTCTGGGGCTCCATGACAAATTATCAGAGAAATATCTCAAGGTCGGAAGGATTATACCACCAGCGCCTGAAAAGAGTGTCATTGGGATGACTAAAATTAAGATTTCCAGTCAATCTGAAGGCAGCCCTTCAAATGGAAACGATTTTGTTGAACGCAGGCGCGCATCTTTGGAGCGTTACCTAAAACGCACTGCCCAACACCCAGTCCTAGTACTGGATCCAGATTTTAGAGAGTTTTTGGAGTCAGGTTGGTAGATCTCACTGTTTTTCACCTTTACAATTTCATTTTTGTTAGATATTGAATTGCCCAAAGCAACAAGCACCTCAGCTTTGAGCAGCGCTGGCGTTATGCGACTCTTCAATAAGGTGGGCGAGACAGTCAACAAGATTACTTACAAGATGGATGAGACTGATCCAGTAAGTCAATCACGAATTTGTACTTACAAGTTAATACCTAATCAAATTTCAGTGGTTTGAGGATAAGTTGGCGCACATTGAGGCTCTTGAAACTCAATTGAGGAAGTTGCATGCCAATGTTGAGGCGATGGTGGCTTATAGAAAAGAATTGAGCCATCTGACTAACGGCGTTTCTCGATCAGCGGCCATGTTGAGCGCTTGTGAAGACCATAATTCTCTCTCTATGGCCCTGTCTAATTTGGCAGATACTGAAGAAAAAGTAGAAGCATTGCATTTAGAACAGGCTAACACAGATTTCTTCATTCTCTGTGAGCTATTGAAGGATTATTTGGGGCTTCTCGGCGCTGTTCGTGATGCGTTCCATGAAAGAACCAAACTTTTCCAACATTGGCAACATTCACAACAAATGTTGGCCAAAAAAAGGGAAGCCAAAGCTAAGATGGAGCTAACAAATAGGACAGATAAGGTGGATCAAGCCGGCGCTGAAGTGATAGAGGTGAGTGTTACCAACTGTTGTAAAAAATACTAATGTTTACCTTAGTGGGAAGCCAAAGTAGAACGCGGTCAAGAGAATTTCGATAAGATCTCAAAAATGATCAAAACGGAAGTAGAGAGATTTGAAAAATGTCGCATTCAGGACTTTAAAATTATGTTTATAAAGTATTTTGAAAACCACCTCAACCACCAAGCCCAGGTATGACTGTGGTATAAATTAAAGTTCCAAAATTGATTGTGTTGTTTCAGCTTGTTAAATACTGGGAAGCCTTCTTGCCGCAAGCCAAAGCGATTGCTTGACTAGAGGATATCTGTAAAGAATAGCAGAATAGACATTCCTATTGGAGATTTCCGGAAGTTTAATATGTATTATACAATTTTTGAACTTATTTAGCACGAAGAGTCTCCATATTCGTCCCTTTTTATTATATTTTTTTGTCATTTATACATAATCAAATATTTGTAGTTTATAACTATTGTTGAAACTATTTATGTTACTTTGTAGCCCTTGTGTATTTCAGCGCTACGTTAAAATATAGGTACTTTGTTATATAAAAATCGCCTAAAGAATTATATTTATTATGTGCTTTGTGTGAAACATGAATAATATACCCTACATTGTGATAAGAATATGCTCAGTTTTTGTAGCTTGATTCTTGTTCAAGTCTAGTGCAAATTTAAGGTAATTTAGGTCCCATATTGGCATTGTGTACAAGTGATGCATAAATTATCGAATATTGTACTGCTTCCATTATGTAAAAAAAATTAAATAAAGTTGTACATTGCACTAGATTTCTTTTATTTTCTTTAGTGATGGATGGTGATAGTTTTGTACTTTAGCGCCACTGTCGGTTATGCGGAAATCAAAGGAACTAAGGAAAGACTATAAGTTTCGAGGTTATGTTTTGACCACATTTATTTTTTTTCTTTGCTATGGCAAACAGAAACATTGACGAATCAATCAGAAAGCCTCGGAGAACTAAAGGGACCCCTTTTTACGTTCAGAGAAATTACTATGCAGGTGGCATTATAGCAACCGGGGGTCTGTTCTGGTTACTCTTTGAGTAAGTTGACAGTTTGTTGTAAAATCATTTTTCTGGTCATAATTTGTAGATTGTGGCCCGAAGCCAAGAAGCTTAGGAAAAATCAACTAGAAGAAGGCAAGTTTAACGACAGTCTTGAAACCCAGCGACGCTTTAACGCTACTAGCCTTGTAACAAAAGCGGGCTATTTAGAATTGTTTAGTGGATTGAAAAGTAGAGAAGACGCAAAAGAAGATGAGCTCTACAGGGACAAAACGAAGCCGCAGCCGTGGTACACAAAATTCAACTCGAAGCCAGACGTCTAAAGCTGTTAATCATAGGTTAGTCTAGTGTAAATACTGTAATAAAGTTGTCTAATTCATTACTGTAGTTTTATTAGCGCTACAAAAACGGGGAAGATTTCGAAATATTTCGCTAAAGTCACTAAAGACAATTCCGACGAATCTGAAAGTTCATGTAGCTTGTCAGAATCTCCTTACAAAAACTGTTTAAGTGAAGTGAAAAATGTGAAACTCGACGACTCCGCGGGTGATTTAGACGATTTTAAGACTCCCAGAGCGATCAATAAAGTGTCAAAAATAGTTAACGCGAAACCACCGTGTAAAAATGTTAAAAAACGCAAGAAAACACAAGTGCCTCTTACAAAATTTGTTAAAGATAATTTCAGACATATTGACGTCAATGTGGACCACCTTCAGATGGCTTTGGCTCTCTCAAAGTCCTCCTACGAAGCTGAAAATCCCGATCGGACCCCCAGCTCACAAGAAAAAAAGGATTCGTTTAGAGAAGCCTTTGAGAAATTTGGGTTTGGATATAATAAAAACAGGATTTCAGTAGAGCAAAAGAAAGAAAAACTAGATACAGTCAAAAAGAATAAAAAATCACGCTACAGATATGTAACCCCAATCCTCAAACTTCGTACTAAAGAGGAACGAGAATCATTAATTTCGTCAAAAGTTTCACTGATTTTGGCTCAAAATCAACGAATGTGTTTGTCGATAGTACAAAAAGAACATGAATTGTTTTCCCCCTTTCTTCAAAAATTCACAAAAAGGAAAATATTTATGATAAACAACATGGAGTTAGAGCAGTTAAACGTGAAGGGTCGCTTCTACGTACAAGGATTTGAACCAAGTGCTAAATCACTTTGTGGATGCCTTTTGAAAGATTGGAGGAGTATCCCTGGTCGAGAGCCCACACCCGAGCGTGAAAAAGATGCCATAGGGGATGATATTACATCACCAAATGTGCCAAAATTTTTGCAAAGTTATTTACAAATCGGTAAAGAAAATTTAGAACCAGATCAAACCTCCCCGTTCAGAATACATTCTACACAACCATCACCTTGGAACAGTTTATGTGCACGTGGAAGTCCAAATTTTATTTGCGGCAGCTTGTCCTCATATGGAAGTAGGGAGGAAGATATAACTTTGGAGAAAAGAAACTCTCAAATAATAAACTTAAACAACTCCGACGAAAGTTCAAACGAAAATAAAAACTCAGAAAGAGGAATTTCCATTGATTGTGAAACCACCAAAGCGAATTTTGGGGCTGTTTACGATGAGGAAGTGACATCTTATGTACCAGAATCAGACTCCTTTTTGACTGCTTGTGGAGAAATTACTAGAAAATCACGATCGCCTGTTGTTGAACTTGTTGATGTAAACAATGGGGAAAATTTCTCTATGCAGAGAGAGGATTACCCGATTTCAAGTGAAATCTTGCCAAACATAAGCTGCGTAATTTCTCCTGATAAAGCCACTTCTTCTCCAATATGTTGTAGAGGGAAGTTGAATTTTTCCGTTCAAATACATGACTCTCCTAATCCATGCCTATCATCACAGACTTCCGCCAATCCCAGTTATCAAGATGCTAAGCAATCTCGAGATTGTATTTCTCCCGACTTATTCGAATCCGAAGACTATCAAGAACTTTCTCGAAATAACGAAGAAAAAATGGAAAGTGTTGATTTGACAGAGTCTGATAGTGAAGAATGCACAGATTTTCATCTCAATCTCAATCTTTCTGCACCTAGGGACTCTCTTGACCAGAATGTCACTAAATATGTAAACAATTTATTAACTACAAATGAAACACCACCTCCACAAAAATTAGAAAAAATATGCACCGTTGATGATAATTCCCAACAAAATAGTTGTAGTCAAGAAAGCATTTACATAAGCGACGATGAAGTGAATTATTCAAGTGTGTTTAACACTCCCCTTCCAGAGAAAAAGGTGCAGTATGATATTTCCGATGACGAAGAGTTTGGTATTTCAAATATGGATCTGTCATTGTCTGAACGATTAAGACTTAAAAATAGAAGTTACAGTACTCCCAAACTCTCTGATTTGTCTGAAGCAGTTCCTTCAAATGAAATTTCCAACAACTATAATTCTTCCCCTTTAACTGCTTGTTCTCCTCAAATTTCGTCGGCACTTGAAACTTTTAATTCACCTCTTCAGCAAGTACCCACAAGCAATAAAAGGACAGAGCTTGAAAATTTTTTCACCCTTAAACAAGAAATGGAAACATTTGGCTCGAAACCGCCCAAAAGAAATAAAACATCCCCACCACGAAAATTAGAAAAAATAAGCACTAGTGAAGATGATTCGGAGCAAGAGAGTTGTAGTCAAGAAAGCATCTCCATAAGGGACGATGAAGTGAATTACTCAAGTGTATATGGCACTCCTCATCTCAAAAGAAATCTGCAATGTGATAGTTATTCCGATGACGAGGAATTTGGTTTTCCAAATATGGAGCTATCATTGTCTGAACGATTAAAACTTAAAAATAGAAGTTATAATAGTCCCAAAATTTCAGAATTATCTGAAGCAGGTCCTTCAAATGAAATTTCTAACCATGATGCCCCTTTGACGGCTTGTTCGCCTCAAATGTCGTCTCCACATGAAACTTTTAATTCGCCTTTTCAACAAGTATTCACAAACAAGAAAAGTGTCGAGCTTGAGGATAGTTTCACTGAGAGACAAGAAATGGAGACTCCAAATAAATCCTCTATCATAGTAAAAACTGAAAATGTAACTCCAATGGCCAATTACGACGAAATGAATACTCCTCAAGTTTGTAAAGAATTGGATAAATTTGGCCTGAAACCGCTCAAAAGAAGTAAAGGTGCTAAGCTATTGAAATATATTTATGAAGCGACACATCCAATAGTTAAAGATGAGGATGGTAAAGTTGTGAAAAAAAGGCGTACTAATCAATTTGAAGATATTATCAGTGATGTAGGAGAAGAAGAGGAATTAATTTTTGAAAGGACTCAGTCAAAGCGAATACTATCATGTAGATTGCCTTTGCACATAGCATGGCACAATTTGGTAATGAGTAACCCCAAAATTAGGGAAGATATATTATTGTATGAGCCACTCCAATTGGAAGATGTACATTTAATGTTAAAGGAACAGGGTTACAAATACAATATTAAGGTAAAATTAATTTTATGCTCAGGATCTGCTTTTGATAGTTATTTGTTTCAGGACTTACTAACATTTTTAGATAAAAAATGCATAACAATACGAACAGCGCAAGGTCAACGCAATATCGGAAAAAAACTATGATGGAGATTATTTATAACTTTAATTAATTTTAGCAAATTTACACATTAAAGCTTTTTAATTTTAATCCGACTACAATTTGAATATCACAACCTTTCGATCCCGTTGAACATTTACTTCTCTTCCTTTTTCTTTTGTTTAATCCTGTAATCTGATAAAGCCGCTTTTATTGCGTCTTCCGCCAACATGGAACAATGCAACTTGACGGGAGGCAATGACAATTCTTTTGCAATATCAGTGTTCTTCAGTTCAAGGGCTTGGTCTACTGTCTTACCCTTTACCCATTCTGTAGCAAGGGAACTGCTGGCAATAGCTGATCCACAACCGAATGTCTTAAATTTAGCATCGATGATTTTTCCATTCTCATCCACTTTGATCTGCAACTTCATAACGTCTCCGCATGCCGGGGCCCCCACAAGACCTGTACCAACAGATTCGTCATTCTTGTCAAGAGAACCAACATTTCGAGGATTTTCGTAATGATCGATCACTTTGGGGTGGTAGGCAGCTGTCAGGACTTTCAACGGCTCGACAGCACGCAATAATTTTGAGGAGGAACTCAACGCCATACCTCAATTTTTGCGTTATCACTCTTCTCGAATATTAAAAATATGTTTATTTGACTAATTTAACCTTCAAATTTGACATAAGACATAAGCGCCTCATGTAGTTTGCGCCCGAAATTCTACAATCGGGAATTTGTAACCACCATTAACATTATATCCTTTTATATAGAAATAGAGATTTTCATACTTTTGTTGCAAAATAGGTAATACTGCAATAGCTATACCACTATAGTAAAGTATAGATATGCTTACAGTTTATTTATTTTACTTTTTTTTTCGGGTGGTATTAAATTCTTGGGCAAGCAGTTTCTACTTTCTAGCACTAAGATTAAAAATACAAATTCAAAATTAGAACAAATATATTTCAAGTTTTAAGTACCCAATAAAACGAGTTAATTGTTGGGTTTCCCCTAGTCAGACCAACTCGTTCATCTTGTTAAAATAAATATATAAAAAAAATACTTAAATTTTGACAAGTGACATTCTGACATTACAGTTGTCAAATATGTTGGAAAAAAATATAAAATAATGATTAAATCTCGTAAAAGAAGTGAAATGTGATTGAAATATCTGAAAATTTTTGATGTGTTGTTGCGGTTAATTAATCCAATGTCTTCTTTTGTTGTTTTGATTGTGTTTTTTTACCTAACCTCTATTGTAACAACTAATGAAATGATTTATGTAAATAACCGGCATTTGCTGAATGTGATACCCATTCAGAATGATGGAAAAAAGGCAGAAGTCAGTAAAGCAGAAGAAACCAAGGATAATGTAGAAACAGTACACGTAAAAAATGAAGCAAAAGTTGAGCCCCAACTTGTCAAACCTCAAGAGGCGCCTCATCCTGACCCCAAGAAAACAATTGTGAACAAAACATCCGAACAAAATCAAACAAAAATTGAAGATCACAAAGTTTTCAAATCAACAGAAATGGAATCTGGTGCCCTTTTGCGGGGTGTTTCCGTTATTGTGATTTTAACAGCATTAGTAATTGTTTACATGGCCTTGAAGACTTATTGCGGGTAAATTAACACATAATTTGTTGTTTTAATGACTGACGAGTTTTATTAGCAGTAAAAAAAGCAAACAACCTGTGATGGTAAGTAAATACGGTGTGAGGACACGACGCAGTGATATAGAGATGACACCTCTTCCACTTGATGAGGATGAAGAAGACGAGACTTTGTTTGAACTTCACAATACGAATCGATAATATTTAATTATTTTTTGTTGTAAATACCTAATATTTTTGTATGAACTAACCTATTAAATATGTATTTTTTTCCAAAATTTTTGCGTTGGCACCCTATAAAAAACATAGTTTTATCCTTCGTAAATTAAAACTAGAGTTAATAGATAAGCTAATAGATTCATTAAAAAAATTATTGTTTTCAAAAAAAAATGTTATTTAATTGTTTACGTTGGCACCCCTAAACGTCATCCGTGACAGAGACACCTTTTAAAAATGGCGTTATGTCTAAGTGAGAAGTAGGCGTAACGTCAACCTATTATCTAACATTGGCATTCTCATTGATTACATCCTCTTGCGTGACCGCAACTGTGTATTTCGGTGGTCTCGAATGTCAAATGAGGGTGAAATGGCGACGCCGGAATCCGATCCTGCTAGCAATCTTCGCCGCCGCAAGTTGGTCGAGTGTGCCCAAGAAAAAATTGAGCAAGGTAACATGTTTTCGCATTTTTCGTGTTCTTGGAACAACTTGTTACAGCCTCGGAACTGCTAAAAAAGAAGATCCCTTGTGCCGGCCACTTCCTGGCCCCAAAACGACTCTGGTTGAAGCGAATTTCGACGCCGAATTGCGATGTTGTTGTTGTTTTTCCGCCCGGTGCCGAGGATTCAGTGTTGTTATGGCTGCTGTCCAAGTTGAGACAGTCACCGGGGCTTACGGTACACGTAAGACATCATGCTTCCACTCAAAGCAGTGCATTTTACCTCACAGCACCTTTGTCTATGTAAATCATCACGAACAAATCAATGTCTCAGTGAGTAATATTTGCGATTACAGTTTGCTCAAAGCTGCTGAAGAATATCATCTTCCCAAAATTTTAAAAGAGAGCAAAGGAGGTGGCTTGAAGGAGTTTCTAGTACAGGACTTCCAGTCATATGAGGGATCAGACGCTGAGGAACATTTTTTTACCACTGAGGAGAGACAGTGGTTGGTATTGAGGCTTCTAGAAAGTATAAGGGCGAAAACAAACGATCGTGAAGCGATTCCAGGGTTGACACTTCTCGAAGGACAACCCATTGGTACCACACAAAAATTATTAATTAATTTGAAATTTATTCAGTTATTTTCAGTCCCTAAATGTTTGACTTCTGGAATAATCTCGCAGGTATTTCCCCTACACGAACCCGCAGCCCTTGAACGTCTTCAAAACACATGGGTTCGAGACTTCTGTGCCCGGCAGCCCCTAGGTAACTGGTAAAACAGCACGGACTCTAATGCGTTGTCATTTCTAGATGAAATAACCGAATATTTCGGGGTCAAAATTGGGATGTATTTCGCCTGGTTGGGCCATTACACTACAGCATTGAGCATTCCGGCGATCGTTGGATTTTTATTTTGGGTTAGTCTCCATCATCAATCGCAAAACAAACTCGCCTCCTATGTTTCTCCTTCCAGTTATGTTGTAACGGCAAACACCAGACTTTGGAAGATGTCGGCTACGTCTTGTTTTCAGTCTTCAATGTGGTTTGGGTCACCACTTACCTCCAAGCCTGGAAACGGTACTCAGCTGAATTGGCCTTCAGATGGGGCACCTTGGATCAGCGCGACGACCTCCTCGCCGAGCCTCGCCCTCTGTTCAGGGTACGCCCACTGTTACTAGGCAACGATTAAATTAACACACTTGACGTTTGCGACAACTGTCAATCAGTTGCGAAATGTCATCGCTGCAAGCACCTTTTTCGCGCTTATTTTGTACTTTATGTATGCCGCTTTATTTCTTTAGAGAGCTTATAGTGCTGTAACATGTCGACGTGTTAGGTTGCGCGACATGTTATGATATGTTCCCAGGGACCCCTCCATACTAGTCCGGTGACCGGCCGTTTGGAACCCTGGCATCCCACATGGAAGAGACACGTTTTCAGATATTGCATTTCGGTACCGATTATTGTCATTTGTTTATCAACCGTTTTCTTCGTCATGATTGTTTCATTACAAATTCAGGTGGGTTGGTATTCTTGTCAGAGGGCGGGGTTATTGTAAACTGTTTCAGGATTGGTGGGACGGGTTGCTAAGTGCGAGGGGACTGCCCATATGGCTTGGGTATCTCCCCAAAATCATGTTAGCTGTTGTTATATCGCTAATGGACGAGGCCTACTTTAAAATAGCCATCTGGCTCAACGATAAAGGTGAGTTATAGGCGACATAAAAGTAATCAATAAAACACGCGGTAGTTATTAAAACTAACGTTTGGCATGGATTTACCTTCACGAAAAGAGCATAATTTTTTGTTGTTGTATTGTTTGTTTCTTAGTAGTTAGTCTAGAGTAGGTGCTAACTATTTAACTGTGAGCTATGTTTTTACCACGCTGCTCAGAGAACTACCGTCTTGAGACCAAGTACGAAAACCACCTCATCGGCAAAGTGGCCTTGGTTTGTATTCTTCTATACTTGTACAAAGCTTGTTGCCCTTTATTTCTTCTAACTGCGTACTAGTCTCTTCGATTATCCCCAATATAAAGTATCACTAAGTATATTAAAATCATTGCATCGTCATGCATGTCAAGTTTTGGAAAATTCGTTACATGTCCATTTAATATCTTTAAAAACCTTATTATTATTATTAAAACAAAATTTTTATAAATCGTTCTGTGTTTCAGTTTCAATTTGTCAATTCGTTCCTTTCATTATTTTACATCGCCTTTTATTTACAAGATCAAGCGCGCCTCAAGGAGGTAACTTCCTACTCATTCTTATTAACAAAAAGTACACCCTACTGTTTTAGCAATTGGCTGCGTTATTGATATCTCGACAAGTGATTGGTAACCTAAAAGAGTCGGCCTTGCCGTACATGCTTGAACACTTGCGATTGGCTAAAATGAGTTTTGATTTGTGGGGCGCTTTAAGTCCACAAAATGCCAGACCGCCACCTGGTGAGGAAGCCGAAAAAGTACCCGAAATTAAAGAAGAACCGAGCGCCGAACAAGCAAACAAACGGAGCATGAGTCAAGCCGAACTTGAGAGTTCTTTGTATAAAGTCTGTTAAAATAACTTTTCAAATAATTTCTCTTGATTTAAATTTCTTGATAGTACGATGGGACTTTTGCCGATCATTTGGAAATGACAATGCAATTAGGATACGTCATCTTGTTCTCTTCTGCTTTTCCTCCAGCTGCGGTTTGCGCCTTGTTGAATAATTTGATAGAAATCAGGAGTGATGCTTTCAAATTGGCCTATGTGTGTCAAAGGCCGTTTGGACAAAGAGTGCCAAATATCGGCACGTGGCAGGTAACCACTCGCCCAATTAGAGTGGATGAATCAAAATCAAGTCAATTGTTTCAGAATTGTATGGAATACATGAGTATAATGGCGGTTTTGGTAAACTGTGCTCTGATTGGTTTATCAGGGCAAGTGCATCGGATGTTTCCAGATATGACCGCCACTCAGACGATTCTGTTGATCGTGGCCTTGGAACATATCATGCTTGTTATCAGATTCATCATCACGTGTGCTATTCCGGACATTCCCGGTTGGTTGGCCACTGAAATGGCCAAAATCGAGTGGGCTCGACGGGAAGCCAGCCGAATGGCTAACACGTCGACGCCTTCACCGGAAGAATTATCAGCGAAAATAGTCGGGAGGTGAGTTGCGTTTGATTCAACTTAAGGGTCGTTTCTGTATAATATATAATAAATATAATGGTTGTATTCCATTTAGGTCTCGTGTGAGGGGCGGCCTCATCCAATGGTAAAAAGTTTGTGCTTCGCCAAAAACAAAAATTCTTGTCACTATGCAAAACCATATCGATCTTTTCTAGCACGTCTTCTTCATTTTGACGTAGTCATTTGCTTTAAAACTGCGCTTAGCCGATGTCATATCACTTTAATCGTGAACGTGACTTTTTGTTTAGATTTTCAGTGTCGCCGAGTCACAGTCTGGTTGCCGGCAATGAAAACAAACTTGATATAAAACTGCGTGAGATGACCGATACTTTGAAGGAAACAACACATTCGCAAAATGTAACGCCGGTACCGACTCCCACTTCACCAGCGCCCAGCACAACTCATCCCAAACCCGTCTCTATAACACCTGATAGTATCCAACAAATTCCACCGTTCAAGCCGAGGAAATCAAAAGAGTGGGCCCCAGCTGAGGTACCCCCCGAACAGACGCATCATTTGACCATCGGGCCTGGAGGCGGTGCCGAATGGGCCAAACGCCTTAAGGAGGAATCCGATATACATCGAAGTACTGACTGTATCACCCCCAAGGCAAGTCTAAAAAACCTCGCACTAGACGATTAATTGTTTTGGTTAGGACGCCTCTAGTTCCGATTCGGACCTGTTGAAAAGCAGTCCCGTGTGGCCTCCGCGCCCACGATCCCCTCCCCAGCCGCCTAACCGGGCTCGCCCCGCCCCTGCTGACTCCTCCCTCAGCGATAGCGCTCGCAGCGTGTCGAGTCAGGAGGCGGATGAGGCAGCTCGTGCGGCTGAAGAACTAGCAGCAAAGAAAACGAGAGTGAAGCAAAGCCTAATGAAACGGGCCCGTTCTGTGGCTATTTTCTCGTTGAAGTTGAAAGAGCGTCGAGCTAGGGAGGCGCAAGAGAAGGCGGCGAACAAGCCGGTGACTCCCACGGCACCACTGCCGCCCCCACAATGTGGAGGCGGCGAATTGTCATGCATACCCATCGAAAAGGTGAGTGGTCAATTAAGTAATTAATTTTGCGTTATTTGAGTTGTTTTAGCTCATTCAACTGGAAGATGTGAGACGTAACGTACGGCCTAATCAAAGCGGAACTTTGTAGCAACTTTGCTCGCATTCTTCCTACTCAGTCGTCGTGTAAGCATTATTCTTTGTTTAAGAAATGAAAAGTAGAATTTCTGTTTTATCGACACGAACTTGCATGTTTTTCAATTTCATTCGGGTGAAAGAGTATTCCGTGAATCGAGCAATAATAGTTTAAAACGTTTAAAAATCAAACAGATTACAATGCCGATTTTTAAACGATGGTAAGCTGATTTTTAGATATTTAAACTTTAATGTTAATAGTTACATAAGATTGTTTTTAAATTATTTTTTATAATCTGTAGATTGTGTGTTATCCTCACGTAGCGGTAAGACTGTAACAATTAATAATTAGTGAATAGATCGGCTGGATTTTTGCTTGGTTGCGTAGCCGCTGTAGTTTCGTTGGGTTCATTGTAGACACCCTACAATCCTTTGATTATAGTTTCTATATTTTGGCCACATTTAGAGTAATGTTCGTCCAGTATGTTGTATTGCATTGCCTTCTGACGCGGCCAGTGTAACCCCACGAAGTGTATAAAATAACTACCGGAGCAACCCTAGCCTTCACCTAGTATTTGTTTAGTCTGCCGTCCGCTTTGTCCCGGCTAAAGCCTCAAATTAACGAACCCGTCTAAAACGGTCGCCATTTTATACCAGTTATAGTACACCTGGCCCACTATTTTTTTTATGTAGCGCTTATCAAGTCTCAATAGTGGAAACTAACAATAAGACTGCAAATATTTTTGAGATTTAGTACGAAAAAATGCCTTGGTATTATTGTTATTAGTTCGATTTTTAGCCAGATTTTAATAATGTGATTATCCACAGCATTAAAAACAAATAAAAAAAATTGACAAATTCTGTGCTTGTCGAACTTTCATGTTGCTTAAATGTTAAGCTTGTTGACTATGTATTTAATAAAAATAAATAAGTGTTTATTAAAAAAAAAACAATCTTATTTCTCTACTACAAATTCTGCTCGGCGAATTTCTTAGCCAATTCGAGACTTTCTTGCAACAAAGGATCCCAATCTTCTAATTTAATTCGCTTGGCTTTCATATTGCACACAACAGAGGGGTCGTAACCCTTGGAAGGGACAAGAGAACATTTAAAAATCGCTGCGACGGTCTCCCTCATCCATTTTTCAGCATCAAAAGAGGCATTTTTCATATTCTTTAATAAATGAAAATCAGATGTCGCTTATGATTTGTTTAAACTTACCCCAGGAACGCAGCAACGGGCCTTTACTGTATTATCAGAATAAGAAATTATCAAAACAGGAATGTCAGGACATAAATTTGTCGCTTTTTGCAACGAAACGTTTTCCAAAACAAGTGAAGTGCGTAAGTAGTGTACCATATATTTCCGATTATTTTTTGTGTGTGAAACATTTGACTCCATAGCGTTACGCATCTCAATTTCAATGAACTCTCTTCAAAAGTATAATGAAATTCTTTACATTGGTGCAATTACTAACTCACCTTAAATTTCTCTTGCCTGAATCCTTAATTTGCTTACTAATTTTATTCAAAATATCGGCGCATTGTTGTTTTACAATAACCGGTAAAATATTCTCGTCTTCAACACTGTAATTCAATTGTTTCTTAAAAGATGTTATTGCCATGTTTAACACATCAGGCTAGAATAGATTTGTTTCATACCAGCTATAGGATTTGATTTTTTACCTTATCAATATTATCTGAAACGCTTTTCCCAAGAGTTTCCAAATTATTTAAGAGTTCTATTCCGTTGCTTCTGGCCACTTTAGCCTTATATCCCGTTACACCATAAATAGAAGTAGTACTTCTCCCTAGTGACTTCATACTGACGATGCAAAAGTCCTCAATATCACTTGTATTCAAAACATGGGTACCACAACATGGCTCACGTGACAAAACTCCTTCACAACTCTTAACTTCCACCACTCTGATCCCAGTTTCTGGGTACACTTCACCTGGGATTAAAATAATTTCATCCAAAGTGGTCAATTTTTGACTATCCAACTCGGTTATAGTAACAGGCAGATGGCTCTGAATTGCTTTTCTTATCACACTCTCTACTGATTCTAACTCATCAAATGACAATTTCTCGTCAAAGATTCCAACGTCTAAATTGAAATAATTGTGAGTGACTTTACTCGACTTCTGGCATGTTGCGCCTTTCACTTTTTTTAATACTGAGTTTAACAAGTGAATAGCTGTATGATTTCTCATGTTTTTGAGACGAAAATCAGAGTCGATTTTCAGGGTACCAGTTTGACCCACCTTAACACGCCCACTCTCCCCTGAACGAAGAAACCCTTTATGCAAAATGTACCCGTTACAGTCTTGTGCTTCAGTCACTTCAAACATGTAATCACCAAATTGAATCGTGCCTCTGTCGCTGATTTGCCCTCCGGCCTCTGTATAAAAATTGGACTTGTCTAGAACCAAAGAACAGAAATTTTCCGACTCGATTTCTCGGACCAATTTAGAATCTTTAATGATTTTCAAAATACGGACATCCAAGTTGTCGAAAACGTACTTTCCACTTTTCTTTTCATAACAATATAAACCAGTCCTGTCGGTTTTAGGGACTTTAGCTTTGTTAAGTTGGTCATAGACGCTAGGACCCGACATTAGACCCTGATCCTTACTCCGAATTTTTGCAAGTTCAAGCTGTTTGTGTAAATCGGAAGCATTAAAAGGTAAGTTCAAGATTTGTGCCAAACTGGATATGGATTCTTCATCCAAACCGAACGTGTCATAGAGTTTAAATGCGAGTTGAGCGTCGATAAATTTTGGGTTGGTAGTCTTGATCTCTTTATACCCGGCTACTAGAGTGGGGTTTTCGTTTATATCAAGTGAGAGGAGTTGGGGCTGGTTTTTGGCTAGTTTGTTCCATTCTTCCGTGGCTTGTTTGCGCACTGATTTATAAACTTCCTCTTCATAATCGATAATTTGGTGTATCTGCAATTACAAATACATTTTTATTTATTATAAATCAATGTTAAGCAACAATTGATCAAAAATTCACCTGTTTGACGTTACGTTCCAATTCGGTATAAACACACCCCAAATGTTCAATTACGTAGTTCGAAAGTTCCTTAAGCAACCCCTTGTCTTTATTGAAAACATTTTCACATAGCAAGAAAGACCTTCTCATTATACGTCTTAATTTTTGGCTAAAATTGAACGTTTTATTAAAATTTACTAATTGATTGTCTTTACTTCTGTTCAGGAATCATTGCATCAGCAAGACACACAGTCACCATTCTTGCATGATCTGCCAATATCCTGTAGGACGCATCCAAACTATTCCAGTCATTTTCACCAAACTTCCCCTGATATTCAGGAATTTTGCTGCAATTCTACTCAATTATTCAATCTAATTTGTTTGTTGAATTATAATAAACTGACCTTATGTATTGCTTTAAGTAAATAAGTAAAATTATCAGTATCATAATTGCTTGTTTTCCCCTGAAGAACTGCAGTTAGTCTCTCAAAACCCATACCCGTATCGACGTGTTTTTCAGGGAGTAAATCAATTGATTCATTGCTTTTTCTACAGATAAATAATCACAAAATCGTTTAATAAAATGCTAATTTTACCGATTATATTGAATAAAAACTAAGTTCCAGAGTTCAGTGAGATCATGTAGTCCTTTATTGACTAGTTTTGCCCGATTATTTGACGTTGTATGGTCAATGTGAATTTCAGTACAAGGACCACAAGGACCAGTAAGCCCCATTTCCCAAAAATTGTCTTTTGATGTAAATGGTAAAATCCTATCTTCTGACACCCTACACATTTTATATATTAAAGCGTGGTCTCAAAACAGTAAAAATTGCTTACCCAATTGCTTTCCAAATTTCTTTGGTTTCTAAATCTTCATTAATCCCCAAAAGTGGGTCACCTTTGAAGTAGGTAACATATAACCTGGAGGGGTGTATTTTATATTCTTGTGTTAATAATTTCCATGCCAATTCACATGCCTCTTGCTATAGATCAACAATTTGAATTAGTTTCACACACTACACTTATTACCTTGAAGTAATCTCCAAACGACCAATTCCCCAACATTTCAAAAAATGTGTGGTGATAACCATCGCCTCCGACAACATTCAAATCATTGTGTTTACCCCCGACCCGGATACATTTCTGTGAATTTGCCACCTTTTTGTACTGAGGTTGCTGTGTCCCCATGAAAATTCCCTTGAACTTGATGTATTTTTTAAATTGAGTGTTGTGTTACATTATTATTGTACCTGATTCATGCCGGCATTTACAAAAGCTACGGTAGGGTCACAAAAAGGGACCACCGGGCTTGATTTGATAAAGTTATGGTTGTTTTTGTTAATGAAGTAATCGAGGAATTTTTGTCGGATGGCTCTACCCGTTCTGTCTTTATCCACATATTTGCTGATTCTTCGGGTCGATGTTTTGATGACTTGACAGCCCCATAAAAGTTTCGTCATTTTAGAAAACTGAAAATTTCATTTTATAACCTCAAAAACCGAGAATAGTCGAAAGATGAATGAACATTTGAACTAAACGCTAACTTTAAAATGTCAGGAGAAACATTTGACCTACTGACAATTTAGCCGAAATGCAAAATTTTTAATAAATAGTTTTGAAACTGAAAAAGCCATTTTTATGTTAAAAAAATTAATAGGTAGTTTTACGTATGTATAATTGGTCTTGCACACATTTTAATGCTCATTCCGTTTAATCCGGACAGAGTTCGGTGCCTTCGTCCCTTCAATTTTATTGGTTCCAAACAATGTAAAAGTTTTCTTTATATCTAATGTGATTTTTTTTTTTAGTGAAGGTTCGATATTACGACCCAATTCGCCCCCATGTTCATCATAATAACAACAAACCCCCGAAAATTAATATTGCCTGAAGAAGACAATCGCCGTTGTCGAAACGTCGCTAAGAATAAACAAGTTCTTAATATAAGTAGTCCTTCATTCCACGAAACATAACAAATACATTGCAATTAAAGCAAACTATTTATATAAGCAAGCAAAACCACATATTTTAATTTTTTGGCACCGTAGGTAACAGTCAATTTTTTACATTCTAATAATTGCTTCGTTAAACTGGAACGTTAAGATAACATAAGTTGCAACATTTCCAATAAAACAAAAAATTAAAGCTTTTCTAATGCTAAAAAATCCGGCCGGTCGAAACTCTCGAAAGTAATGCTTCGAAAAATTCGTTAGTCTTACTAAAGTCTCTATTCTGGGACAGTCTTCAATAAAATATTCTTGAATTTTGAAACACAGATCAATAAATTTTTTGCTTTCTTCAGTAGTGGAGTCGATAGGAAAAACAATCATCAGAAGATTAAACTGCAAAAAATGATAAATTTATACAAAACATCATTTACTTATTTACTTACCACTGTAATGAATAACACAGAAACATTTGCAACAATAAAATGATGGTACAAGGGCCCATCAGTGTGTGTGATAATCGTAAAACAAAAATTTAGACTACTGATGATCTGTAAACCACTGTGAAATATCAGCAGTATAATCTGATAACCGAATAGTGTATTAAAAATGTCTATAATTTCTCCCAATATTCGATAATACTCGACAAGATTTCGCAAATCTTTAACAATACTTAGACTTGAATTCAGTCTAAAGAGCCTGGCATTTAAATCTTCGTATCTTACTCTTACACATTCAATTACGCAAGTCAAAAAAGCAATAAACTGAAATTCGTAATACAAATCTATGATTGGCCCCATTGTCAGTCCTTTAAAGAATGAAAGTTCCAAAACAATTGACCAAATATACATTTCATATGCTCCAAACAAGAAAAAGAGAACTTCTTTCACAATAAAGCCGAAGTAAAAATTCTTCAAAACTCTCAACTCCTTTTTCCCTGTATTATTTAACTTCTCGTCAACGTACTGGAAATTTGTCATCATAACTCTCCATTTGTCCACATCCCAGAAACAAGATTTCATGAAAACCATAAAAATAAAAATTTTTAAGTTGATACAAGTTAAAATGTAGAGGCACTTCTGTGAAAATGGCATAATGTCGAGGATTTGTTGTACAGTATCGCTGACTGTGAGAGCGACGATCCATGACAATTTAAATGCAAGGAAAATGCACCCAATTAGTTTGTTTATGTTGGGTTTGTATAGACAGTTCTTGTCGAAATCGTACCATGGGGTGATTAGAACACAACTAAAATATTTCCACAATGGGCAAATGAAGTTTATATCTTGCACCGACAGTTTGAAGTTCATCATAACTGGAGAATTCGAAATTCGACAATGTAATGATCAAATTTCCGGTAAATTAATTGAGGGAGAGTTTCGCTTGCGTCACGGAGAAATTTGATACCTTTAGGACAGCGTAATAAATGACTACAACAACAGCAAAATAATGTAATTGATTACTATTATAAGACAAATAGAGTAATAACGAGATTCAAACATATTTTTCCTTCTTTTCGATAAAAGTGGATGTTTTTTTGAGAACTGAAAGAGCATTTCAACACATTTTAATTTGTATTAAACGAATTAAAAAATATCACTTGAAATTCTGAAAATAGTTTGTCTCTGTCTCTTTCTCTTTCTCTTTCTTGCCCCTTAGTTGAAAGTCAAACAGTTGTTTTTCAATATTTTTATTATAAATTTGAGGACGAAAACAAATCCAATGATTACATCTTATACCTATTCTCAATATTTGCTTCATTAAACTGAAGTGTAATTATAACGTAAGTTGCCACGTTTCCAATAAAGCAAAAAATGATTGATTTGCTGATATTACAAAAGCCGGCAAGACTAAATTCACGTACATAATGCTTTGAAATGCGCGTTAATCTTGACAATTCTTTGGCTTTTTGAGCATTTTGAATAAAATAATATTCCTGAGTTCTGAAACACAATTGTATGAACTTTTTACTTTCTTGCATAGTTGCATCAATGGGCAAAATAATGGCGAATAAATTAATCTGAAAAAAAATAAATTAATTAAAATAAAATAATTTGAATCCAATGTTACTTACGATTGTAAAAATTAATACGGAGACATTTGCAATTATGAAATGAAGAAACATGGATTCTTGAGTTTGCTTAACCATTGAAAACATAAAACTTACACAACCAACTACTTGTAGTCCACTGTGAAATAAAAATAGGATAATTTGATACCCAAATAAATCATTAAGCAAGTCAATCATTTCTCCTAAAATTCTAAAATATTCAACAAGGTTTTGCAAATCTGAAATAACGTTCTGACTGGAATGTAGTTCTCGTAACTTTTTATTTAGATCTTTATATCTAATTTTAATTGAAATGACAACACATCGTATAAGAATAATTACTTGATATTCATAAAACAACTCTAACAATAAACCGGTTAAAAAAGATTTTATAAATGGATAATCCAAAACTAGTGACCAAATATATGTTATGTAGAACGCAAATAAAATGAAAAAAAATTGTTTCAGGCAAAACCTGAAATAGAAGTTTTTCAATATTTTCTCTTCTTTTTTTCCTGCGTTGTTTAATTTTTCGTCGATGAATTGGAAACTTGTCATCAAAATTACCCATTTTTCGACATCCAGAAAGCAGCACTTAATTACTACCAGAAAAACGAACAATTTTAAATTCACAAGCGTCAAAATGTAGACACATTTTTCGGAGAATGGCATCACATAATACATTTGTCTTATAGTTTCGTCGAATGTTGGAACAATAGACCAAAAAATAGTACCAACTATTAAAACACATCCACTTAACTTCATTAAAAATGGTTTATATACACAATTTTTATTAAAATCGTACCATGGTATAATTAGAAAAATGTTCAAGTATCTCCATAAGGGACGAATAAAATTAATATCTTGCTTTGATAGTTTGTAATTTTTCATGATGTCTCTTTAGAGTTCAGCCACAGTATGATCTCATTTTTAATTAGTTAATTAATTCTCCCATTCAGGTAATTGATTCCGTCATGATGTCTAATTGACGAAGTTGAGGAGAATAATAATTTAATTTATTAAAAAATACTTGGTTTCTTATCAAGGCCGTGACTGAATTAAAAAATAACAATTTATAGTTTTATTCTAGAGGTTTATGAGTAAAAAATTAATGTTTTTGATCTTATTTAAAATAAATATACAGGGTATTTTCTAAAAAGACTAAAAAAAGGAAAATGCCAAGTAAGATGATATACCAGGAACATTAAAAAATTAATAAAAAAATCTATCTGTTAAAAAAATTTGACATTTATTTTGGACATTTGACATTGTTTTTATGTCTATTTAATGATACTGATGATCTTGAATATGTTTTTTTATAATTATTCAATAAAGGTACAAAAACTTTTTCAATTAAAGCTACAAATAACGCTAAACATACATACAATTCAGGGCACAGCTTCTTTGTTTTTGCTTCTAACATTCTGTAGCAAAAGAACATGTAAAATTATTTTTACAACAGAAATAAATAGAGTTAAAGTGCAAAATTTAAACTCTCATAAATTCAAAATTTTTAGAGATAGAAATTTTTAACAATTTTTTCATGTTTCTGGTACCTTATTTTACTTGGCATTTTCCTATTTTTGGTCTATTTACAAAACACCCTCTAACAATGCAATGAAAAAATGAAAAATAAAATGAAAGAGAATCTATAACAAAAAGGTTATTTACACTTGAGTGCAAAAAAAACGCAAACTGATTTTTTTATACTGTTAATAAATGTCAGTTTTTTTGACGTTGTTTTTGTTTTGTCACAATTCACAATTTCATAATTGTCAAGCACCTTCTAAACTTCTGTCAAGTTTTTCCATGCTTTTCCATTTCGTTTTCAGAAACACTAACACTGACTATGACACTGCACTGGCAAGACCAGCACATAAGATATTTCTGTTTATAGTTTTCTAATCTTTTTGGGAACAACCTTTTTCACACCATGTAAATCTCTAAAAAAATTGACAATTTTGTTTTTGACACTTTGCGTTTTTTTTTTGCACTCAAGTGAACGTAACTACTAGGATAAAAAAATCATAATAATTCTTTTGAATACGACTTTTTGCATTGGTTATGGTTGGAGTTTTAATACATTACATAAAACATTAGAAAACGTCTTTGTTTTAATTAATATTATTGTAATGTCACTTTATTGTACTAGTGCGATAATAAGTTTTATTACGCATCTCAATTGAGTAATGCTATAGCATCTTAGACAAGCAATCGTAGATAAAATATCTTGAAGCGTTTTAGTTTAATTATAATTAGGACATTTTAACCCGGCGCATCCACCATTTTTGCACTTACAAATTATTTTAAATTACGTTTTGCCATATGGTTTGATGCAGAATGCTAATAAATATAAATAACGTTTTAAGATTGTATTTATTAATGACTACTACAATGTATTCTGTGTAAACAAATAATAATAATAATAACTTATGCATAAAATCCCTATTTGTCACTACAAAGAAAGTTTTTACTCCACGACCATTAGTGAATGTAATAATTTCGAAATCATTTTTAATAATAGAAAGTAAAAATTGACACTTTTGAAATTTAGAATATTTATTCTGAAACACTTGCTTCTTATGTGTTTTGCCCGTATTTTCATTGTAGAGCAAGTGACTGAATGAATATTCTATAATAATTATGCTCAACGAAATACATTGTTATGAATTTCAAAACTGTCAGTGTCAGATCTCAATATCAAATAGTTTGTTTTGTTCAAATTTAATTGTTTTTGATTCATACCTTCTGGTCATGGAGAAAATACAGTCTGTTACTCGGTTAGAATGAAAATTCAATCTATTCGTGGTTCCTCACGCTCTCTAACACTTGCGTTAGGAATCTTCCCTCGTATCGAATTTTTATTCTATCTAACGTTGTTAAAGAATCTACTATTAATCAACGCTACCTATATATGAGATTTTTATATTTATTTACCATTTTGACTCTGATTAAATTGTATAGCTATGATAAAATAAGTAGCCACATTACTAATCACACTAAAAATAATACTTTTCTTCATTTGAAAAAATCCTCCAGCGGTAAATCTTCGAATACTTTGCTTACAAAAATTTGTCAATTTAATTAAAACATCAATATCTTTGCATTGATGCCACTGTATTTGCATTTTATATGATAAATAGACAAATTTTTTAGCTTCTTGAACAGTTGAATCCATCAGTACAACCATTTTGACGAATGCAATCTGAAAATAGAGTTTTTATTTTCTCGAGTAAAGATTTTTTAACTTACTAAGACGACGGTTAACACAGCAAAATTGGAAAGCATCATGCTAGGTCCGACGGTAGATTCTAAAGGTATATTAGATGTAGTCAAAACAAACGGAAAATTTAAACATCCGACCAGTTGGAGACCAGCGTGAAATACGAGTAAGAGAATTTGATAATCAAATAAACTATTAAAAACATCGACAGTTTCTCCTAAAAGGCGATGATGACACACTAAATTTTGATATTTACGTATAACCGTTTGACTGTTAAAACAGCTAAAACATTGTAAAAGCCGATGATTCAATTCTTTGTATCTAGTATTGAAACACTTTAAAAAAGAAACTATCAAAGTAATTATCTGAAATTCGTAAAACCTATCCACTGCAGGAGAAAACCAAAAGCTTTCCAGAAACGATACTTTCATAATAATTGACCAAGAATGCACTAGATAACACAGACATACAATAAACACTGTTTGTTCCAATAAAAACGTGATATAAATTTTTTTCCAGACTTTTGTTTCTATTTTTCCATTATTCCGCAAGTTTATGTCTAAATGCCTAAAGTTTGTAAGAAGTATTTTCCATTTGTTAATTTTCCCTGGAAATGTTGCTTTAACGATAGACAAGATGGTAAGAACGAATAGATTAATAAAATTTAAGACAAAATAAATTTTTTGTGTAAAAATAAGCTGTATATAAGATTTGTAGAATGTGTCATCCAGAAATATTACATCAAACAACCAAAAAATTTTTAATGAAATCAACAGTGATCCATAAATTTTGCATGTATTGAACTTATGAGGAGCATTTTTGTCAAAATTATACCAAGGCGTAAGGAGAAAAATATTAAGATATTTCCACAAATATTTAATGAAATTTATGTCTTTCACCGATAAATTTCTGTTCATGTTCATTGTAATAATGGTAAAGATATTACTCGTATTAGTATGACACAAAGAATTATTTCTAATTGAATAAATTGTTAGTTTATTAATTAAGGCAATAGTAATCGATTAGTTTTATTCGAAAATATGCGATGTTGGTAATAATAAAGCACAAGTAAATATAATTATTTCATAGGTGGTTTTAAATAGAAAATGTAAACATTGAAAAATCAAGTTGATCCGGTTTTTCTTAAGCAAAAATTTAAAGATTTCGTTTAGATTTTAAATTGATTTTACTTGCTTTTTTGACAATATCAAAGTGTTCTCTAGATAAATAATGTTTTAAATTAGAAGTCAAATTGCGAAAAAAACAAATCATTTATATGTAGATATTTTTTTTATATTATGAATAAATAAGATTCAGGTTAGTTTGTGAAATTTTTAATTAAAATACCGAAGTAAACACAGTTACCTATTCAAATAAATTTAGCAGTAGTTCTGTGTCGTACTACCAGAGGTGACTATTAATGTTTCACACAAAAAAATTCTATTGGTAGAATTGAATTATTGTTAGTACTTCTAAATTGTTGCATCAGGATGTTTCAGGTGACGGCTAAGGCAGCGTTCACTCGTCGTGAATGGCATTGCCTATAAAAGTTTGACGTTTGAATTTGAGATTGCCAAACTAAGATTTTGAATTTAATGCTAACTTGAGAATAAAAAAGTCATTTACAGACACCTGGTATTTTTTATTTGCAAGAGTTACATTTATTGCACGTATTTTTTATTTTTCTTCTTGATTTTGATTAAACTGCACTGATATTATAAAATACATAGCAACGTTGGCGATAAAGCTAAAAACAAGATTTTTGCGAATGTCAAAAAAGCCTCCAGCGCTAAATGTTCGTACATTATATTTTGCAACTCCTATAAAATTTACCAAATCATCATTGTTTCTAGAATTTACTATAAACTGTTCCTGCATACTGTAGCATATATCAACAAATGTTTTAGCTTCTTCAACTGTTGAATTCATTAAAATTACCAATTGTAAAAAACTAGCCTAAAACAATTTGGAAGATTTTTTTTAAAAAACTGCTATTAGATGTGCAAACTTACCAATAATAGCATCGTCAAAATAGCAAGAGAAATTATTAAATACGGTTTCACGGATTCTTCATTAGTTGTAAATGTTGTAACTGGAAAATTTAGAGAGCCTGTTAACTGCAGACCACAAAGAAAAACGATTAGAATTATCTGATAACCAAATATTTTATTTACTATTTCAACAGAATCTCCTAATATGCGATGGTAATGCACAAGGTGTTTCAATTGTTCTATTAGTTTTAAGTTTTCAGAGATTTTTGAAAGCCGGTTATTTAAATCTTTATACCTGATTCTAATACTTTCAGTAAGAATGTTTAATAAAATAATTAAGTCAAAAGCAAATAAATAATCAAACACAGGACTGGTCCATAATGCTTTGAGGTACGATGTTTTCATAAGATCAGACCAAATATACATCTGTTGAAAGCATACACCAAGAGAGATTATTTGTTTTAAAATAAAAGTAAAATAAAAATTTTTCCAACGGTTTGTTTCACTTTTTCCTTTGTTGTGTAGTTTTATGTCGATATACTGCAAATTTGTAAAAAGTTTTTTCCAATTGTCCACATTTGTAAATGATGATTTTACAATTGTAAAAAAAGTAAGCAGCCACATGTTGAAGCTACATAACGCAAAATTTAGTTGTTGTGTGACCAATAAATATTGGT